AGAAACTCCCGGCCGAGCTACAAGTCCTGAGTCCCACACTTTGCAGTGCATCAGGAAAATCCCCCGGCGCTTGCCATTAGTTATGATGTATTTCGCCCATTTTAGTCTCGTGGGAATTCCGGATGAAATTTTATCTTGAACGCAATCAATGATGATCACGTCGACATGGCCTCCTATATTTCGTCCCCTTGCAATGAATTACCATATATTTCATATTTTATCACTTCATTGTCAGCCCCTCGCAAGTACATTGGCGCTTGACCGCCGTCCTTTCACTGGAGCCCCGGGCTAGTAGTTGCTACCTCCTACACTGCAGTATCCCGCTCATCTAGGCTCTGAAACATGCCTATTGACTATGACAATCGAGTATGCACTTGCAGAAAGGAGTACTCAAATGATGGCCAGTTCAACCGACACCTGAAGACCTGCAAAAAGGTTCAAGTAATCGAGTCGAAGGCGCACAAGCGAGGCTCCAAGATATGGGCTCGAGAGGAAAAGGAGGGTCGGCTCAAAACTGGGAAGGACCCCTTTGCCAAACGAGCGAAGTTGACGCATGACCATGAATCTAGGCAGGGAAGTTTATCGACTCGGGCAGAAGGCAGTGGTAGTACACGTAGTTTGGGTCCAATAGCTGGTCCTGAGGTGTGTCTCTTTACTTTCTTTATCTTGTTCAGTGTCACTCAAAACAGCGAAGGAAAATTATCGTCGCCATGGCCATAGTAGTGGCTCACCCCGCCTGTCGCAAACAGACTGGGAGGCTGGCACGTATCCCAACTTTTCCGAAGATGTAGACATCCCTCCTACCATCGACAATACACTACCTATGATCCCGGAAGTCGAAGAATCAGATCCTCTCCCTGAGAAGCGCACTCGATGTCCAACAGCTAAAATCATTGCTGCACTGGAGGACATACTTCCAGTAGGCCCTGCTCCGCTCCAACAGCCAGCTTCGGGCACAGTTCCTGCAGCCACCGATACCTCACGTTGTCCGAGAGTCACCCTACACGTTCATGAACAAATTTGCACTTTAGCAAATTCATTCGGATTGACCAGGATTTACCGCCGCAAGCCGACACGAATACCAGACATGGGGAAGCAGCAGGAGGCCTATGTTGCCCTGAATGTCACTGCTACTAGGGAATGGAAGAAGCGCAAGATTGCAGACATTATATACCCGTATCCCAGTGTCAGCGCCTTCCTCTTCAACTGCTGGTTCAAGACTGGCAGCAACAAGAAGAGCGACAAGGAGCGGGAAACCCTGCAGGACATCGTAGCGGATGAAGAGTTCAAAAACACCGACCTCAGTGGTGTCAATTTCGCTGCGATCGACAAAAAACTCGCCACGGATGTGCAATCACCATGGGGTGGAAGCGGGTGGACCTCATCAACCGTGAGCATAGACGTCCCACCAATGGTCAAGCAAATGAAGGCAACCAAGAAGGCAAAAGCGCAGACAGCACAGTATGAACGACGACATGGAATTGAAGATCCCGACACAGAAAAGGCCTCACGACACAAATTCCAAATTCCCAACATCCACCATCGTTCTCTTCTGCACATCCTCCGGTCCATGGTCAAAGACAATCCAGCATTCAAGGACTTTCACTGGCATGGGTTCGAGGAGCACTGGCAACCCCCAGATCCTAATGCACCTTCTGAGTGGGTGTACGGAGAGCTCTATACCTCTGAAGCCTTTCTCAAGGCAGAACGTGAACTACTTTCTGCTGTTGCAGATGATGATCTGCCTCGAGTAATCGCAGCGTTCATGTTCTGGTCAGATGCTACACACGTTGCTCAATTTGGACAAGCTAAGATGTGGCCAATATACCTGTTTTTCGGTAACCTGTCCAAGTATCTACGTTGTCGCCCTTCATCCGATTCTGCGCAACATGTCGCTTTCCTTCCAAGCGTAAGTAGCCTGCTTTTCTAAACAGCATTGACTGATATTGTCCATTTAGCTTTCCGATGCATTTGAAGATTTCTTACGAGAATGTGGTATTAAGAAGAGTGACCCTCTGATGGCTCACTGTCGAAGGGAATTATTCCATTCTGTCTGGAAGCTTCTTCTCGATGATGAATTCATCGAGGCTATGGAGCATGGCATTGTCATGAAGTGTGCTGATGGTATTGTTCGCCATGTGTTTCCACGAATGTTTACATATTCTGCTGACTATCCTGAGAAGTACGCTTTTTTTCGTTGTTATGGCTACTCCTTGACACTGTTAATAGAGTCCTTATCGCCACGATACGTGACATGGGTGGCTGTCCTTGTACCAGATGCACCATCACTAAATCCAAGATATGGGGTGTTGGTACCACCTCAGACCAGCGAATACGAGAGGAAACGAAGCGCAAAGTTGATGAAGAACTCAAGAACAAGGTTGCTGAGGCACGCAAGTTGATTTATGATGAGGGATATGCCGTCAATAGCGAGAAGGTCGAGAATCTCCTCAAGGCTACGTCTTTGGTGCCTACAGAGAATGTGTTTTCAGAGTGCCTGTCCCAGTTTCTATTCCAAGTTTTCGAGATCTTAGTTGTTGATCAGATGCATGAGTTTGAACTTGGCGTATGGAAGGCGCTGATAATGCATCTCATTCGTATACTGAATGCTTTGGGACAGTCTCAAGTTCAAGAGTTTAATTTGCGGTACATTGTCCTGGTGTCTGAGAGTTGCAAACCATGGCTTACATATTCCTAGGTTTCGACAAGTTGCGCCATTTGGTCGGGATACGATTCAACGATTTTCGCATAATGTCTCTGAGATGAAAAGCCTGGCTGCACGCAATTTCGAGGATATTCTCCAGGTTTGGATGACTCTCAGCTTCTCAGGATTAGATCAATGCTCACGTAGTTGACAGTGTTGCATACCATGCCTTGAAGGACTTTTACCTGAGCCGCATAATACCTCGGTGCTGGATTTATTATATCTGACTGCATATTGGCATTCACTCGCAAAATTATGTCTGCACACCGAATCTTCAGTGCGTGTCATGGAGGAGGTTCACAAGGGTTTCAGTAACAGCCTGCGTAACTTCGCTGATGTTACATGCAAGGCATTTCGCACGGTTGAGACAGATAAAGAGTATGCCGAGTGCAAACGAGCTGACGCTCGTAGGGCTGCTCACGTAAAGCTTGGACCTCCACGAAAGGCAGCTTCCTCGACCCAAACAAGCATGAACTTGCCAGCATCGAGCTCTGCTTTGGCTGGAAAGAAACCACACGAATTCAGCTTGTCAACATTCAAGATACATGCAACTGGGCACTACCCGTATTATATCCATAATGTGGGAACGACCGATTCATACAGTACACAAATTGTATGTTTGATTATCTTTTTGCATGGAATATTCGGCTTATCGCTTGTCTACAGGGAGAACTAGAGCACCGTGTGGTCAAGAGTCGGTATGCTCAGACTAATAAGAACAAGGCCATAGCTCAAGTAGTCAAGCATGATGTGATCGCAATGGTACACGAGCGCATGTTTGAAGAACTGGTTGCTGCCCAACAGTCTAGCTCTCACCAAGATGAGTTGGCTGAGGTTGCTGTGGAAGATCATGCTCTTGTCAAGCACCATCAAATTGCTGTGGACCAGTGTCAGGTCTTATATCTACGCGAGTGGCTCTCAGAGAATCGAGATGATCCAGCATTCAAGGTTTGCATTTGCCTACTTAGAAATGCAATCATTGTGGCTGAGCATACACATAGGACTTCCTCCTGAAACTAAAGCAGCATCTATTATCATGCCTACATGGACACTCAGCTGTCGGCGAGGAAGCTGAATTTTCATCCACACAACTCAATCAGATCTCCTTTGAACAGCAACGCATCTATTCGCATGCTACGGCGCACTTCAATTACACCACATATGATGTCTGCCATGATCAAGACAACATCCATGTGGGAAAAAATGGACAGAAGCGAGATATAATGGTGATGTCGAATGATGATGATCCTGAGTCGCACCCATTTTGGTACGCTTGCGTCCTGGGCATTTATCACGCAAATGTGCTCGACTCTGGCACTCGATTTCCTAAGCCCCGGCGTGTGGAATTCCTGTGGGTACGTTGGTTTGGTATTGATCCTGAATGGACTGGCGGTCCATCAACTCTTAGGCTGGATCGTGTGGGATATGTTCCCGAGGATGACCCCTCCGGGGCGTTTGGTTTCATTGATCCTGCTCATGTACTTCGGGCATGCCATCTGGAGCCTGCTTTTCATCTAGGCAAGACGAATACTCTCCTCTCTGCCTCCAAATTCCGCGATTTTAACGACGGTGACTGGGTAAATTACTATGTAATGAGGTAAGATTATAATCTCATCCTACGATTCTCACATTGACCTCTTACAGATTCGTTGACCATGACATGATGATGCGCTATCTCGGTCTGGGTATTGGGCATCTGAACCCACCAAATTTCCCTTGCGAGGATAAACTTCTATGTCCTGATGTCCTTATTGAGAATGATGATCAGCCATGGCCACAGAATGGCAATGATGCACACATGCATAGCCCTCATAGTTCTGATGAACATGTTGATAGGTATTCTGGAGGTGATAGTAATGAATCTGAAGAAGACGAAGATGAGCTGCTGCCGTCTGATGAGGAAGAAGATTTGTTCTCAGATGGAAGTGGCCCAGGAGGTGAACTTTGATAGATTGTTCAGTCAGTTACTTCTGTTTAAATCAGGGTGCTGCGTTCAGGATTAAAAGGTGATTAAGTCAATTGTCGTGATGCGACGTGTTGCACGTGCATCTGTCACATGGCTTTGTTGATTGAAATTGGTATATAACCACGGTGTTTATTCATGTTGTCACCAGTCTACTCTTCCTTTTCCCCTCTTGGCCCACCTTTGATTGCTCGCATTTGTGGCACTTTTGTTATGTGTTCACCCTTGATCTTCACGTTATGTCTTCTAGAAGCGGCACAACGGCACCCGGCCGTAATAGAACCATGACAAGTGCCTCAGCTCGTGGTCGACGCCGGTCTTCTCAGGCTTGCCATGCACATTCCAGCCCTGGGGTGGAACAACGGCGCTCTGCTTCCCCTCCGCAACGTGGACAGAGCTCTCCTGCTCATGGTCGCAGTCGGGTATGCTCCACTAGTCCTAGGCATCAATCAGAGTCTTCTGAGGATAGAGAGTCTTCTGACCATGATCAGTATGCATCTTTCTGCTTTGATTACATCTTGTTCATGCAGTTTTAGCTCCAATCCCTCAACCTGGACTCGAAAATTATTCTACTCTAGGCAAGATTGCAGCTCACACGGTAGAAATGTTTACACCGTTTAAAGTTATCCTAAAAGAAGGATACACTCGTGACCCGGAAGAGGACGATAGTCAGCACACCGAAGAGTTCGTGTTATTTCTGTTCACCTTCTATATCTTACCCTATGTTCTATAGACAGAATCGACTGTCTCAATAAGTTCCAAGCCTGTTCTCAAGCTGAGGCCAACATTCCACGATGAACTGCGCGAAGGTGGCCCAGATCATATTAAACATGTGTATGCTCAGGTGCATTGTCGATTGGTGTATTAGAGAGAGGTCCTACCATTCATTCTTGATATAGATGGATAATGGTCGCATCCAGGTTCGAACAACAGATATACATGGCGTCAAGGAGAAGATTTCAAACTGGCGCTCATGGAACCCCAGTTTCCCCACCATGCAACGTGCGACACAAGCTGGCTTTGCACATCCAGAATGTGGTCGACTTCTATGTCCATCGGAACTCAACTGGGACGACGATGAGTAAGTGTGTTCATGAGTCTGGGGCTGCCATCTCATCATTGTATTAGAGTTCGGCAGAACATCATTAATGGTACTGAGCCTGTCGAAGCAGATGACTTGTGCAACCTCTGCTATGCCAATGAACGGATGGATCCCCAGGATAAATTTGTTGGATTCATGCGCAATGACCTGCTTGTATCGGTATGCAGATTATTAATTCAAGATCAGCGATATAACTGATGTACAACAGTGTGGCCTGCATATTTGGCATGGACCATCATACGCCAATCTCTCAGGATCCTCACGTAGTACAAGAGCTGGCAATGGTCAGAAGCACGATATAACAAAGATGACTGTACCCGCAATAGCTTACCTTGCAGGTGCTTGTACGTTCTTTTTGTTTGCTAGCTATTCTGTTGTTTATATTCTTTACATGATCTAGGTTCAATTCACACTCTCATCTCAGTCTGTCTGGAGCTCCAACGGAGAGTTTGACTACAGGCTTTTCTATCATACGCTCATGGATATCATGGAATCAATGCCGGAAGATGAACTAAAGGATCTCTTGGAGTGGTGGGACGAGTTAAGTCCTTTCTTATTGTTTATGAACCATTCTAATGTTATTGTTTGCACAGGAAAATTTTTGGTGATGTTAAGCGTAAGAAGAGTCGTCGAGACAGGCCTGCGGGAAAGGAATCATTGGCAGTCCGCTTGAAGGCCATAGCAGAGGCACGAAAGAAGGCGAAGCGCCAGCCATTATGTGATGTCTTGAATGAAGAGCCTGAGGAAGCAGCTTCAGCGTAGTTGTCTCGTACAAACTGTGACATAAATATATATTATTCCTTACTTTTATCGGTGTCTGAAGTGAATAATAAGTTATTATAATCATGGGAAAAGACAATCCTGTGAGGATTATGTGCAAGTGGTATGCTTACTTGAAGCTCATTACGATGTGCTAAAAGACTTGTAACAGTTTTGAATAATATAATGGCATTATAATACTGAGACTAATTACTGACATTGTAATGACATTATAATGTGTTTGTAACATCTAAGTTCGAGGCAGAATGCATCATGAGATATTTCATACCTTGTGACTGATTCTTGATATCATAATAAGCTTGCAAGCTATGGCAATGGTACAACATTTTTCCTGATGTGCGTAACAGCATTTCCCCGTGGTGAAACTAAATCAATCTTCATTCCTGGTATACTAATTACATCTGCTTGGTTTCGACCCCAGGCAACAATTCTGGCTGCATGTTGGAAGCGACTGTGTCGCTGGACCGCCTCTGCGATAGCCCCCACAAAAAAAAACAAAAAAAAAAAAAAAAGTGATCTCTGTTCCAGTGTGCATAAATTTCCAGCAATGCACTAAACAAGAAGGCACAAATTGGCGATGCGAGACCATCAAAAACAAAGACTTGAACATCGATAACAACTGCCTGAAACACTCTGTGCCAAAGGCTGCTTGAGGTCTGTTTCCTTTCTTTATGCAGAATCGAGGCTCGACATTCAACGCTCAGCGCTCAGAACTCGCGTCGTCTAGAACTCGCCTTTTCTTGTACTTCTCGGTCTTCTCGCCCTTTTCTCTGTGGACGATACTAGCATATATCCTGTCTCTTTCGACTCTGCCTGGCATTTTCTCTCATTCCAACCCCTGTATCGTCTTGGGACGTGCCTACGAATCTCTATATAGCTCCCACTTCTCTTCTTCTCCTAGTTCTGTGCCCCTTGTGTATCGTCTACTTATGATGAATGTATAAGCAAAGAATATATGTCCCTCTCCGACCGACAGCATATATTCAGCGTTCAGACTATTTCGGTGCGAAATATCTATGTGGTTAGGGGTACTCGTTATTTCTTGCGGAGACACGCACGCGATTCAGAACAAATCCAGCATTCCAACTTGCCTCTTTACCATTGTGACCTTGGATCCTTACAGCCCTCTTTCTTACCAGTGTGTCGCTTGAATCAAAATTAATGCCACTGGATGTCGTGATATCTATTCTCAGACCGACCCACAAGTATCAGGAGTGAGTCTTCATAAGAACATGTGTAGGATCGAGGGGTTGACATCGTCTGGCGATATCGGAGTTTCATATTTCGGCTTCAATGTTTCTTCGTATCAAGGCCAATCATTTTCTTGAGCAGACCCTCTACAATGTTTTGTAAATATGCGTCTGCTTGACGTTAAATAACGTTAGAGACACCCGATGCCTGGGCCGGACCCGCATGTCTCGGAATCTGCCACTGCGTGTATATAATATCAGCTTCGTCGACACCCACCTCGATTTTAGCTCTTCAAAAACGCAAAGGCATGTTCTGAACCGTACTTGATATCTTCTTTTTGGTAATCCGGAACGCGACTACTCGCAGACACTGAGCTAATTACGATTCAACTCCAATTCCGAGTCCTCCTCACCAGAAGACAACTGAAACCCACTACTACAGTTGTAATTGCATCTCTCCTCTGGCTGCATACCGAAGCTGAACGTTCCTTTATAAGGCCATGTCAATAAAACGCGAGCGTGAAATGCGAAACATAGTGGGATGCATCCTCTATCATGATCAAGACTACAGCTACAGGATTATCAGGGGTGGTTTAAATCCCGTGACATCTATCATGGATCCAGTCGCAACACCTCATAAGGCCAGTTGTGTATACAATTTCCTGTAGGCTCAGGAATTAGATTGTACACAATTCTGTGAGGCCTGCAGGCCTGATAAGTATACACATGTATGAGAGCCTGGATCCAATCTAAATCCGCATTTTCTCAAATATTAGGCTCATTTCCCATCGGGATGGGCTAGAATCTTCCGTGGGGCCTTTCATAAAAATCTATAATTAGCCTGTAAAGTCAGCCCATCAATATCTGGCCGAAATCGGCTGGATGCGACCAAATGATGGCATCATAGGGGCTATTTTCCGGTCAGAATAGGATTTAGGCTGGTTTCTGGGTGCTCGGTGGGTCATGGAATGGCACTGGAATATTAATAAACCTAAATAACATAAAAGCGGACCTACTGATGAGGTCTGGGGGCTCTGGAGAGCATGTAATATAGGTATTTTCGCAAAAATGGCTACAATATTTGCTTTTTGGGGGGTTTTTAGGGTGATACATGCATTGGATCGACCGGGGGACTTCACCAATGAATTTCCTGACCTTGAAAACCCCCAAACGATCCCTCTATAGCACTTGTGGCACATTTTATTACTAGGATTAGACGAGCATATTGGATTTTTAGGGTGCAGCATGCTTTGGATTGCTCTGAAAACTATACCAGTCGATTTGTACACTATGAAAACCTTAGAATACATTGTCTTCTATAATATTTGACCTGTATAATACTGTAAAAAAGTGGGGATTGGGGTACACATATGGTTTATTTTGTTTTCTGTGCTTCGGATGAGTCTGGGACCATCACCAATAGATTCCTTGACATTTAAAACCCTAAAACGACTATAGGAACCTTTTATTGGGCTCCATAAACGATGGTAATAACAATATCACAGTTTAGGAGGAGCACATATGGAAAATCACTTTTCTGTACTTCGGAATACTTCGGAACTTCAACCAGTGTATTCCTTGACCTCAAAATCCCTCGTATAACACAAGGATTCGAAGAAAACCTACAAAAATACATGTTAAAAAAGAGTAATAGGGGATGGAGGAGATATACCTTGTATTACGCATTTCTAGTGGTTGGAGAAGGTATTCCTGTTATATGAGAGACGATATATGCTGTATAATCATTTGTACAAATTCCCACATTCATCCGAAATGTATTGGAAGAGATATAAGCAAATCATTCTGCAAATGATGAGGAGCACATCCCCAATTTCGATATTCTGATCATTCTATAGCTTGGGGAATATCAGAATCGGATTCCTTGACCCAAAAAATGGTAGGATCATCCATCATCCATGGGAAGTCAAGTGTCAACACTCCGAAGTACAATATGGACTTTCCTTGACAATTGCTGCAGTCTGATTTGTTCTTACCACTAGATGTTTTCTTGATGAAATGACCATGGATGATGAATGATCCTACCATTTTTTGGGTCAAGGAATCCGATTCTGATATTCCCCAAGCTATAGAATGATCAGAATATCGAAATTGGGGATGTGCTCCTCATCATTTGCAGAATGATTTGCTTATATCTCTTCCAATACATTTCGGATGAATGTGGGAATTTGTACAAATGATTATACAGCATATATCGTCTCTCATATAACAGGAATACCTTCTCCAACCACTAGAAATGCGTAATACAAGGTATATCTCCTCCATCCCCTATTACTCTTTTTTAACATGTATTTTTGTAGGTTTTCTTCGAATCCTTGTGTTATACGAGGGATTTTGAGGTCAAGGAATACACTGGTTGAAGTTCCGAAGTATTCCGAAGTACAGAAAAGTGATTTTCCATATGTGCTCCTCCTAAACTGTGATATTGTTATTACCATCGTTTATGGAGCCCAATAAAAGGTTCCTATAGTCGTTTTAGGGTTTTAAATGTCAAGGAATCTATTGGTGATGGTCCCAGACTCATCCGAAGCACAGAAAACAAAATAAACCATATGTGTACCCCAATCCCCACTTTTTTACAGTATTATACAGGTCAAATATTATAGAAGACAATGTATTCTAAGGTTTTCATAGTGTACAAATCGACTGGTATAGTTTTCAGAGCAATCCAAAGCATGCTGCACCCTAAAAATCCAATATGCTCGTCTAATCCTAGTAATAAAATGTGCCACAAGTGCTATAGAGGGATCGTTTGGGGGTTTTCAAGGTCAGGACATTCATTGGTGAAGTCCCCCGGTCGATCCAATGCATGTATCACCCTAAAAACCCCCCAAAAAGCAAATATTGTAGCCATTTTTGCGAAAATACCTATATTACATGCTCTCCAGAGCCCCCAGACCTCATCAGTAGGTCCGCTTTTATGTTATTTAGGTTTATTAATATTCCAGTGCCATTCCATGACCCACCGAGCACCCAGAAACCAGCCTAAATCCTATTCTGACCGGAAAATAGCCCCTATGATGCCATCATTTGGTCGCATCCAGCCGATTTCGGCCAGATATTGATGGGCTGACTTTACAGGCTAATTATAGATTTTTATGAAAGGCCCCACGGAAGATTCTAGCCCATCCCGATGGGAAATGAGCCTAATATTTGAGAAAATGCGGATTTAGGCCATTACACATCAGCAGTCATGTAAGTATACAACTCAGGCCTCACAGAATTGTATACAATTTAATTCCTGTGCTTACAGGGCAATTGTACACAATATTGGCTATATGGCCTCGTCGCAAGTCTTGGAAGACTCGACGTCCTTCCCTTCGAACTGCTCGACATCATTATTTCACAGTGCTGCGATATCCAGACACTTGTCACCTCCTTTTCGCTCCTAAACAGACGTGCCCGAGCCATAGTTTCTTCCTCACTTATCTATCAGCACCTCTGCCGGCACGCCGAATGCGCCCTCGCTGCAATGCTTAAAACCAAAGTGGCGTCCTTTTTTACGCTCGCAGACGTCTACAGTGTGCTCTGCGGTGACCCTTATTGTACTCAATGCGGTGACTTTGGACCCCTTCTCTGGCTCCCAGAATGTACTCGCTGTTGCACGACCTGTCTTCGTCAGGCACCTGACCTCTTGCCCATCACCCAACATGCTGCTACAAAGGCGCTCGGTGTACCCAAATCAGCATTGACGCATCTCCCTACCGTATGCACCGTACCCGGTGATTATGGTACGCCAAATAAAATTCATACAGCACGCCGACAGTATCTGAGTTTTCAATATGCGCGCGCTGTAGCAGTCGAACGCGCCGGCGGAGAAGCACAATGCATGGCTCGGATAAGCGCCTCAACACAGCGACAGGCGGCATACGATGCATTCATGTGCGCTGACACGAACCTAAGGGGACACATAGGTCGTTACATGGTAACGGCGCCTTTGCCTTATTTCGACAAGCACTCCGGAAAGGCCGACCGAGGGATTTACTGTGCAGGCTGCCGAAATGTAGTGAGGAGGTTTAACGGAACAAATACAAGCTGGGAGCAACACCACGAGGATATTCGACGTCAAGATACGGTTTATCTGACTAGTGACTTCATCCAGCACATACAGAGAGACTGTCCAGATGGTCAACTGATATGGGAGTGCCATTCGAAGCTGTCGAAGCGAAAGACCAAATCAAGGAGACGATAGCCTTATTATATATTACATTACAAGGACATGTCTAGCTTGACGTCGATCGCTACCAGACTTTGGCCCAAAAAAATGCCTACAACTATGCAACGAATACACCTAATAACAGTGATCAATAGTGTTCAGATAACCGTGTCGGAGTCTCGGACTTCTATTTATTCGGACTCTGTGTCGTTGAATGTTCGGGCTTGAGAGTGCCTCGGTGTTCTACGTGGGGGAAGCGGCGGGCGGAGAAATGCCAAATGGTCAACGGAAGAAGTGTTAAATTGCGCCTTCTTACTACCTACCTGTGATTCAAGACATACAACCTAACAGGAAACTGGATGTAAGTACTAGAATTACTACGGACCACACATCACCTCAGTCTCATGATTACAGTACAAGTTATTTCAGAATGACCAGCATGTCCAAATCATGTGTTTTATCAATCTTCCGATATGATCCAACACCATCAGCCCATTTGACCTCCTTGGACTGATTGAGATGGATTGGATATCTGACTTCATTCTCCTTCCCAGCCCAGTCAAAGTCAATTAGCCGCACAGTGTCGTCTTCATTGGGTCCCGGCATAATCATGATATTGGGTCTCCGAAGATCACCAAAAACAAGGCCCTCCCCATGGAGGATGCTAAGAGCACACTCGAGGTCACCGACAACATTTGGCGAAAGTGCAGCACCGTTAAACACTTTAGTGACAGTCTTCCCCTCAACATAACCCATCACAACCATCTTCAAGGCACCGTAACCAGCACCGTCTTCACTGAGGTGTTTAAAGTGCAAGAGAGGAGGAGCCAAGTTGTGTTGCGCAAGCAATCTATGGGCTTCGACGCCGTAAGTCTGGACGAACTTGACAACGACCTTGCTTTTGTCCGGGATGGTCTCGGCGAGGAAGGTGACGCAGCCGGGGTCAAGGGGCTTCAGTGGCTTAAGGTACTTGAAATGTACCCGCGGCTGGTTGTCATTGAGGAATGAGGTCGGGAAGGGGAAGAAACGGGGGTGGTGGGCATTGGACGAGAGGGGTAAGTGCACGAGATCTCTGTAATAGTCATTGAGGATGCGTACACCTGCCTTGAGGGCTCGTAGGACACCGGCAACACGGATACACTGCGCATCGTTGATGACGGGGCTGGTTCCAAGCCATATGAAGTCTGTGAGGCGCTGAACTATTGGCTGGGTGGTGAACACGGCACCCATTACAACCAGCCAAGGACCTGCGAGACAAATGATGAAAGATGGGCAACAACTACATTCCCTGAGTTCCTGGTGCTACGCGAAATATCATACAAGGAGACCAAGGAAGAAGGACCGGAGCGAATACTCACATCTTTGGACAGCCAGAAATCAGTGTATGAACACCCGCCTTGTGTCGTCACGTCCCCCCCATACCCCAACTCTGATTTTTCTTCGACAGTCGCCAGTAGGGCAGTTTGAATAGGAGACGTCCGGATGTGAAATATCGTGTGGTCAGCCGACGCCTTATTCAGATTAACGGACTGCAAGAGAGAAACCCCTAGTATGGTGGATATATGCGTACTGCTCGGAAGAGAGCGACTGCTCTCTAGAATTGCAATTCCAGATGCGTTCCTCATCAGTTCGCCGGTCTGCACGACAAGGTCTTCCGGAAGGTCACTCGTGTCACCCATGGCACCAAGGAAATCTGCAAAGACGGGATGATAGAGTTGAATTGGCGGGGCCGCTGTGGGAGTTGAATTGGTGGGATCGTAGCGACCATCGAGGATGGCCGTATCACCAGCCTGGTTCTTGATATAATTACTGGGACGAGAATTACTGGATGGACTTTCTCGGTCGACTATTATCGTCCTTTTGTACCCTTGATTGATTTGAGTGAGAGGTAATAGACGAGATATGTCTAGCGTACTCGATAACAAGTAATTGCCACTATCATCATCTTCCTCCTCCCGCCTACGTTTTGGGTGCCGGATTTCTAGAATGAAATGCAATTGTCCCGAGTCCACTCGTCCTTGGCCGCCTTGATTAAATGGCAGAAGATCCTTAACGCTCTGCATGGGATCTACAACGCTTGTAGCGATAGCCTCCAAGTTACCATACGCCTTGCTCAGGCGGTCTGACAGATAACTGGCAGCGTTGACTATGGGCACCGGTTCCTTGGGCTACAAGACTATCAGTTGAAGAATCCAGGACTTGCAGCAATTTGATACGTACTGTCCACAAACCCAGTTTTGAGCGATGAATACTGAGATCCTTAGCTATCACATTCACCAAATCAGAGATACACGCATCAGAGGACACCCGATATACATTAGCATAACCGCCAATGTCGATTTCTGCGGGTGATATTACCGACACAGCGAATGTATCGGCCATGATTGTCGTCAGTCACATCGAGAAAGCTGAGGAGCTGTAACCATTGTACCACACCCGGCAATTGCCATTGTGGGAAAATATAATTCAAAACTCCGGTTAGGGGCCTGGCCTGGAAGGACTACGCCTCTTTCTAGGTTCCTACCGTGACCTTCGACCCTTCTCGCGACTCGCAGCCCTTCCTCTAACAGTGCGCTGCTCTGCTGCACCGCCAAATACAAACTGAACTCCTTTTCGCAGTGTGCAACCAGCAAATCTTCAAATACGTACAATGTGGCTGCAAACGCGACGGGCTATTCGAGCAATGTGCTGAGCGAACAGGCACGATTGCGCGATGCGATAAGATCGAGACCAACGTCCTCAATGTTGTCGAGACGTATTGTAGGAAGCATACTGTGCCAACGACAGCTGTGACGATGCAAAAGTACGCTGTCTGAGGTCAGTTCTTTCCGTTAAGGATGAGGGAGAGGCCTGACATTCGCACCCTCTAGAACCCGCCCTTGTTTTCTGTATCACTTGAATTTCTCACCTCCGCACGCAGCATTTAGAAATGAGGATCCTTTTCTCTGGACGATATAGCATATACTCGGTCTTTTTCGACTCTGCCCAGCATTTTTATCAGACTCCCAATCTCTGTATCGTCTTTCTGTTCTTGCGTCATGCCTTGTAGCTCCACGCCTCTCGCCTTTTTCTAATTCTGTACCTGTCTTGTATGAATGGCTGGTTGTCTACTTGTAATGAATATATCAGCGAAGAATTTGTGTGCCTTTCTGGCCAACAGCAGACGGTCGGACTTCTTGCTCAAAGCAGCTGGATGCAACATGAGTTCTTACCGAGTATGAGGTGTCTATGCCGCATAGAAAGCGACGCTGCCTTCAAACGCTTCATTTCGACATCAATTCATCTGGGAGTCAAACCTGATAGATAAAATCTGGAGGAAAAGCACGTAGCTACCTTCATATTGGAACAGTTTTTAGGGCAAGTACCCGTATACGAAGCAAAGGCTCGACGACGCAACCAAAAGTAATTTCGGACATACAGATACTTGGATAAGTATTACGGTACAAGCTGTGAATCTTAGGACAAAAGGATATGTAACATAAAGCGCCTACGCAATAGAAGTTTTAAATGCGACAACAAAACTTGGGAGATATCACAGCGAGACAAGACATAGATATACATATCGACAATGACATACGGATAATGTAGATATCAAGAGTGTCCACACAGCACATAAATCTGATAAATAAGAGAGGTGAGGGATATTTATTATTCTGCTTAAGAGAGACAGGAATCAGGCAAAGGTCGGTACCTGCGACTTGTTTTCCTTTTCCTCTCCCTCGGACACCGACGCAATAGAGCCGGGCACAGTGGTTGGAACCTTGACCTTTGCAAGAGTTTTCTCCAAGGTCAGAGAGGGCCGCCGGTGAGGAGTAGAACTCGTGGAAGTGGACAGAGAAGGCCGGCCAGAAGTAGAACGAGAGAGGGTAGGAGGTCTACCTGAGAGTGATTGGCGGAGCTTGTCGGGAGGTGGACCCATCGATCTTTCACCAGCACGCGAAGATTTAGAAACCAGGGGTCCTGCTTTCGTCGATGAGCTTGCTGCAGGTGTCGGGGTGCTAAGGCTGTTCATGCGCGCACTTTTCATCAGGGCCGGAGTCTTGCTGACTATTGGAGTCTTTGCGACAGCAGAAGGCCCCATTTTCTCGAGCGAAGGTCGACTGATGTGGCTGGAATTCGACATAACACTTTCCCTCCCCGAATCTGACATGACAGACGGCGGTCGTGAACGAGGTGTAGCCATCATCGATTGGCGTCGTTGAGGGTTGGCTTGATTAGCCGCCGGGCGAGCAGGAGTAGAGCCAGCTGTACCCTGCACATGTAGTTTCCGTTTGATCTATAAGGCATGGTAAGCTGACAGTTAAATAAAACAGAACGGAGAAACATACCAGCTCTAGTTCTTGTTGTTTTGCATCCAACGCCATATTCAACCCATCAACATCAGAGCGGTCTTTCTCCCTCTCCTTGTGCATCTGCGTCAACTTCAAATCCTTGTTGGCGCTATCCTGCTGGAGCTCCTGCATATGCCTTCGCAGACGCTCAACCTCATCCTTCAAGGCACCAACGTCCTGTGCCTTTTCCTTCAGCGCCATCTCTGCGCACGCTTTGCTCTCGCCTTCACGCCGGGCTGCCTCTTCAAGCGCCCTGGCGTGTTCTTCCTGCATGCGTGCCATTTCCTGGCGCATATTCATCTTCTGACTATGCAGCTCCTCCAACTCGGCTTGCCTCTGCGCACTCCGACGACTGTATTCAGCCGCCTCTTCATCTCGTTTGCCTAACTCATCCGCAAGTCGTGTTATCTCGCTTTCATGCTGTTGCTCAAGCGCCGCAATCTGTTCATCGCGTTCATGAAGGCACTGGGCCAGATCTGCAGCACGCTCCTCTTCCTCCAGTCGTTCATGAAGCTAGTATACGCAGATAAGACTTTATTTCTTAGAACAGAAAAAAGACGTACCTCATCTCGCTCCCTCTCGAGGTCGGCATTACGATCCCAAAGTTCTGATACTTGCTGCTCGACTTCAGCGCGCCTGTTGACACTATCGTTGTAGTCGACCTCCATTCGATCAATCTTAGCGTTTAGCTCGGCTACGTCGACTTGAAGGACATCGCATTGTTTCTCCAATGTCGTCTTCGCCGTTTCAAGTGCCTGTATCTTATCCGTAGCAGCCTCCGAAAGGCGCCACTGGGATTCGAGTTCAGCCTTCACCATACGTAGTTCGTCCTTATCATCCTTGGCGTCCTTCCTGGCAGCCTCGGCCTCACTCTTCAACGCCGCCTTTTCTATCTCGAGTCTCTCAATCGCAAGGTGGAGCTCCTGGCGTTCTTGGTCCCACTCGGCCTGCGCTAACGTGTATCGCTCCTTCTCGCCTTCCTGCTCCTTCTCCTTCTCCATCATATGCTTCTTGAATTCATCGTCGAAAACAATGCTGACGTTGCCCAACTGCTCGACCTCCTCCTGCAAAGGCCGGAGACTCTTTTCGAAACGTTGCTCCTCTTCCTCCTGAGTCCACAACGCTTCCTTCAGTCTCATGACATCGTCAGACCTTTCCTTCACCAGAGCTTCTAATGTGGCAACCTCCTCTCGGAACATTTCCTCCATGCGCCTCCAAGATGCCTTCTCCCTCTCCAGATCTACGATCCTCTTCTGAAGTGCCGTCAAGGCTTCCTCGCTGCAGGTATCAAGCATACTTCTCTCAAAGCTCTCTTGCCTCGCACTGTCTACCTCGTCCTCTAGGTAGCGGCAAGTTTTCTCTAACTCGGCAACCTTCTTTTTCCACGCTCGTAGGACGCCCTTGCGTTTCGTATCTTCCTTCTCAACCTCCGCAAGTTTTTTTCCCAAGATGTCAACGAGTTCGTCCCGAGCGCGAAGATCTGTCTCGTACTGTCCACAGAGCTCCTGTTGCAGCGAAAGCTGCGTTTGAAGAGAGAATAGGACGTTATCTTCTTTGGAGGCCGTTCGTACATGACTCGGAGCACCGCGCGGAGGTGTAACTGGGATGTTGGCCTGCGGGGTATAGTACGTCTTTGCACCTGCACTGAAGGGATCAGGCTCGGGTGCCTTCTCAGAGTACACAACGAGATCGGCAGACGATTCATCGTTAATATCTGCCTCTGGTTGACCCTTTGAAGAAGCGTGGGAAGAAGCAGAGGTCGTGGATTTCATTAGCGACTGGAAAACGGTATCGTTCAGTGCTCGACTTCGGTTTTTGTTGTCGGAAGAATGAGGTGAGTCGTTAGAAGGAGCGGAATTCTTTGCGTCGTTAGACGTGACAGACGGGGCGGTGGACGCATTAGAGGACCGTTTGGACTTATCGTCCATAGAAAAGAAGACTGTTTGACCGAAACTGAAAGACTGGCTACGGTCATGAAGAGGGGCAGACCGATTCAGAGACTTTTCTCTAGAGTGGAACACTGCCTCATCAACTTCGATAGGAACGGCGTTCTCTTTCTCCTCCTCGGTCTCGGCTGCTCTTTCTTTGCCTTTCCCCTTGTTAGCGAAGGGCGTAGAAGTCATCGCTTTGCCTTGGAAGCCTCCTTGAGCAACATTCGATTCGTGGGTATCGCTTCCTTTGGCAAGTGATGGTTCATCCATAGAAAAACTAAGGCCGGGCGGCGCGAAATTGGGAAGTTGGATATCCTGAGAAACGTCGAATATGTTGGAGTTATTTGGGGCAGAGGGAGAGGCGAGTGCTGGTGTCGAAGCGTTTTCCTTCGGTGAAAAAGGCGAAATGGGGGAGCTTACCCCGCCTATGGGGGAGAAAACTTCACCCAGAGAAGGACGACCCGCCTTAGACGAAGATGCGGAACGGGGAACAGCGGTCAAGGCATTCGGGAGTGGGCTGAGCTCCTGAAAACGGTCTGTGGGTGACCCGTTGAGTAGCGGCTGAGATTGTGACTGAGGCGAGAGCTGTTGCATTGGCATGGAGTCTGAGTCCATAGATTGGTCTGGACTGATCGTTTTGTACGCGTCCCGAGAAAAGAAGCGAACGTTCTGGCCTGTACCAGGGGTATTTGGTTCGCGCAGGATAGAACGGACGGAACCGTATCTAGGATCGTTAGGATCCTCGTTATGAGATGGCTGAATAGATTCATTCTGAGATTTGTTGAGGATATCCAAAGAAGAGCGTGGTAGTGTAGGGGTGGGCGTAGATCGACCAGCATCCATTGATGGTCGTAAGAGATCTTGGGAGGGGCGGCGCCCCATATCAGGGGAATGAACGGGACGTTCAACTGTGGCACGACTGAGTGAGCGTTGAGATTCTATATCATTAAAATGTTCATATAGCACAAACGGAAGAAAATTTCGAGTACTCACCATTGCCTATGAGATCGAGAGATGACTTTACCTTCTTCGATAATCCAAGCGCCAGTGGCGATGGCGACGGCGCCCTTATGGAGTCATCGTCTTTCCCCTTGTTCGTCCGTCTGAATATAGAGCGCCTTCCATTCTTCGAGGGAGACGCTGGAGGACTGGGCACAGAAATAGAGGTGTCCGCCTCTCCATGGAAAACGGACATGTTGGGATGCTGCTCCAACACCCTCGACATTACATCAGTTTGGTTCCACGATGAGTCCTGATCATCGTTCGACGGCCGATATTTGAGAGCATTGGTGATTTTCGACCACATCGCGAAAAGAAAAGGTACGGCAACAGGCCAGGTAACCTAGAGGGGATTGAGATGTTGGTTGCAGGAACGAGCAATGTGATGGCGCCCAGGGCCCTGTTGAATCAATCAACATTGCCAAACACTGAAGTGGCTCGCGTTTTCATTCACACCACGTGATCGCAAAGCGCACAGAAGCGGCGGTGGCATAGATTCTTGGAACTTTCGTTTTATCAAGTTTATGTCACTGTGAGTCGCCCACGTTTATTTAATTATTTGCTTGACAAATACTATCAGCGAACAAGCAAACGTTTCTAAATCCTACATAGACTGTTGCTTCCTGCCAATTACTGGTCTAGGTCACGGGAAAGTTGTATCATGCCCCATAGAACGAATACGATTAAAGCCTGGAATTGCACCGTGAATCTAACTCACTGCTCTTATGCAAGTCAACAAAAAGTCAGAAGGAGTCCATTCTGGAAGCCAGCGCTAGACAGGTAATACGAGAGTACTAGTCTATGTGATTGGAATTTGGATCCTCGACGGAAGCTTATTGCACAAAAAAAGGTGTATTATAACGTATCAAGATGTTACCTCTGCACAAATATATCAAGCAGACGCAGAGCATCGAGAATCAAATTCAAACCAAGCTTTTATATGGTAATACTTCGAACAAGACTTCTCGAAAGCAAATAAAAAGATTAACTTGTAACTTGCGCCCCTCCGGAATGGGGGGTGGGGGTTCGATTATCCCGCTACTGGCAATACCTGAGCTTTGGGCTGAGGCCACTGCTGAGGTTAGGTGTAGTAAGTCGATAACCATGGTAAAAAAAATCGGAGGCTTGTCACAAATGGATGAAAAGATGCTCGTACGTATGCATTGCTAATAATACATCAGTCGTTTTGTCTGAATCGATAGGCCTACTCGACTGTAGGAGGATTCCGTCGGTTACTAATAAAATCTCCTTCCGTGAAAATTGACACAGCCACATACAGGTACTTACCGGAACCCTCCACTGGCACCACGTCCGAGTCGCGAATTCGGCCCAGTTTGTTTTACGTGCTCTGAGGACATTCAAGGTAAATTACTCTCCTTGACTGTGCATTCTTCCAATTGATAATCCTCCAAAGTCCCTTTACATCTGTCCAGCACGCGCAAGACGGCAGCAGCAAATTTTCACTGAGGTTTTTCTTCGATTCTCGTTCGAACCTCGAAGCTTGAATTTCTCATTTATTGTAGGCAGGAACATTGCTGGCAGTTATACACACAGAGTACCTCTAATACCTGTGCACATACCCGTCGGGATGATTCGTTTTACTCGCGGTGCCATCAACGCTAGACTGTATGGCAAGAGGTACATTGCCATAATTTTACCCTTTCGCTTTTGAATTAATGGCTTTAGAACACCGCATGCTCGTCTTCTCCCATCTTTGACACAGGTGTGCCTCATGCTATTGCGATAATGCCAATTGAACACAATGCAGTCACCCAGCTTGAAATTCGAGCGTCAAGCGCGTATCGCCAGTCCTGTCAGTCGGAATTTCTCTCTATGGCCTTCATTTTCATCGAAGAATCCAACACCGCCACCACCTGAACCTCCTGCTGCCGACGTAGCCGATGCTAACATCCCTACGGAAGAGGTCCTCCCCTCAACGCCTTCGGAAATATTTGCTTTCCCAGAGACAATTCCTTCCGACATTGTCGAAACTACCACTGCAGTTATCGCTCCTCTCCAGCCCGGTGATTTGGCATCCATGGGCCTTGCAGCGTATACCCCCGTCGGCGCGTACCAGTCCTTCCTGGAATATCTAAACTACACCACCGGCCTTCCATGGCTCTGGACAATCGTCGCAGGAGCAGCTATAATGCGAACGCTTGTTATACCCTTCACCATTGGCTCGATGAAGCAGACTGCACTGATGCCCCTCGTGAACAAGGAAGTCATGCCTCTCCGCGACGAGATGCAGCTTGCCGCTGCCAGTGGAGACCGTCAACGCCAGATGCAAGTCTACCAGGCGATGCGAGATGTGCAAAAAAAGCATGGTATCAGCTTGGGGAAAACCTTCTCTGGTATTTTCTCCCAGATGCTCGTTTCGATTAGCGCGTTCCTGGGGGTGAATGGGATGTGCAAGTTGCCTGTACCTCAACTGACGCAGAGTGGAGTGTCATGGGTCACGGATCTGACAGCGCTACCTCCAACTGAACTGTCTGTCGCGTTTGCTTCCACAGTTCTCCTTCAAACCCTGGTGCGTGCCGCGGTTTGCGTTATCTGACTTTTCTTAATGCCACTCTCCAGCTCGCCTCCCGAGAGCAAGATCCTAACGACCCTAGAGCTATAACGATGAAAATATTCACCGCAATCGCGCCAGTTCTTTCATACTGGGGCATAACCCATTTCGAGATTTCAGCGGTAAGCGGAATGCTCCCATCCATTGAGTTCTATTCAGCTATCATATATTCTCCAGGGCACTGTTGTCTCCATGTTCGCTTTTTCTTTCGTCCATATCACCCAGACAGTTATTTTACAAATAGCGCCTATCCGTGCACTAGTTGGTCTCCCTCCTCTACCAAGCCGGACGAAACCCAAAATTCTGGAGGAAATTCCCGTCGCTCCCCGAAAAGTACAGACACCTTTGAAAAGCAGGCATTAATTAGAACCTCTAATAATGATTGGACGTCCATGAACCCCCCTCATTCCGCTATCATTGATTGCGTGTATGTTGTGAACCTCACTTGGACAATGGAATGCCTTAGCTTCATTTTAAGAGAACAAGAACAGAGGATGCGTTAGCACGCGGCCCAATTGAAACCGGATGTCATTGTTCGAAATTTAACAGCATTATTTATAGATAGCTCACGTACGTCTGCACCGTGCATATAAGAACTGTGCTGCACATCGCGCTTCTGTATCGCGTTCCCACCATGTCACGGACATCTTGTATGTCCGACTCGGAGTCTTTTCTTTCTTTGCTATACGACTCCGAATCGCAGCTTTCACAGTCGCTGGCAGGATCTCTGAAGCACTCGACCTCAGCCCCCGTGTTTCCACTCTACATGCGATACATCTAGTTCACTATCGATGCCAAGAAGACTCTAGCTGATCTAGATGATCCAGAAGTAGACAGTATCACTCAGGACATGAAAGGGAAGATATAGTTTGGATGTGTAGTTAAGGTCAGGCTTTCTCAATCCGCTTGCAATAAGCTCATTATTATCCAGGCAATCGGAGCATGGGATCCCAAGTTGACAAGTACTTACATACAGCTCCTTGCACCTGGACCACCAGAACGGTTTACTGGCATCAAACCATGGGCATCAATACCACTATCCTCTCAAGTCGAAGATCCTCGAACAGATTGGGAACCCATTGTTCACACCAATAATGTTTTCCCGATCCCCGGATGCTGCCCACTGGACTATCCTCCCCACCGTGAAATGCAGATTCCCGAAAGAGTGAAAAGAGGGTAAGGATGCACCATACATGGATATCTGGATGCCCACGGATCGTGTCTTTTTATGACGGCTAAATTTGATGGTATGAGTACTAGCCAGGAGCCTCTGGAATCAAAGGATGCAGCCGGAAGGAACGTTGGCCCGAGAATCATTCTGCCTTGGAGGCTACGATATTTCGTCTAAGTTCACTATTGATGATATCGCCGACCCTAGGGATTTCTTTGAGGAACAACAGTTCCTCTACAAGTGTTTACTACTGGCCTGGCGACTTGCAACTTGCTTATACCTACCACCCGCAGGTTGGAACAAGAATCCTCGGCTCGCCAGCGTGAAAATGTTCGTCCTGCCGAAGAGGCCATATCACAAAAAACGACGACGTCTCACGCAGAATATAGGTCCGGCCATCGGAGATGGAAGGAGAAGTGGTTCAACTATTTCTCTCAAATTCGCCGTTCCGTATCATCAATCGCTTCCGTCGAAAAGAGTGGTCATGCTGGTAGCACAGATGACCAACTCCCTTCTCACGATAACTACCTGCGCATATTGCAGACGGTAGAAAGATAAAGGTACAAACAACAGTTATATGAGCGGGAATATTCCTCGATTGATAGATACACTTTATAGTACAACATAGCCTTATTTACAAACACGAAAGCATTCCAGTTCTTACAATCTACTTTCCATGACCACGCTTCCTCTCCTCCAACTGAGCGTCGCCGGACCAAACGCAGCGTCCAGCGCCTCTCGGATGTTCCTCACAAACACAAACTCCATCTCATTCCTGATCTCCGGCGCAACATCGTGTTCTACGTCCTTGCGGTTACCCCAAGGAAGGATCACCTTGGTGATATGTGCACGATGGGCACCGAGGACCTTCAAAGTGTAGGCTGTCAATCACCGTCCAAAGATAGAGCGCTCCATAAACTCACCTTCTCCTTGATACCGCCCACGGGGGTAACATGTCCTCGGAGGGTCACCTGTATCAGACATAATTTGAGTGTTCCTTTTCCTAGAAGCCATACAATGTCAATATACCTCTCCCGTCATGGCGATATTCGACGGAACAAGCGCTCCGGTCAACAACGATACAAACGCGCATGTCATTGCAACGCCAGCACTAGGACCGTCCTTCTTCTGCGCGCCCGCAGGTAGGTGAAGGTGGATATCAATAGGATCCGGACCCTTCAGTGGGTCCTGACTACGCGAGTTCGTAATCCCGAGGTCATACGCGTGCGTCTTAACCCAGCTCAAGGCGATCTCGCTGCTCTCTTTGATAACCTGAAACTCGAGTCAGTACAGATATAACCGATAATGAAAACAATGAGATATCTCACATCACCCAAGCTTCCCGTCCTCTTCAGACTGCCCGTTCCTGGGACCGCGATAGTTTCCACAGGAAGAATACCGCCTTCACCCTGGCCCATGACCACCAAGCCAAATACAATACCCCTGGCTTCTTCCCGCTCCTTCTCTTCGCCTTCCCACCGTGAAATACCCAGCATCTTTTCCAAATCGCTCTCCTCAACGACAGGCGAATAGGATTTTCCCTCGGAACCATCTGTCAATAGCTTGCCATCCGTGAGAAGCCTCTGCTCGCCATGGGACACGTCCTCGTCGAGGTGCTCAGCCCATTCCACCGCTTTGTGTCTCACGACGGCTCCAATTGCCCTATCCAAACTCCGCACACCTGCTTCCCGAGTGTACCGTGTCGCGATATGCAGCAGTGCTGGCTCCGTTATGCTGACTAACTCCTCCTTCAAGCCGTTCGCAGTAATCTGTTTGGGTAGCAAAAATCGTCGAGCAATATGCATCTTCTCATCGTACGTGTAGCCTGAGAGCTGAATAATCTCGCAACGATCCAAGAGTGGACCCGAGATTGTGTCAAGAGAATTACTCGTGCATATGAACAAGATTTGGCTCAAGTCGACAGGAACGTTAAGGTAATGGTCCTGTTAGAACGATTAGTACCTCATCAGAATAGAAACAGAACAACTCACGTTGAAGGCATGATTCTGCTCGGGATCCAGTACTTCCAATAATGCCGCTCCAGGGTCTCCGTGGAAGTTGCTCTGGCCAATCTTGTCAATCTCGTCAAGCAGTAGAACAAAGTCCTTCCGGCCGGCCTTGCGCATGGCTTGCACGATGAGGCCCGGACCACTGGCGACGTAAGTCCGCCTGTGACCTCTGATCTCCGCCTCATCACGAACGCCACCCAGTGAGATCCTTTGGAAAGGCCTGTCCAGAGCTTTGGCAATGGACTGGCCCAAAGAAGTCTTGCCTACACCGGGAGGACCTACGAACAGCAATATCGGCCCCTTGACATTCTGCGCGCGCGATGGAACAGACTTGGCTGTATACGGAATGAGAGCCTTCTCCCCATCCATCTGTTTCGTGTCAACTCCAGAGATCATCTGAGTGTCCGCGTTCATTTCCTTTAGCCGGACCACAGCAAGATACTCAATTAACCGCCGCTTGATCTTCTCCAGACCAAAGTGATCTCTGTCGAGCTGCTGCCGGGCGCTGGTGAGGAAGGACTTATCCTTCATAAGAGAAGCGCCTGCTGGATGCGACGACCACGGGATGGATGTCAGCCACTCAAGGTAGTTTCGGATGACTCCATTCTCTACGCTGCCTTGGGGAATCCTCTTCAACCTCCTCCATTCCCGAACGCCCATCTTGCGTTCTTCCGAGCCATGATCCATGGCTTCAATTTTGCGCTTGAGGTCGGCCAGATCGTCGGCATCATGTTGCTCGTCGTCATCGAGCTCTGAGCCTGAAGATTCGGATGAGTTGGGAGAGTTGTTGCGTGGAGAATTAGAGGTGAGAGAATGGAGTTCGCGCTGAATAGCGGCGAGTTGTTGACGAAGAAAGAATTCTTTTTGTTGTTTGGATAGGGACTCGTCAACAGCAGAAGCGATCTTTTTTGAGACTTCGGAAATGGAAGCTTGCTTCAGGAAGATATCCGTTGCCAGTGAGAGCCTGGTTTCGGAGTCGGGAGTGCTGAGAATGGCTAGGAAAGATATCAGTTGATAAGAACTGAAGCTGTATTGAATAATAGACGCACCGAGTTTGTCATCATACTCTCCATTGATGCTTCCAATGAGAACATCCGCCATCCAAGGAGCTCGTGCATCGGTGATGTCGTCAAGCATGCTGGCAATCTTTTGATAGCCCTCCTTTCGCGAGGATTGCACGGCATCAGTAGCGAGCCTGTCGAGCAACCTCAATGCACTATGTTTGAACTTGTCAACGACATCTCTGGACGGTATCCGTTCAGTGGGCGGGTACTCAATTTCGTGGACGGGTAGAGTCGTCTCCAAGGATGTTGGAGCCGTGAAGGGTGCTGTAAGATGTACCCGTGTGAGGCCATGGAGCGAAACGAGATAGGGCTGGCGAGGATTCCGAGCTGGAGGACGCACGAGCCGGAGGACGCGAGTTGCCGTACCCCATTCTGAGTAAACAGGAGCAGAAGAGGCCGTAGGGGTGTTTGTGATGGGAACAGCGGCGACAACAGGTAAGGCATCCGACTGCTCAATTAAAGCTAGAACGGCCTCTCCCTGCTCCTTGGACAGCGCCATGGTGAAGCGAGAAGCCGGGAGTAGTATCAAGGGATGCGGCAGCTGCAATACCGGAAGTTTCGAGGTAGCCATGATGGATGTAGCAGCGGCAACGATAGTAAAGCAAGTAAAAGGGAATGACAGGCAACTTGTAGAATGTGGTACTGAACGACAGTCAGTCAGTCCTCGAAGGCTCCGTCAAGTAGTACCCCGCGTTCACACGTGACCTCCCTTTTCAGAAATGAAGGCACATGTTTTTCCCCATCGACTGCCATGATGTTCACTCCGTGATTATTGATACCTTGGTGACCCGGCCGGACAGCTGATGTACATGCATGATACGGTTATCTATCAAGACATGCAAAATTTTACCTCTGGGTTCACTCTTGGCTTTGAAAGAAACCATTTCTTGTTGTCTCACGACTGCCTGCTGGTCATCAGTCTCCCAGTCCCAAAGCCTGGCGGAACGGACGGGCCTTTGTTTTTACATAGCCTACTAATCACTCATTCTCCGTGAACGGCCTGTCAGCACAGGCTGACGAATAGTACCGACAAAAAAGAACTCCATCTGGGCCGACCTTGATTCGCCGGCCACAATGGGACGAACTATTACTATTGGCTTTGCTTCCATCAGTAGAAGATGCTCCAAATTCCTATTAGCCTTCTGAGCCCACCGCAACCCATGTCATTTCCGCTGTTCCCAGTCAGCTTTTTGTACTTATCTATCGAGAGGTTCTCTACAACTGGTCAATCACCACCTTTCCATCTGTAGCAGGTGGACGCCACATTGAGTCTGACATTTTGTGCATGTCAATTAGCCGCTCCTTTCCGTGGGCCGGTCTACTCCACACTTTGCATCATCTTCAAACCACTGGGTCATCTTTCCAGCTGTAACGACGTAGAAAGCCGGTAGGAGATGATCGATGAAGACGGATGTTCTCTTCGACAATGTTACGCCACAGTTCTGTCCCAAAGACACCGGACGGGAACGACTTCTACCGCGTCATCTAATTTATTCGACATATGAACAGGCTGATATCTTCATGATGTTCGCACGTTCACCTCGATTCAAGCCGAGACAGAGATAACAATGGTAGGATGCAATACGCAGCGAATGCATATAGATACATTCAATGAAAAATATTGCCTTGTGATGATAATGCTGATGCGCCACTGTATGTAAAAATCCCGGATCAGGGAGAATCACCCTCAAAGCACGCGAACCATGACGAAAGATTTACCTCATTATCACTTTCTCAGCTGGACAGTTACGATATGCTTTCGCATCTTTTCAACTGGTGATATGACTGTGAGTACACGCGATAAATATACCAAGTACTGTATCTAACCTTATCGTTGTGAAGTATTCATTACGGATTCCATCTCACGATCCTCGTTCTCACTCTGAACGATTAGGTACAGTCGGGTAGGACATCTCTTTCCACGATCAGAATCAGAGTTTCCATGTTGGCCTGCGCCTAGAATCAAGATTGCGATTAGAACTCATGTGGCGAGAGCGCAAGACCAACAGGGTCCCTCAGCCAGACGATAGCGATCCGAGCGATGGCACTTTGGCTTTTTCTTTTCGCGAGCTGAAGATCTGACTCGTCGAAACAAGGATAGGACAAGTATCTATAGGTGCGAATTAATTATCAGCGCGCTGGAGTCTGGTGGATCAGAAATTGATCTCTCGTAAAATTGATACCCGACATACAGACCAAGTTTACACACAATTTCGGACCAGGCGACCCGCGCAGAACAGGGAGGACAAATTTCGCAGAACTAGCCAGAAAAAAAGTCTGCTGCTCTTCAGGACTTGGTTCCAACATGGCTGTGTATTGCTCAGAAATATCGCAACCCGCGCCGGTGTACGTCAAGCAGCTGTCTTGGACAATGGTGTCAACGATCTCAGGGTAAACCCCTTTGAGGTACCATTGTTACTCGAAGATGAAAAATATAGCAGTTTTTCCGAAAATTTGCGTAATCTGTGACATCCGAGTCGGTTAGCTTGAAGAAAGAGGCTACACCACCCTAGCTAGTAAGGACCAAGTACGAGAAGCCAAACAGAGAGGACCGAGACGGACCGAGATGTCATCCCGCTTTACACACTTGGTGAAGTTAAGGACACTTGATGCTTTACATAACGCGCTAATATGGCTCACCCAGCGCCAAGTTCCTTGAGCCTTGAAACGCTAGTCCCTAGCAGTACCTTCAAATTATTCTTACCTTGCTGTCTTTCTCGGATGTTCCTCGAAGGATTTTGCAGCTTAAGTTGGCAAGCTTAAGTTGAGAGCAAGACAATCACTGCGTGCCAGCACACGACCAAAATCAAATTGCAGCCGCTGATCGATAATCGATCAACAATTTTGATGATGCAAAGGGTCGGGGGCCGATGTTGGCCGCTACTGTGTCGAGTTTGTTGGAACTCGAAATTGTCTGCTCCGCGGAGTCAAGCTTCAAGGTCTAAGTACATCATACTGTCTTCATCGACGAGGGCACTAGTACAAGAAATTCGAACTCAAATTGATGAATTCATTGTCGCGAACCAATGACGATTCGTTACAAGTTATGCAACAGGAGAAGGAGGTAAACGAATATCAGGGATGGATTCACGAAGGTCATCCAGAATACCTTCCAGACTTTGCACTAATGCATACCGCTCTCCCGCGTGTCCACCTGTTTCAACAACAGCGAACAACAAACCGACAGCTATCAGTTTCCCGTCATCTTTGGTGAACACCAAAGAACCGGACTCTCCTGGTTCTCCAAGTACATTGTATATAGGTGAATGAGACAAGCATCGCATAACCGCAATCTTGCCACGGGACTCGGATGTGACATCCCCTCCTGGAGAACTGTCGTTTGATTCCATCCAAACTAGCTCCGTCTGAGCGATAAGCGTCGCATCGCGCCATCCTCTTGATGAATAATAGAAGATAGGGGTGTCCACTGCTGGTAAGGGCCCGACAGTGTCAAAGGAAAGATATTCTTGACCATCACGCTGTAGAAATCCAACATTGATGAAAATGATACTTGGTAAGCTATCATACCAAAACTCATACGGAATGATGTTTTCCTGCGGTGCTATATCCTTGGGAACGCTAATAGCAGCGTAATCAAGGAAGAATCCCGATGAAGATTGAGATGAAAAGTGTCATATCTTTGAAGTGTGCTGAGGCGTCGACTGACCCAAAGAAACGCTCCGATTCCCACATCTCCACCAGTCTTTCCTCCGCACATGGATCAAAGGCTGATCGATACTTAATAAATCGGGAGATAAAGGAATATTCGGATGGAGATTGGATATGCAAGGGGAAATTCAAGTCCTTGACAGTATTCAACGGCGATGGAGGGGGCCAAGCATAACAGCAATGCCCTGCTGTCAATGCATACATCTGACCGCCCCCTTCGAGATAGCATCCAAGAGTGCACCGAAGACCTGTATTGTGCTTGCCCGTGTGAATGGCATGTGCAGACCACTTGTCGCGATTTGTCTTATAGGGTTCTCCTTCACCTTTCAGGGGACCGAAAGACGAGGGCTGTTATGGATCTGCCGAAATCCGGAGATGCGAGCACGAGGCGAGGAGTGATGATCGAAGCGAGGTATGATTAATTAGAAATGATGTACGTCGTTAGGGAATATAATGGATTCCGGCGAGGGTTCGTGAGGAGACCTGAGAGGTCCGGTTTGCGAAATAAAGGAAATCAGTAAGCGCGAAGCAATTACTGAGGGAAATAGCCGGTAAGCGCGGAGCAATTACCGATATAGAAAGCCTGTAAGCGCGAAGCTATTACGGGCCGTGGGTGAAGGCAAGCGCTAAGCGTAACCTTCGGGTTGGTGTCAGAAAGCGCTAGGCGTATCCAACGAGTTGTTCAGAAAGCGCTAGGCGTAGCTGAGGGTTCACGCAGTGAAGGTGTCCTGAAGTGGTAGATTGGTAAAAGCTTTTTCAATACAATATTACCTACGAGTTTATATACTAAGGAAAGGATCAAGTCATTATTATTCTACAATGCTCCATAATATTCTAGTATTAGTAAGAAGAATAGAGAAAGTAAGAGAAAATAAGAGAAAGTACGAGCGAGTCACTACTAGGGCCGAGAAGGCCGAGTACGGGCATGTGTTGACTCATGCACCGAATTAGTGGATACCCAATATCCATAACAAGGGCCGTATAGGCATGGTGAAAGTGAGTGGTGAAAGAGATTCTCCGGGACAAACTGTCTTTAATAAGCTACGTCCATGGTTGGCTGGAACTGCAGACGATGATGGTGGCAGAGACAGGCGCAGAAGCGTACCCGTTGAGTACCGTACAGAAACATCATGAGGAAGCTTGTGTCTGGCAGCATCAACGACAGAGACAGGCGCTTCCTCTAGAGTGTGAACAGTAATAATAGTAACGTCCAAACGCTCTGGACTACCACGCACTTTAACCGAGCTATAGGGGAAATTACAGCCAAACTGGGTGGAGAAAATGAGGAACGGCTTGTAGTCCTTGAAATGAATCCATAGCATATCTTCGCTTTCAGGAATAGATGCGCGTAAGCGATGTGTGAGATCTGGTCGAGGTCCAACGTCCTCGGCTATTGGCCGAAGGGGCGCCCATTGAAGAATATCCAAGCAGCGAAAGCACTTTTCCCAGTGATTGCGATAGGTATACCCAGAAATGTCACGAGGAAGGGAAAAAGAGCTGTTGACAAGAACACGAATCCAAGACTGCAAGATTGATGTCTGTTTCTCCACCAATATCTGGTCGAAAGGAGGAGATATTAAATGTTCCTTTAAGGAGGTTTTAACATGAAAAAGCACCAGCTGTAATGGCGATGTTATGTCAAAGTCAAATTGTAAAGCCTTTGAGATTGAAGGTATGTTCTCAAGACGAGAAAGCACCTGCGACTTTGTTAACTCAAGAGTAGCAAGAGAGTAAGGTGGACGAAGAACCTCTGTTAGGGATGAGAAGAAAGTGAAGACATCATCTGCAGATGCTTCTCCATTCTTGAACTCTTCAAGATACTTCACGATCTCGGGTATGCAGTTCTCTTCACTTCCAGCGCTCACTCCTCGTTGCTTCGGTGCTTGAGACGGACTTGTTGGAGTTTTGGTACATGATGGCGTTGAACTCTGGGGCGAGGAAGACGGAAGAGTCTGAGGGAGTGCCCGGTGCTTGGGCGACATTTGCGGATCTCTAGGTTGACGCCGAGAGTTCATGTTGTACAAGCTGTCTCAATCACCATGAACGGCTGTGTTAATGTCAGACATTGACCAAGTTTGTGCAATACCCGAGTTCATCGATGAGTCGATCGATGATCATTTGTCACTTCTTCGTCATGGTGTAATATACAACAACTACACGGCAGTACGACGGGAAAGCCTGCAGATTTATATGGTCGAAGTCAGCCAAATAAAGGGAACATCGTTGAGCTGATATCAATCCAAGATGGCTAAGCGCAAGAAGGCTGTTAAATTAACGCTCGTCGCTAGAGCAGAACAGCAGATCCCAGCAGACGCAAGAGAGAGAAGCATTCAACGATGTCAAGTGAGTCGAAAGGCCCCTCACTATTGTCACCAAGAGTCAGAGAGCCATTCAATTAAGTGGGACTCCTTGCTATCATCAGCATCGAAAAATCAATTTTTGTTGGCAGAGGCTGTTTAGTGCTGTGCAGTGTAAAGTTCCCACGCCTTCAATCTCCGCCCGCACCGTGCGCCATTACAGGAAGGACGATTTTCAAGTCTATGCCGTCTCCGTCTTCCTGCTCTATGTCGCACTACAAGTCTGCAAATTCCCGCGCTCAGCCGCCCTCAGATCAGACACAGAAAACAACCAAAGTTCCCTGAAAAAGCTCGGCAACCTTCACGGAACTTTTCCAACCTGGTCAAACGATGGTCCGTCATTGACCCGATTTCTAGCCATTTTCGCGTCCTCAATATTTTACACAGATCTACAGTCCCTGCTCAGCGAGGTTAACGGTGACGTCCAATTAGCAGCTACAAGGATTAGTGACGGTGCGCTATCTGCCAGTTTTCTCTTTGTTTCTTTTCACTGATACTCGAGGCAACCGTTGCAGGCCACGCAGAGCAGTGGGGCTCAGTCACTCGGAAAAAGGAAAAGAAAACGACACCAGCCCCCGGTCATGCAGCGAAGGAGTCGGTTTCTGCAAGGGGTGATTTCCGTGGGGGCCGGGGCGGTCGTGGAGGACGAGGTGGTCTGCTTGGCCGTGGCGGAGGCTCTCGTGGTCGCGGTGGTCTTCCCAGAGGCGGTGCAGCTAACGGTCATGTTGCTGTAACACATCAGCAGGGCTCACCTACACCAACTGGCGCGCCAGCGACCTCGACTTCGGTCGTTACCGACAAACATGACGCGTCGTCAGCCCCAAGCGACGCTCCGCCTTCAGCATGGGTCGAGTCATCCTCGTCGTCTCTGTCAGAGACCCCGGGAGCATCAACAGGTATTTCAACGCCTGGCTCAGCCTTGACTGGCGTTAGCACCACGTCGACGTGGGGCGGCGACACCGATGTCAACGGCTCAACGCCGTCGGTTAATCTCAGTCCAGTCCCATCAAAACCTTCTAAAATCCCCGCGACTTCAAAACGTTCATGGGCTCAAGTCGCACGGTATGTTTTCTTTTATTTTTGAAAAAAAAATTGCTGTAACCTTATTCATGTCGTCAAGGCCCCATGAGAAGTCGACTCCACCACCACCTCCCCCGCCAGCTCCTGTTGTTGCATCTCCTGCCCCCGTGGTGCCCTCACCTATCCCGACGAATCCTCCATTGCCACCGGCTCCTGTTCCCGAACCTGAACCAGACGCTCAGCACCTCGGATGGGAAGAACCAACGACGGTTCAGGCGCCTTCCTGGGACGATGAGCCGCCTGCGAAGCAATTTGCAGAGTCTTGGCCACCAACAGAGGCAAAGGCAGAGCCAGAACCCCCTGCTCCCGTTGAAGAACCTACACCGACACAGGCGCCAGAACCTGTGCTCGAAAAAGCGCCAGAGCCAGAGCCAATACCTTCACCTATACCATCCAAGGCTGCGGCTGCACCCGTACGACCGGCGCCTGTTACACATCGTAGCAGTGCTAAATATAAAAGTGATCAGCCTGTTATCCTGCCGAGCTCGTTCGGCTCCAGCGTAGAAAAGGTCGGCATGCAATTCGGTAGTTTGAGCCTTGGAGGAGAGAGCGTGTTCGATCCCCTTGCGTGCGTATTCTTATCCAAGGACATTATTTCTTAATAGCTGACAACTTGGCAGGTCTGAACCCGAGGCGCAACCGGCACCTGAGCCTCAATCGCCACCTACTCCCCTAACCCAGCAGACTACAACTTCCTCTGAACCGTCTGCTATCGCACCACCACCACCACCAACATCCACTTCTCTTGGGTCTGGTCTTTACCAGCAGCAATCGCTTTCCCACCCTACCCAACAATCTTCTCCTCAGGTTACTATCCCTCACGCCGCCCTGCCAACATCCGTCTCCCAGCCTGCTGTTCCCACCCAAGCAGCGACATCTCACGTGGCTGCATCTCCTCTTCAGCCATTCACACAACCTCATCAGAGCGCTGTGACCCAAGCGCCTCCAGCGCCCCCTCAATCTCAGCCCCTTCTACACCAACAACCCCCTCAATCTCATCTCCCCCAGCAGCTCCAGCAGCAATCGCTTCATCAGTACTCGCAGCATGGACTTCCGACCCACCTCGAGCCTCAGCAAAATCAGTCGCCGCCTCAAGCACAACCATCCTCCGCTGCTGGTTATTTCAGGCAGACCGATGCCCCAACACCATACTTCCATGCACCCACTCCTCCGGCACAACAAGCCCAGGATAACTATGGTTCCTTCGGCCTTGTCGGTCAAGCTCAGCATCAACAAGGATCTCATCTTGGAGGTTTTGGCACAGGCGACTATGGGTATGCCGACAGTCAGAGAGTAAGCTTATGTCTTCTGTACATGTTCCATTATTCTCAGTTTTTGTTCAGGGTTTCTATGACAGTTACCAACAGAGCAGCTTCGGAGGCCGTAACGTCTTGGGCAGCCATGAAGATATCAAAGGCTTACCAGGAACCCAACAACAGCCCTCATCAACGGCAGGCGGATTACCGCCTTCTAATACTCAGACCTCACAGCAACACCCATCTTCGCAGGGTGCCGGCCAGCCTCAAAACCAAGGACCTTATCCTCCACCTCCCGTCCCGTACTACTTCAACCCTTACACCCAGAATCAGTACTATGGCACCCCATACAATAATGCATATGGTGTCCCTCAACCTTTCGTCAAATACCCGACGATGTACCAACCTCCAGGTCCCGGTTCTGCACCGAGTCCTGTGACGAAGCAGCCAGGTCCTGGTGGTAATGTTGGTGTGCAGCCCCAGAGCAACCCATACGGACAGACCCTGTACCAACAGACTGCCGGATACGATGATTATTCACATCAGCAACACTCGCTCGGTGGTGACTATGGAAAACAATTGTATGGTGGTGGTGCCGGACAAGGATTTATGGGAAGCGGCGCAGGAGGGGCTTCTGCCCGTGGTGCAGGGTCCCCCGAGACCGCGTACAAGCCATACGCACCGAAGGATGTCGGTGTTGGTGTCGGTTCTGCACGAGGTAGCGTCCAGCAACAGCAGCAACAAGCACAGCAGCAGGGTCAAGGACAAGGACAGGCAGGACAGGGTGGTCCCCAGGGCCAAGGGTTCTACGGCGGCGCTAGGTTTGGTGGAGGTGTTGGCGGTGGTGTTGGCGGCGGCGTCGGTGCGCCTCAGCAGAGCGCCCATCATCAGCAAGGCGGTCCCCAAGGGCATTTGTACCCCCAGCAAGGCCAGACCGACGCGAGCTTCTATTATCAGGGCCAAGGTCGATACTGGCAGTAAGGGATCAGTGTGATGGTCATTTTGTCCGTTAATTTTTCTCGCTCCCTCATTCATCACTCGCTTCATTTGTGTTTTTTTCATTTCTTTTTGTTTTCTCTGTGTCTTCATCGTAGCATACATCTCATCTCAGTTTCAGTCACTATTTGTACGTTTGTATCCTGATGCTCCGTGACATATAAAGTCTTATTTCCTATCTCCTCCGGCGCGGTCTGCTGTGGTTGCAACCAAGGTGTATTTCGCGTCTAGGTAAATTACTGATGACGGCTAAACTATTGAACAACAGCTTAAAGGGTGAATTAAGTCGTTTTTTGGCCCCAGAAATTTTAAAGAAGCCGGAGAATAGTGAACATTCCTGGTAAGCGACTGTTTCAAACTGGACAGCAACCTGTGAAAGTGGGTGGACAATAGATCAAATTCTGATCAAGGCTTTCCGTCATAGCAAAATGAGTCGGGATTCCCCTTAATAGTAAAGCCGATACATCTTACCGGGGTCAAAAGCCTGGGTTGAGATGTTATCTGCATTCCGATTGTTTCCCTTGCATTTTGGCTGGCACTAATTAGTTGCCTCCCAGGAGTGGAATCAGCTTAGGAGCTGCTTCACAGATTATTCGCTGTTTTCCTTGATTGAACTGGTAGCCCCGGGCCGCCCCGCACCAAAGGCAACTGAAGGAAGGGATTCTGTACAGACTAATCAGCTCTTCATCAGTTCTCTAATCTGCCCAAAAACCAGTAGTTTGACCCTGCTATTGTGGGCGCTTGTTGGACTTATATTTAATTGACCACGCGTTCAGCACGTGGAATGGACTGGTTACCTTGAGCTTCGACTTGCAAGTTCCCCCAGTTGCCTTCCTTGCAAGTCGGCTCCTCTGTCTGTATACATGCTCTAAAACCCTTTTATGGCCTTGTGATATCCTCTACGAAGATGCCTCTGCCTTTCTACTACAATGGCTACTATGTTCCTTTCGGCCAACCACCGGGTTTTCCACCACATTTTCATAACGGCTATACCAGCTATACCAATGGTTGGATGGATCCTCCTAACTTCCGGCCTTTACATTCTAGTGCCCTGCCTCCGTCTCCAGTGGCTGACCAAGACTCTAGCCCTGTCGATGTCTACTGGAGGAGACGGTTGGCGCCTTTACCAGGATACAGCTCACCTCAAGATCTTCTCGGTGGATTAGCCCGAGCAAATGAGGACAAAGTGTCTGCTGTGACTATCAAAAAGCCTCCTGAGTCCAGAAAAAATCGGGCGAGAACGAAGCGCAAGCAAGAACACGGTGCCAAGGGTAAGGAGACGCTCGCGGAAGTGGGAGTAACGTCACCCAAGGGCCCCCCCTCATCCGGTGTGAAGCCTTTACCTCTTGACAAATATGTGTGTTATTATCTTCGAGAGGGAATGGTAGGCTTATGGATCTTTCCTAGGCGGACGTTTTTATACCCGAGTACCTTCGAGACATTCAAAGGCTGTCGCATCGCTTCAACCCTCTTCCCCCATTACCGATATTCCCTTCCCCCTCTTATTGTGTTGGAATTTGTCCCAATGATATGATTAATACTCTCAGCAACGTATATCATCCCGATCTCCTGTCCTTTGCCCCTCCCGAGCGTACCCTGCAATTGCCGGGACTTACTGCTGAGAGATACCGCGAACACTGGAACACACTCCTGGCATGGGAACTTGACCAGGTCGCCGTTGAAAAAGAACAGGTAGTGCTATGGCAAGTGGACGTGCGCGTCGTTGATTGGAGGCAGTCCCATTTTTCTTTGGTGGTTGCCGGCATTCGTGAAAGCCACCCCCACCTCGAAGTGGATGACTTGATTCATCTGAAGCAGGTCCTCGTCGAGGAGAAACGAGGGAGTGGGCTGGCCTTTGAGGGTCGCGTTCTCACCCTTCGAAAGAGAGAGGGGTTCATTCGTATGTGCCTTAATCCCACACTCTGATATGCTCATCCCACACCGTAGATTTCTTTTGTCCTGAATTGAAAAAACATATGCAGATTTATATCCCGCCAGTCTGGGGACGCCCCATTGAAAATGGGTTTCCTGTGTTCACTCCAGAAGACTCTTTCAATCTATTCTTCAATGTCTCTTTCACGCCTAGTGCTCGCTCTACCATCAGGATGAATGTAGCGACTAACATCATGGCAGAAGCACTGACCTCAAATAACAGCAAAACTCATTCGTTTTCTCATCGGTGGTTATTCCCTGAGGCTGAAGATATACAGATGATGCCGCCTTGGACGAGGGCTATTACTTCGCCACCGGAAGAAATTTGGATCGATGATGGTTTGAATAGTGAACAGCGGGTATCTATGATATATTACTCTCATTACAGCTCATCTAACCAGCTAATGGTGTTATCCGATTAGCACGCAGCCTTGCTTGTCTCTTCATATCAATCTCCGGTCCCATTTCTCATTAGGGGACCTCCTGGCACTGGTAAAACGAGGCGAGTTTTCCCACCCATTCAATTATATTGGTTATTCACGTCTTCCTTATCATAGAACCGTAGTAGAAATAGTGCATCAAATTCTCCGCGCCAAACCTGACGCCCACGTTCTTGTCTGTGCTCCCTCGAACCCCGCTACCGATACCCTTGCGCAACGACTCGGAAAAGTCCTCAAACCTGCTGAGCTCCTTCGTCTTAATGATCAAAACCGAACATTTGCTGAGGTTCCTGATTCCATCCGACAATTTTGCTGTACGTTGCTCACTCTCGTCGCGCCTTTCGGCAGCTCCTGAATTTTTTCCCAAAGACGTGGAAAATGACAAGTTTTCGATACCTCCCCTCAAGACCTTGATGCGGTGCAAAGTTGTAGTGACCTCGTGCCTCGACGCTGGAATTTTGACCGGCGCTCGCTGCACGAATAACATCCTGGGAATGTTGGAGCACTCCGTTGTCAATGCCATACACCCAACTCGTGCCTGCCTGATTAAACCTCACTGGACTCACCTCCTGATTGATGAGGTGTGCTTTATTCTCTTATGTCGTAGCTAGGAGTCATTTTCCTTCTTCAGGCTGCGCAAGGGTCTGAGCCTGAACTGCTAGTTCCGATATCTGTCGTTCTTCCCTTCTCCGATCCAGAAGACAAGGCGTCGCCAGAAGTTAGCGTGACCCCTCAGCTTGTACTATGCGGGGACCCGAACCAACGTATGTACTTCCTTATGTGTTTAACGGACAATGTTTTAACAGGCAATGTTTCATGAAGTGGGCCCAATCATATTTTCTGATCACTGCCGCTCGAACGATCTCGACATCTCGCTTCTCGAACGCCTCTTTGAACGCCCTTTGTATACCAATGAACAATGTTCGATCTACAAACCATTTGTTAACCTTGTAAAGGTCCGTCGTTTGTCTCAAGGCTCCTCCTTGTGATGCTTGATCGAAGTGGTACGTAGAATTACCGCAGCCACCCAGCGATCCTGATGCCTCCCTCCGCTTTGTTCTACAATGACACATTGGAGCCATGTGCACGCGGAAACGGTGTCGTTGCGTGGTCCGGGCTTCCGAATGACAAGATCCCGCTGATGTTCATTGGGAGCACGAGTTTAGAAGAGTGTATTGACGAGGTACGTTAATTCCATCCATGTTTATTCATTTCTTGTTCACGATGAATCTAGCGAGAGACGTGGTATAACACAGGCGAGATAGACCTCGTGGTGAATACCATCAAAAGCCTACTGGCCGAAGGGGCTAGGTCGGTGCCACCTCTTGCTTCGAAGCATATAGGAGTGATAGCGCCGTGGAGAGAACAGGTGTGGAAGTTGCGGGAGAGACTGCGGGAGGAACGATTAGGTCAGGTTGACGTTGGGACTGTCGAAGTGCGGAACAACACTGTATCACTGGGACGGATACTAACGTCCTGACGTAGGATTACCAGGCAAGGGAAATGAGGGTAATCATCATGTCTTGTGTACGAGCGAGGGAGAGATTTATCGAAGAGGATAGCGAGAAGGGACTGGGACTTATCCATGAAAGAAAAAGGTGAGTAGAGCTGCCTGTGTCCCGTGCAGTCTGATCGAGACAGGGGACCAGGATGAATGTCAGTATCACGCGAGCAAAGGAGCTGTTGATCGTCATTGGTAACGCAGAGCTCATGGGGCGAGATCCTTATTGGAAACATTTCTTGCAGTTTGCCCTAAGGAATAAGCTGTACGTTGAGTTTTTTGGGTTGTATCTTGTACTGATCATCATTCAACGTAGGTATGTTGGTCCAGACCTAAACATTGAAATAGATGGAAATTATATATCCAGACTGGAGTGAGGGAGTTCTCCCTTTATGTCGTCTACCTTATATTGATGATGTTTAGATCTCGGATGATGACTGAGGGGTTGAACGAGGAAGAACAGGGAGTTTTAACTGCTGGAGGTTTGGCGCGAGAACTCTTGCGGGAGGTACCAGCTTGAAACAAAAAAATTGAAGTATTGATTTTCATGTGTAGGGATCGGATATCTATTTTAAAGGACATCAATGTAAAATTCCATGCCTTCAGATGGACAACAACACTATTCTTTGCGACCCTCCACAATTGTTTCAAGAACAAGTGCACTTCAAAAATAGAATCAGTCTCCTTATAGGTTGTCAGCCATGCTGAACCCCCTCCAATCACGGCTATAATTTCCCGGTAGAAAGGTCCGATCTGTAACCTCCACCCCATCGGCTTCTTTTGCCAAGATTTGTCCGAATCTGATGGATCAGAAATCGTAGGCTCTTTCTGGAATAAGTACGCACTAATGACTTCCTTCTTCTGAGCTTTCTACTGGAAATTCTGTGCGCTGATGGATCCACCGGCTTAAATAAGTACATTTCTCTACAGCTGGGGAGAATCCGCGGACGGAGGTGTTATTACCAGGCGCGTGTTTCGGGGAACGTTTAACCCAATTTGCAACCGGTTCAACAATACGTCCCTGGCCTGGATTATTTATAAATAAAAATTTACCACGGACTCCTACCTTTCTCTTTCTCTTTCCCCCAAGAAGTAGAGTTTCTCGAGCAAGTCGGCCCACTACATTCTTTAACGCACACACTCTTTAACAATCGCAATGCGCTTCTCCGTCGTCTCCTTTGTCGCTGTTTGCGCCATGATCGCTGGCCCCGCCCTCGCTCATCCATCCAGCACTCCCTACAACGGCTACCTGTGTCCAGAATCTGACCAACAGGGCCACGGCCAAGTGTCGGGCAAGTGCGACTCCCCTCCCTTCGCTAACGACTACTTCGGATGCACGTACGTCGCAAAGATACCCTGCTAAGACCCATCTAACGTGTCCGTAGCTTCTACAACGGCAGAGGCACTGGAACCAACACTTGTACATATCACAAGGTGTGCTCAGATTATTATCCATCCTTTTCTTTTCACTCAACGCCCGAAGACCACTGGACAATGCACGTCATCCAATAGTTACTGCCCCTCGACGGCGTCGCACTCTAGCACCAAGAAAAAGCGCTCCCCCGTGGCAGCCCCTGCTACTCCTGGTGGTATCTCGTACAACAAGCGCTCGTATAAGAACGTAAGCTATTTATTACTTACGCTATCTTCCTCATCAATTCAACCCTTTCCAGCGCGCTGCCAACTAGGCAATCTTCCTTCTTATTACTCAGGGCCGTCGTGCAAATTTTCCTTCGGCCCTCGGACTATATACCTAATTTCTGCTCATATTGACGATATAGACAATATTATTAGCGTTCTACCTGGTACTTTTTAGGTCCCTGTTTTCTGATGTTGTTTTACGGTGACATGGGCCATCTGGCATCAGTCGATAGCAAGTAGATAGCGCTATGACTCTTCTGATTAATATACCCTATGGGTCAACATGTCAAGGGGAATGGACCTGTATCATGATGGATCACAAGTGACAAGGCGTCTCGACCAATCCCGCAGCACGCGGCGGCCACAAATATAAAGGGTCAATTGAAAGATACCCCTGCCGGTGTTTCCATTCATTGCTGCGCGCTCAGGCTTGCATAGAGTGTAGAGTCAAACAATACAATTCGTAATTAGATGGAACGCCAGAACGCTACGTAACATACGCTTGTATGTCCGCTAATGAATGCCTTCCTAGATCTGCACCATGATCTTCGTTGCAACGACATCAACTTCTGTAAAATCGGCAGGTTCAGTCAGCAACTCGTCAGTTGCAGCCAGTACCGCCTGCGCAGCCTTTCCAGCCATGTGGATCTTTCTTCCCTCTTCGTCCGTGAAGAAGTCGAGAATTCCGAAGAGACCTGGGGTGTCGGGATATTCCAAACCGAACCAAATCAGAGTCTTCTCTTCCTCTTCGATGAACGAAAAGACAGTAGACTAAACAAATATCAGCATCAATTTCCGCTTGGATCTTTTGGGAAAACCTACAAAGACAAGTTCGCGCACTGCGTCGGCCTTGCCGGGTTTGGCCTTGAGGAATATGACCAACCCTACTGGCGCACCAGCAGTCTTCTCGGTGTTTGGAATGGTCACCTTGGTATGGGTCCTCATAATTTTGACGCTCTGCGTCACAGGCGGAGACTGGAGGAGTCCATTCAGGTCGGGACCCCCGTCAGCAGCAGCATCAAAGGTGGTGAACGCCAACGGCGAATCGGTGTGCCTCAGAGCCATCCATATCTCGTGGTCACGCTGATAGGTGGCGAGGAATGTATCGACGACCTTGTCGACTTTGTCAGGTTTAGCTAAAAGCTGGGTGAGGACGGCTGGGTGATTGGAAAATTATGCTTGTTAGCTGTTCAGCATCATGAACCAGCACGGATACGTACCCATGGAAAGATATTAGATGCGATAACTGAGGTGGTTGTGCACTTTACAGCTGGAGAAATGCCAATGAATCTTTCGCTGTTTTATAGACGTCGTTGACGCGCCTTGACATAGAATATGAAGTTCTGAGACATCCAAGGTCTTGAACGGCCTCGGGAATAGGTAACGGCTTGGATTACTTGGACCATCTGAGTTATAGTTAGCCCAGAAATGTATTGAAAACATTGCAACATAGATAGCATTAAGACGGCCATATCGAATTTGAGCAGAGATGTCTGATGATGCTGAGTAAGTCAGGTCCAATAATTGAAGGGCATACAGAGAAAGGCCGGGCGTGCCCAGGATGACTCAGCCAAAGGAGAAGGAAGAGATTTTCGAAGCAAGATGAATATATTTGGTGGGAAAATGTGGAAGTCCTGTCCATGCCTTAGTAAGCTCAATATCAATCCTAGAGATTGCCGAATGCTGACTGAGCATTAGTTCTCGACTGCCAGGAGTGTCGAATCGTTTCGGAAGCATATAAGCAGGGAAGACCCAGCTTGCGATGCGGAGATCCCAGGGCTGTGTCGGCTTCAAAGGAACGTTGAGAATATGAGTGATATCCTCCTCAGGTTCCTTAAAGTTATACTGCAAGACGTGAAACTGAGTGCACGTACTAGTCAAAAACTTCTCGCGTTTTGATGGGTGGTCCGGTCCGAATTGCCGGCCTGAGCGAGCCACGTGTGTAACGTCAACGTCGGGCCTCGTCGGCAACTTCACTGTTAGTTGAACTTGAACATTGGCGGCCAAATCCTCACTTGACAGCTACCTGTGAACAAGAGGAGAAAGAAACATGGAACTCTGTCTTTCTTCCAGAATCACAGGGCTGAGCCCAAATGAAATGGGTCGCAAATGTAGGTCACATCTTGGGCGAACGTGATATAGAGGCTAGTGACGAAATGTACTAGCCAATGCACCAATAATCCCCTCTGAAATGAACGGCGTGTAAGTGAATTTGCACGAGAACTAGACAGCGACTGACTTTTTCAAGTTTTCGATGCTTTTGTTGCCATCCAACGTTCAATTAAGTAAGGTATTACTTCCGGCATTGTGTAATCTCCATGGGAAAGGCTCAGTCATAGACTGTGGATAGTGTAATACCATTTTTTTGGGGGGCCAAACATAATATTCTTCTATATGACTGATATCCTATTGCTCAAGTTCAACCACCAACGTTCAACACCGTCCATCTCAACTTGCCATAGAGTCGCAGACTAACGAAGAGACGGTAGACAGGTAGCGAATTTCCGTTGCTTCATAGTCGCTCCACTCAAGAAGTCTGTTATCCACTTTTTCTCGATTTCCATCTAGGAAAAAATCTTGCCATCAATTCTCTCCTACGAAAGACAAATCTACCCCCTTGTTCCTTTGCCGATGCATTTCCCAGGATGATCCTGCTCCACTGACAACCGTGTCTCTTCCCATCCTTTCTTGGCTACTTCTTTCAATGGCATGGTTTCCCCGGCGTCGTGCGATACTATTTCAGCCCTATTTTTGGATAACTTGCGGAAGCAGCTTGAGAGACTTAAATCCCGCCACTCGGTTAATGTTTTACTTGACTCTTAAGTGCTCTGGAAAATCTCTGTTGTCATACAGTTTGCCCTCGCTTTCATGACCCCAGATTGAGCCATAGCTTTCCAGTGGTCGACGTGTCGATCAACTGGTCCATCGATCCGACATAATCTGACAGACGCTTTCTTCATTTGTAATTGTTCTGAGGTTCTTTCGCCACGTTCGTCTACTTTTCCCTTTAACAGTGCTTGTTACCTTTGCGCTCCCAAGATGGCGCTATCTAAATTTTCGAATTCTCAGTCATGCCGCAACTTGAAGGGGATTTTGCTGTTCGAACTAGAAGCCGGAGATCTCTGGACTCGCATCCTTCGAGCGTTGTCGTATGCCGAGACAAGCGTGATCACAAAGATAGGACCGTCAATGGGCGGAATGCCCGGTCGGCAGACGAGATGGGAATGCCTGTCTGAGTTGTTTTGGACTCTATTGGTACCTCTCTTGTACCTCTCCTGATATTCATCAGGTTCCTAGCGTTTCCGGTATTGAAGGAGATTTGTGAACGTACAGGAATATCTTCGCTTCGATTTTTGACGTGTTGTATTTTAGTCTGATGTGAGATCAATCCAGAGTCAGCGAAACGGTATACGTATCCTCATATATAATACGAAACCAAAGAACTGGACATGATGACAGCGTGGTACTAGTTAAAGTAAAAGAAACAACTGTGATACTATAAGAATACTATTGATACACTGAGATGTAGGATGCTTATCATATATTCTTCACTTTAGCCCATTCTGGGGGCTGGAGTGGCCGCTTCCACATCTCGACTATCCACATCTCTCGCTTCACGATGGCTCGGCTCAGACAGAGGTATGTCTTCAATGAGTCCTCGTGTTGTGAACTGGATAGCGGCATCAGTGTACAACGAACAACCGGAGGTATCGATATCTTTCGGGGATTTCGATCCTGCCAAGTGCTAGCAAGAAAGATTTAAGATTTAGAACGGACTTATATATAGGACCGACCCACAAGGACGATACGACAGGACAATATGCTGTGTATGATTGCCTGGAGTCTATGGCGGACCATGTGGGTTCATGAGGCAGTTTTGCACAAAATATGTGACTTACTGAGACCCTCCCACTCGGACCTGCGAGGACTTGAAAACAGATATGAACACCAGGTAACCCAACAAAAAAGGAGAAACATACTGTGGACTGCACGGCTAACCCTATGTTCAAGAACCCTAGCACTACCCAGGGACAATTAGCAACGATGTAGGTTGAAATCGATTGAAATAACTCACTCAAGGTCCACGAAAAGTAGAACACGCCTAAGTATAATATTCAAAGTCGATCTTTCTGGAGGGCATGCCATCCACTTACCGTCCCTCCATAACGTGTCTAATAATGGTGCTCGAACGTTTTTTGGTATCCTCCGCCGCCACCGGGTTATACGAATCAGGGATAACGAAAGTGTCACTTCGCGAGAGTAAGAACACAGATTAGCGCTCAGAAATCAGCTTCGACGTACCACCCTCGTACAAGATGGTTAACACATACGGAACCACGTAGGCATCACGTACAGTGCTTATTAGGGCTCTGCATTCGGGGTAAGCCGCATAGACTGGATCGACTATATATGACGACAAGTCAGAAGTAAAAACCTGAATAAGTGATGCGGAACGCGCCTTCAGAGGTTGATACGTCCTTTGCGATGACTACTGCCGCCGGGACCACGGCGGCCTTTGCCAAGAGACTAAGCCTCGGCTTTTCTCGGAAGAAGCATGGCTAACCCACCACAGAAAATACAGTCAAAATCATCAAAATCCGTCGACTCTTTTCCCATATGGCCCAAGTGCGTACGGCGAGGATGACTAGATGTTTGCTTTGTCGAGAAGACTATAATGAAGGATATTCAAACTCACATTCCGAAGAAACGATGGAAGCTAGACGAAGTACTGATACAGATGCTGTCAGTTCGGAACGGAGTAGCATTGGTCGAAGCCTTCATTACCTATAGCAATTTGAGATAGTAGAAGTGTTTCATTTCCTTCTTGTATGGTGTAAGACTATATGTGAATCAACATCCAGTGCCAATGGACGTGATATGCCGTACTCACGGGCAGTAGTATCAAGATCGTCGTTGCTAGAACTGGATACCGGGACAATAGATATGACACAGAGGTCAGAGTGATGCGCCGGGGCTTCCAAATAAACCGTAACTAGAGTAGCAGATGGTAAGAACCGCGAAAAGGGTGCCAAAGTGATAAGAGTCTGTACCTCGTCGTAAAAGGTCAGACAAAAGTCGAATAGCTGCGGTATTCATAGCATTAGAATGAGGTGCGGTATAGGAAGGACTTGTGACACGGACAAAAAGCGCAGCGCATGCAACTAGACATAACCCAACAGTTCAGCCCTCCGTCCGCGTGAGAACTGGAACGAGGAAACCCACAAAGCATGCCCTGAAAGAAAGGCTTTAGGATCAGCATTACGCAGGATACGCATCTGGAAACACTCACATTTCCCATCCGACCGTATCTGATACAACCGTAAAGGTGCTCGAGTTCGTCGGGCGTGAGTGCCCCCACAGACATGGGGGCTTGATGAGAGGAGACGGAGGGGAAAGGTACTCCTCAGCTTAAAGATACCTGGCCCTCATGCATGCTCCGAGAATATCATTTCCAGCCAGGGACCACAATGCAATGATCATCGAACAAAGATGTCCCTGACACACCGAGCTTAAGCCGAATCCCAGAGTTGTCAGTCTACGCGTGTCCTGTTTCGAAGGAGTTGAATGATCATCATGTTTCGCGTCTCACAGTACCGCGGAAGGTTGAGGAAAGGATGGAAGTGGTGCGGTGCCGAAGTGCCGTAGGCACGGCGCCCATGGCTTTTTATGAAATGCACACCCTTCGCCGGATGAAAGCGAAAGCATTGTTACCCCAGAAATTTCTTTGCAGCTCGCAGTATGTGCGTAAAATCTAGTCTCTCGTTCTCTGCGGAAGTTGACACTGAGGAGGACCAGCGGTGAACCTACTAATAAATACTCGGTGTTTTCCATGCGGAGGAAAATCATAACTCTGCGCAAGGGGCTCAGCAAAAATCTGAGGCACAAGGACTATAATTAAAGTTACCGAAAGGCCAGGCAAAAGAAAGGAAAGCTCAGCCACGATCCACGCAAGATCAACATAGATGGTAGCTAGTCGAATCTTGAGACTTATACGTCTTGTAACTCTGGTAGCTAGCAAGCACATTATATCCAGAAAAACTATGGCTTGCCGCCTCCGATATCAAATTTTGTAGATTGTTCAACATATGATAAGGTTTATTGAACCCAGGAGCCCTGATGATAGTTTGGCTTCCGAGGGCTCGGTGGCACTTGGTGGGTATACTTCGAAGTCAACCTTGGGAAGTACACTCAGTCAGAGAGACTAGAGAATAACGTACTTTTTATTCAGAAAGCAATATGATACATAAATACCAACCCGAGACCTTGACATGAAATCACCCCTCATTCTGATACAAAACCTATTTTTTCATCTATACGGTGCCATTAGCGAATACAGATTAAGAACAGACACTAGTATAAACTACCTTCTTTCGCGGAGAATGACTGGGAGGTCCGTCCAGGATCACAATTTCATCATCACTCTCGTCCTTTGTTGCATGTGCACTCGACAGCCGAGGCTTCGAGCTCGTCTTTTCGGGGCGTGGTTTCTCGGCCTTCGAAACAAACTTCTCCGTTTTTACCTTGCTCCTTGAGGACTCGGGGGGACCTTTCCTTTTGGCTCCCTGCTTAGCAAACATGGCCTCGATGCCATCTTTCCTCTTGTCGATCGGTTCTATGAACGTCGAAGATTCTGTGCCAACCTTGCCAACCTCCTTTGGTACCTGGTAACTAAAACCAGAGTCGTAAGTTGCGACAACACGTGTCAAAACGAAAACATACCATTCCAAGGGCGAAGATTTCTGTTCATATGGACCTAGAAGGCCTGCGACCTCATCATTCCACTGTCGGGACGACGTATCGAGCCACCGGTCTAGCGCCTCCATGGTTGACAATATTACCGGCTGACGGGAATGCAGCCATTCAAATTCAGGAGCAGCTGCAGTAGTTACAATTGTGAAGGTCCACAGAGGAGTGTCTGAACCTGTTTTCGAGTAGTTGGCAACGGAAAAATCGCCCGACAGAGGTACTCACCTTCTAGGACGACAGAATCATAAAGCCCAGCCATCAGCATCAACCGTTTTCCGCCCTTGTGGCGCGTAAAGTGCGGCAGTTTGTCTTTTCCTTTGGTGAGCCATTCGTAGTAACTAAATAAGTCATTTTTAGTTCTTGGCACTAAAGGACATATTTAAACCTACCCTTCACAAACAACCGCGCATCTCTTCCTTCCCTTGAGGCTCTGCCACATACCGCCCCCATCAACGAGATTCTCCGCACGCGCATTAGTCGTGTTCATCTTAGTATCTTCAAATTTCGACCAGTGGGGAACTAGGCCCCACTTCATTGTCTGCAAGACAAGCGTGTCTTGGGAGCTGAGCTTGCTGGTACTGGGCTGCGAATCGGAGTCCGACTGTGGATTTGATCCCTGGGATCGGCGCAGAACCGGCGCCTGCGTTCGAGGCGCGATATTGTATCGCGGAACGAAATTATCTTCATCAATCCATTCGGCAGCGGCGGTCTGGGCTCGAATTTCGGCGCGCTTTTGAGTCAATTGTTAATATTCAGTTTTGTAGAATGCACCGTGAGGTATTACTCACGGGGAGATGCAATGCAAATCTACCGCACATTTCGTGGAATTAGGAGACAGCAAGAGAGTCGGAAATGAATATTGTCACGCGTCGTGATTAGAGTGACGTAAATGCACGTGACTATGATTCTTAAGGGCCGGCCTCGAAATGAACCTTTGCCTTGACAACTCACCGACAACTTGTTTCGAACTGTCGGTAATCGTGGTAACTCGACTGACGCGTATTATCCTTGTCCCTTTCCCGTTTACATATTACTCACAATATTAGGGACCTAGAATGTAGAACATGTGTTCACAGAAGCGGTTTCAACAACACGGATAAATTATAATTGTTACCCTCGGAAGAATAAGTCGGTTCTGACCAAAGCACCTTCTTCTGGTTACCTCACAAACCTTGGCAAAGGAGCCCCACTCATACTCCGAACTGCGTACAGCTGCAACCAGGAATCTGTCGAGCAGGCGATCCCGAGTAACTTTCTACCACATGTAACTGATAACTCAACTCTCATGTTAATAGCGCACTTTCTACGCGCGACGCAACGAGGAGAATCCAGAGCATTTCGATAACGGTCTACCGCAGTTAATTGGCCATCCAAATGAAAAATAAGATCAGAATACCACGGTCACTTCGCCTGAAACACAAGGTAAACGCGTAAGAAAACAGTATAATATACGTATACATCCATCTACACTTTAGCAGCTTAGTACAATTTCAAACATTCTTCTTCCATATTCTAACCCATCTGACCTTAGAGCTTCTGGGTGGACTCCGTGATGAATTTCTCACCCTGCGACACGTAAATGAGAAGAGCATACACAAAAGGAATGGCAAGAGTACCTTCTCAATGCTAGCTTGCAATTCGGGAATAGCAGCAGCAATCAGACCCTTCTCCTTGTCCGTCACCTCACCCAATGGTAAAATAGTCTTGACACCTTCGGACTAGATGGTGGCGTCAGCAAATGTGAGAGAAAGAAGGTCAGAGAATGCTTACACCCAACTCCACCTTGGCGGAGAAGAAATCGAGCTCAACACCGAGGGTCTTCTTGGCAGCAGCGTCCAAGTGCACAAAGGTGGGTGCAACAATTCCTTTCTCACCCTTGACGGCCCGCACGACTTTGTTAGCGAACTCGGCACCGGCAAAGGCCATACCTGATACCCATCGGTCAAGGAGATACAGCTGAAAATGGGCGTAAACACGTACTCAAAGTCGCGCTTCCTGCACCATCCTTAGCCTTCACCACTTCATCGCCTCCGAACTGGATCCTGTTGATCAGGGCGTCCAAGTCTGTGGCAGAGAAGGACGAGGGAAGAGAGTGAGAAGACTGGGAGAGAAGAGGAACGATGGTGACACCGCTATGTCCACCGACAACGGGGACCACAACACTTGTGGGGTCCGATTTGGTGAGCTCCCCAACAAATGTAGATGCACGGACGACGTCAAGAGTCGTTACACCAAAGAGTCTGAGGCGGGGCAGTCAGTACAGGGGAAGGTCAGGGGTAAAATAATTGGGGATGCATCAGGTGAAATGGAATGATGGAATATGCGGAGGAGAGTGGGCAGGTGACATACCGCTTGGGGTCAAAGACTCCGTGTTTTTTGAAAACCTCGGCGACGATAGGAACGGTTGAGTTGACGGGGTTGGAGATGACAAGCACAAACGCCTTGGGGCAGTTCTTAGCGATTCCAGTCGCAAGATCTCTGACGATGCCAGCGTTGATCTAAAAGTATACTGTTAGCATTGAGTTGGTAGAAAACGTATAGATACTCTTACCTTGAAGAGATCGTCTCTGACGGCGACAATATCGTTATCAGTACAACTTGCCACGAACAAGCCTTCGAAAGAAGACCTACCTCGTCATCTAGATGGCCAAATCAGCAAAAGTTCGAGATGAAGACGCGAGAATTCTCACTCCAGGCTTCCTTGGTACGCCAGCAGGAATAACGACAACATCCGCGCCCTTCAAGGTCTTTGCAAGACCGTCGTCTGGCGGCAGGTAGCCCTCAACCTTGGCTGGGGTCGAGATATGGGAAAGGTCGGCAGCAACACCAGGCGTATTCACGATATCATAGAGACCCAAGGCGGTGATGGCTGGGTTCGTCTTGAGAAGCAGGGCTAGGGGTTGACCAATACCACCTTTCAAGTCGATTGAGCTCAACAGAAACCTTGAATAAGTCAGAGAGACGTACCTGCGGCTCCGAGAACGACTGCTTTGACCATGATTTTTCGATGAGATGGGTGTTGAGTGAAGGGTTTGGTTAAAGTGTGGGGTACGGATGAATCGCTTTAATCCCATTGGCGGGAGTTGCCGAGGACGCGATCATTGAGTCTAGCAGCTTTCAAGTTGGCGGCAAGATTCGGACGCGGGTCAGAGGAGAACCGACGGTTTATAGGCTCACCGCTGGCGGCATACAAGAAGATGCGCCCACGGCATCATTAAATCAGGAAGTACATAAATATTTCTTAATCGAACTCGGTATTTTGGGTACGAAGCGAGGTCGAGACGCGTCTTTCGGCGGAATGTGTACTATCGTCTGCAAATCTTCTGTATTTTCTGCGTACATATGAGAATACCTTCAGCTCGGACATCCGGTGCTCGGTCAGGCCTAAGGCCTTCAGCTTCAGGTATCATGTATGTTGCCGATAAGAATGGTTGAGGAGACCGCCTTCAAGTCCCCTCCCGCGTCTGCGCAATAAGTCGTCAATATTTCCAATGCATGATGAACATTTGACCGGTAGTGGTCGACACGGAGGTGCCTTAGTACGCATTTCGTTCATTCGACGAGCAAGAAAAGGCTAGGATCTGCGGAAGTCTTAACTTGTCGATTGCAGAGTCACGGTCACCCAAGGAAAGAAACAAAGCATTCCGACCAAGTGTTGCAGACACGGCACGTATTTGTAAAAACCAGGAGCCGGGGCCAAAGGCGTAGCAAAGACCTGTATGCCGGACCCCCTGCCTTCTTGACTACGATAGACGTGATTGGTACAAAGGGGAAAAGTTGTGCCGCCTAGTGTCAACTTGAGTCCGAAAGACAGCACTATATAAACAAAGAATGATAGATGATATCATTACACTGGCCACACGAAGCAGAAGATGACGGACAACACAGACACTGGAGAGGCTCATGAAAGTAATCGTGGGAATGGTCGGCAACGAATAATGGCCAATGGACGGTATCAGCTTCAGCCTTGAAATGGAATTCGCAAGTTTTGGTGACTTGGCTGATTTACTTGGCTAATATGAAGGCTTACTTAGTATTCCGTGAAGGACCCAGAATCTAGCAGAACCTGGAAACACAGATTCCCGAAGCATCAATGAACATATAAGCATGACTTGAGTGTATTTCCGAGGGATTACCAACTTTTCTCATCGAGAAGCAAAGCCGTCGATTCAGGTGCTCCAAGTTTTGAGAGCTGAGCAAAGTTAGTAGGCGTAGCATCAAAGCCCGATAGAACCCAAGCTTGAAGGAGTGTGAGCTACGTGTTGTGTCGATTTCATGTTTTCAAGGGTGATTTTAGAGGCAGCATATCAGAGTCCCGCTCAGATTTCCATGAGTTTTCTGAGGTAGACAGGTAAAAGGATACAGCCAGTGTCGACGTGAGCCAGAGAAATCTGAACCAGGCCTTTCTTGAGAGAACGGTGCCGAACGCCACTGAGCGAGTACCCTCGGCTACTAAAGTTTTATTTGACGCAGGAAACAGCCAGATAGAGCAGAGTCGGAATAAAGAGCAACAACGTCTTGCCGGTCTGGCCACGAAAGGAAGGTCGATTTAGTAGCCGGTCACTGCCGGTTCGCTCTTCAGCTTCTTCCTTGTCTGCAACGTCATCTCAGGTCGCTGTTCCTCGACTTCTTGTATTCGGTTGTAAATGGCGTAATGGAGAAGGGAGGCCTGTTTTGTGGTTTGTGCGCGGCCCTTCCTACTAGTGGGCGATTTACTTCGCTACTTTCTGCAGGAGGATTCGAACGTATACTGATATTTGATTGCTCTCTGCAATGTGGCTGTCATTCGTTTCAAGGCCTCGAGCCTTAAGCTAAGCGCTAGAATGTAAGCCCGAGGTGCACAGAGTACGTTATCTCTTACGCAAAATCGCACAATCCTACTTTACGAATTACTGCACAGCAGACCCTCGTGTCTTTCATTAAATAAACCATTCAAACCGTGCAGGAATCATTACCACTTGCCTAGTCCTCCCGTCATAACAATCTCCGTGCCTTCCTTACGCACTCTCGTGAACCATTCATTATACGGCAGCTCCACCGCATGAACCCTCGATTTCATACCAACCTCTATGAATTCGGTAATGACATGACTCAGTGTCCTACCCCCGCGTTGGCCGTGCAATGACCTATGGCACGTAACCAATGAAGATGGTGGCACCGAACGCTTTACGAAACCGTCGTTACAGCGTCTCAGTGGATCGCTGGTCGTTTTGCCTATCACGGATGGAGTGCCGCCCACCCAAAATTTTTATCAAACAGATGCATAGTTAATATCACATCGGCCACTCCACAACAAGATCAACGTCACTGCATTTACCTAGATCCTTGATACAATCTTCCCTACGCTGCCTGATGGCTGTTTGCCACCACCACCTGGGATCTTCGCCGTTGCTATGTTCATCAAATGCTCCTCGAGTTTCGCCTTCCTGGTCTTTTTGGGCCGGAACTGCCGGAACCTGCAAAATGCATTTGGACGTTAGATGCTGTAGCAAGGAACAATTGATGATCACCTTTCTATACAGTAGATGGACACTTTCAAGTTCAACCTTCAAACGATTGCAAGGTCCAATTGTCAGGGCGGTATCAGGTGTGCCTTGATACAGTTTTCTATTACTTACTTCACTCTTTTCTCATCAACGGGTTTAGGACGTATCAATACAATTTCAGATATAAGAACGTCATTGTCATGAGGTGCTGCACCTATGCCATGTCCATAGCCTCGTTGAAGGCTTTCCCCCACTATGAGCACCTGAGCCAGTCGTGCATGGACTCCTCAAGCATTTCAAGCTCGTGGACTTGGCCAAAGTCCCCTCAGAGTCAGAAACCCCCTCGCTTCAACCATTTGTCACCAATCTCATCACCTCCCACGCCCCCGACATTCTTTTCACGAAATTGGTCCATCATCAGTCTTGCGTTGCTGGCAACATGCACCTTCGTTTGGACCGCGTTCTTCGCCCACGCATCTACCGATTTGTCACGGTCGATAACCCACTTCCATGGAGGAAGAGAAATCGCAGGGGAGCCTGACCCTCCTCTCATCCGGCTAAGGTCGCCTTCGATGACGATCTTGTTGTTGCAGATCAGCACGTCAGTAACGACGCTTCTCCTGGGAGAGCTGGCGATCGCATGCTATGAAAGGGTAAGGTGGCAGAGGGCGTCGTCCCCGTCCGGCATATCAGGTGGTACTTTACTGGGACTATCTAGGGCAACAAGCATTATCGGAGTCGCTTTGTTGTCCACGAAAGCAAAGGTTTCTTGGTCTACACGACTATGGTGCCTGAAACGAATGTTCACCTATATTGTTGTGTCATTCGTTGGGGTCGTCTTTCTCTTCGATATCAGCTTCGTTACTTTCTTCCCGGTCACCATCGACATGGCTACCACGACAACTACCGGTTGGGGAGAATTTAACAGCAGTCTCTTCCAATATAACCCCCTTGGCTTCCAAGGATTCCTGACCAATCCCCGACAAACCTTCCCGATTGAAGCTACCGAAGAGCGATGCCACGTGAGTGTTGACTCTGTTGCCTCCTTGGCAAACTGCTCGTCCTACGCCATCGTCACCAGCGTGGACTATCTCGACGCCGACGGACAGGCTGGATATGGTCTTGGTTCACAGAACTGGTTTAGTGAGGATCAGGATAATGACGGACGGACAGGTTATATGCCAATGATCGAGACACCATGGATTGTGTCGTTTTATCCCGACGCGTACGGACATCACTTCAATAGCGGTGAATGCCAGGCATGGATAGCGCCCTACTATTATTCCGAGCCGGGGGTAAACGACGTCGCGTTGCGCATCTGCTTGAGCACGTTGGATAACGGAGCGCGTGATGATTCCACCACGATTTTGGCTCAGATCGCCGTGTGTGGCGGAGTCGACGGTAACATCGCGACCGGCGATTGTCACGCTGCGCTTGATGATCCTTCGTACACCGGTTTGGGTTTTCACGGTGCTTCGGAAGCCGTCATGGCCAACCCGCCTTTGAATCTTTCCATGACTGTGACTAAAGTGGGTTTTTTTAATTGATCATTTGATGCGCCAAGCTATGAATCTAACGATACATATTTTAACAGCGGACCGCGTCTCCCGTCTACGATTTGAAGAATGGCTCTGTCATGGATATCGAGATACCTTATTATCAACACCCAGGTATGCCCACACATACAATACCTTCGGATCTCTCAGCTCATCTCCAAACGATTGCTGTCAGGATTGATGGATCTCACACCTAATAGCTCGTGGGCGCCAGTTCCCGCAGACCGCGACGCCCCGCTTCCTGCTTCTATTGATGTAGATGCTTTTCGAAACTTCACATTTTCGATATACGACGGAGCATACGGAAATGTATCCGACGTTTTCTCCGTCCCGAATGCTATGATAAACACGATGGTCCGTCTCATAAGCACCAGCAACTCGCTATTTGCATACGAGCACGCCAAAGGTATGCTATTCTCAACGTGAAGAAAAGATCAACATGTTTATTGCATTGTATTGCAGACCTCCTAGCCTACACTCTTCGTTCAGGATCCAACCTTCCCGCATCGGCGCCTTTAAATTTCACCCGCGGGTTTGCATGTTATACCCGAGATCGACTACAGCTATCGCAGACCTCATGGATCCTGTTCATGGTCCTCGGCGGCTCCGTCCTGCTTAGTTGTTACGTCCTCATTGTCCTCACCTCCATGTGGAACCAGACCAGCTACACGACATACTTCCCCGAAGTGGATTTCGCCGCTGGATTTGTGGGTGGCGGCGGCGATCACCACCAGGCGGACGTTGTCTCGCGGCTACAACACGTCAGTTCGGGAGTGGTGGATAGCATGGCGTCTACGACTTTTCGGATCGTGAGTGGGCGGCGGGAATGAGCTGGATAAAGGTTCTTACATCAAAGTTCGGGACATTCGTTCGGTTGCCAAGCGAGTTTGTGTTTGACGACAAGAGTTGGGACGGACATTTAGAGTGATCGGTTGTCCCCACAGTCGCCGGCCTTGCCATTCCGTTCCCAGCATTCACCGATATTTCTTCGCGTGTACACGCACACAACGGTCTTATGGCTGCTACTATCGCTTCGTCCATTTCGCCGTAAGCTGAACGATGTTGCAGATGTTAATCAGTTGACCTGATCTCTGTAAAGTAATGCCAACGTTGGATGAAGGTCCTTTCATCGACTGTGGCTCATTCCGGCTGTGTCCATTTCTTGAAGAAAGAAAACTGGCTATTTACAGTCATCTGATAAATCAAGGCGCTTTGAGAAGCGGCTCTACATGTCTCTCTAAGCAAGGATGGCCATCTCCCAAATCCGTTCAAACCCAACTTCATATCGAGGCCTTTGCAACAAATCATCTCTCATTTCACTTTCGTCATTCCTTGATCCAAGGAGATATACATCTTCTCTATCCCACGTCTCAAAAAGGACCTATGCTACTTTGACGGTTGCAGGCAGTCTGAAGGACAGCTGGCTCCTTTCGACGCATTTTTCTACATACCATAATGGAGGAGAACCGTTTGGTTGAAGCGCATGCTTGTGACCGCGCTGCGGCGTATTCTTGTAGGGTTGTATGGACGTGTTTCGCACGCTCGGAACTATCGTGGTTGCTTAAACAATTTCGGGCTCTACGAAATTGCGTATTAAGGGCGCTGACCTGTCGCATATGGACCGATGTAAGGCGCCATTCGAAGACGCCGCTTGGATTGTAGACTTTCTGCAATATGATGACGTTGGGTACTGCCTACTCATGACCTATGTTTCCATCGTACAGCAATATTGTTGCAGCACCTCCATATTTACACTTCCTGTGCACGAATGCAGAACAGTGGCACAGCAATGGAAGCACGCGGCAATCGAAATTTACTGGAAAGATAAGGCAGGTCTTCACGCAGATATTGTAGATTGAGTTTCTTCGGTATGACGTCATGGGTCAGAGGACACTGATAAGCGTGCAATGTTATGTAGCGCCATACGAGTTAAGCTGTTGACATTTCTGTAGCTTTATGAGGACCGTAGTCCATGATGGTCCTAGTGCCCATCATCCTGAGCTGAAATCCTCGCTGTGAACAAAGATATACCATCTATGTCGCCGAAACTAGAGGTACAGTATAACCGTACTATCAACATTACTTGAACAATCCTCGTAGGATCGTTCGGCTATAACGTGAATGGCCGAGTGCAGGTTCTCAAGTGGGAGATCTGGGTGGCGTTAATTGTGCGTTAGAAGTCTCTCGACGTCGAAGGAGGGAAGGAGTTCTCTTTCAGCGAGTGTATTGATATTCAAATTTCGGCAAATACCTTCCAGAGGCGACGGTGCATATGGGTCAATTCGGATCAGATATAATTACAGGAGGCAGTACTACTACTGGCTTCGTCATTTATGGGATAAATTCCATGTACTCAGGCTGGACGATTAGCGCTTTAGCTTCTACCATCCGTTTCATCAGATTATACTACGGCTTCGTGTTTCCTAGGTAATAAATCTTCCATAACATAGCTGCACGCAGTATGAGACCCCAGCTTGTTCGCCGCGGGCGTGGGAGGCTGATCACACTTCACGAGTGCCATGAGTCGATGCTGCCCTCGAACTTCTACTCGCCTTGTCTTCATTGACAGAGCACTATATCGAGCACCTCACGTTGCAATCTCCTCTCTAAAGAATTACTTGGCAAAGCTGATGATGGTCGAACAGCTTCTTGACGGGCGTCTGACTTCGTTGCTCAGCGCTCAGTCGAGACCTTCAAAGGGCCTTACCATGTGCGATTTTCAACACCAACGTGCGTCTTCTTGCGCTGAAGAAGCTTGAATGTCTGTGAAGAAAGAGGGAATAACAGCCTGTAATCATGACAGACTGACCTTGATGGTCCCGCTTCTCGTCCATTCTGTAGAACTTCAGTGGGTGCTTCATGATGGGTGCCAAGATATGTACATATTTAACTGTGACGCTTTGAGGAAAGTGATCTTATATCGCAGTCGAAGGACCGCTCAAGTTCAATTTGGTCCTTGACCTTGTCTTCCATTGAACGAGATATGCTTTCCACCTCCAGGAGACTGAGTTTCCTTAATCACCTTTGCATCCGGACTGGTTACATTCCGAGGACACCTCGATATGTTGTGCGTCCCGTTTTCTGTGCTATCTTTGGAGCAACATCAACGCTAAAACATGTTCTGCGGAACCATACGAGCCTCCAAGAAGAGCATCAACTGTTATGAGTTGAGTTTCCACGGGTCCCCCGGGTGATGACTCTTGCGGAATCGCATGCGAGTTCCCCCGGTATACACGAACAATGATATAACTTGAGAGAGTTTCAATCTTCAGCGGCTGTTATTCAATGAACGTGTAACCCGCAATCATTGACAAGGATAGAAAATGCATCAGCCTCCGTGCTCGGTGTCGCTTACTATGAACAAAGTCATGAGATGGTTTCCTTCGATTCAAGGATCATGATTCATAGGATGAAACTTGAGCTTGGACAGCGGAGCACCCGATATCACGGACATACAACAGCTCCACTGGTCCGCGACAGAGGCAGTCGTCCCATTGGAAGGCGCTTTGGAAGCTTAAAAAGGAACTCGGATCTAAGCGTTCGAATCAAACTCCGAGCATCGGCACGACGGCAACCCTCTTTTCAATGCACAGCTTTCAAGCGCAAGATTGTCTACAAGTTTTTTCATACACAAAACTACGAGACTTGGAGGCGGTACAGAGAAACAAAATGTTGTGGGCGCTAGTGTTATCCTTACGTCCTTTTTGAAAGTACGTGGCTTAGTCCCGAGCCAAGATTAAGGCACCGAGGAGGTTAAGAGAATTCGGGATCAAAGGTTGCTCGTCAGCCAAGAATACGCGTCTGTCCTCCTGACCCACGGACGAAAAATCAGCGGGGCCTCCTTGGCCATTAGAGGAAATTGGCGGCGCCAAGTCATCATTCATATCCGAGCTAAGAACGGCGAAGAGGTGAAAGAGCGTCGAGTCGATCGCCAAGCGGTGATGCACGTATATAGGCAATCCAAAGACGCGTCTAAAAGTAAGGGTCCGCGCCACTGAGCGAAGAAAAAGTCCCGGATCAGTTACGAAAGTTAGAAGAGAGATAGAGTAATAGTAGCGAGTGTGGCGCATTTCGGATGCGGCCCGGACTGAGAAAGAGAGTGGACCATAGGGAGATAAATAATGGCTAGGCTCCAGTTGCGATAGATATCAAAAGATGCGTGTGTCGGTGTAGTGGCCTCGAGGCTTCGTAGTGGAGACATTGTGTTGAAAGAGGAAAAATCGATGGATGACGTGCTTCAGATGGAAGAGTCGAATTTGTCCATTCTACCCCTCCTCGTGAACGGGCCACAGGGGCAAAGTTGTTCCAGCACAGGGACTCACAGGGACCGAGATAGATTAGAGCAGAGTTCAACAGAGACGAGAATAAGTACATGACGACTTGAATTTGTCCAAGCTCCGGTTGAATTCCGTTTGCAGAAATGGTCCCATGGGCGTAAAGTCAGCCTCGTTTCAAGAGCGGAAAGTGGCATTTTTGTCACAATTGCAACGTTGCATTTATAGACGGTCTCGCCTGGACCTCGACGGAACACGGGGCGCGCGGCAGGTCTCGGGAATTCAATAACCTGTCTATGTCAGGGAGTGCGGAACAGTCGGATGAATTGCGCTAGAGCTAGACTTGAGAAAATTGCTGTATATGGTTGCGGTAGCGACGAAGATACAGACCGAGTGACAGATAGATACCAAGAATTGCCAAGTGTTGGGATCAAATGTTTATTTGACGTTGAACCGAGATACCTGTACAGCGACCAGAGGGGATAACATCATAGTTGGCGCCTCTAGACACCTGAGCCAAGATGCATAGCCACGCGGAGCGGAAGAGGGCGGAACGTTGAAACTTTACAATTGGCTGAATTGGTCGTAAAGCGTTGTGCTCCTTTCCGTCATAGGTTCGCAAATTGAAAGGAACGGAGGCAACGCAATGCAATACGTCTAGTGGTGGTAGTACAGTATTGGATTGTCACTGGTATATGTCGGATAATGGAGAGGTCATAATAGGCGTCGTTAAGAGTGTGGTATGTACGGGAAGTGATGATGATGAAGGCGAAAATAATAAGAATACTGCTCGAACTTCGACTCTGCTCTTGCGACAACTAAAAGCCGTCCAGACAACCACCGGACTCTTCTCGTTCCCGTTCCCGAGCTTTACAAATGGCACGCCGTTTTGCTGCACATTTCTTCTTCGTCTGGGGTGAAGGGGGGAATGGTAGGTCATCGGAGAAGGTCGGCTTTGACTTTTTCGGGGGAGAAGTACGGGGAAAATAATATGCCTCTGGGGGAGGACTTGCCACACCGTCGCTCTCATCACTTGAGCCAGACAGGTCTGGGATAAGATCTGGGACGGGGGCTAGGGCGCGAGGATGGAGACCCTTGTAAAAGGCCTGGCTGTCGTCGAGGGTGTAACAGCGCCCGCCACGCTCTGGCAGGGCGCAAGAATTGGGCGACACGACAATAGGTGAGCGGTCATAAGACTCGCGAGGATGGGCGTCAAAGGTACGGGTGAGGAGGGGCGACGATGGGAAATGGACGGCGTGGGGCGGGTGCTGCGACGGCGAGCGCTTAAGAATTGGGCGGGGGGAGGGAGAGAACATAGCGGCGGCGACGAGACAAGCTTTGTGTTAGCAGGGAGAATTCATCATGGCGAGCAAGATGATGGTCGTTTATTAACGAAGGTTGGTTCTGTTGTGGCCGTGACTAGTTTCCCTTGTAACATCTGTGACATTGTCACTTTTTTTTTTCAGACTCCGCCTTCGAATCGGAACAATGCTGCGTTGCCGGCGTAAATCCCTCTGACAATTCAGTGCCACAGCTTCGTGCCAAGCCTCGCCCTCTTCACCCGCCGTCTCAATGTGCGCTACGGAATGCTTTACTATTAGATCCAATCATACGTGTCGCTAATTAAATAGACCACCTTGCTATCGCCGATTTCCAAGCCACTGATTAATGGCCTACAAATGGCCTATGTACGTACGTGTTGTGTACAATATGGTCTTGAATCTGGACAGTACACCCACAACGGTAAATATCACCTGTTCTTTTTCTTATCTTCTCTCAACACGAATCAGTCCGACTTTCCATTGTTCATGTAGAACAATCTTTCATAACGGAGTCCGTACTTACTTGGTACCGCACTGTCCGGCCATGCTTCACGGTATCCAAAGTGAACCGTGCCGATCCCCGTTATTTCAAGTTGCCTTTCCCTTCAACCTTTCATTACGGTTCATGTCTGGGCCTGGTTTCCGATTCTCTTCTCAGCCTGTTCTACATCCGTGAGTGTTAAACTTAGCCTACCGCGTTTCTTCTGGTGCCTTACTCTCATCCTTCTCTTACTTATCGTAGCTACACCGGAGTTGCAATCCCACCATGTCGTCTCCACCATTTCAACGTCTGTGTGGCCTTGTTATTCCATCCCATCTCAAACGACCGACCTCTCCGAGGATTCGGTTCCTGTCGCATCAAATCTTGTTGTACTCTCTCCCTTTGCTCTCGACCGGTATACATAAGCCCTTATTTTTGGGCGCTTTGTCTTTCTGCCTGATCGGTGTACACCCAATGGTGTACGGTGTATTCATCCAACAAAGCGTAACATCAATCCGTCCAACTTCCTCTCTAGCATACCGCGGCGCCACCCCTTGTGTGTCCAACAAATGATCCTTGCTCTAGAGTCCGATACTCGACGGCTTTCGTCTCCATACGGCCTTCTCCATATGCTAAACGGTATCAATTGACGTAGCGAGTTCATGTGTCCACCGAACTCGGAATTCCCCGAATGGAATATTCCACCCTCTGGGTCACCACTTATCATCCACGGCGTCAGCTGGGGACTTAACACTTGAAATTCCAACTCTTATCGATTTTGGTCCCGTGGACTCATCCTCGTCCTATATACTCGGAGCTCGCGAATCAAAGTTCTCGGTGCTATCAGGTCCTGCTCTTCCCTTGGCGTGGTTGTAGGGGGGCATGGGATAATTCGAAGATGGAGACGCGTGATTGGCATGAGTTTAGGTTGGGAATCGTACGACCGGAAGGCAACGAGGTCAGTGGGACCTGGATGCCCACGGGAGAATTTACCAGGGATATCCGAGGTCAGGACAGCTATTGGCGGCGTGGCACAGGGACGCGACTTGCTATGACGAAGAGGTATCTCCTTGAGAGAAAAGAGGACCAATAATGCCCACGAGATCGCCGAGCTCCCGAGATCGTTCCTATGTCTAATTCTCTCGCCTACGTACATGAAGATCGTGAAAATCGTGGGGAAACTTCAAGACATGAGTGGATAATATCTTGAACTTGCTTACGTTCGTCCGTAAATTAATATACACATGTTTTCTAGGGTATACTCGAGGCCAGGATGGGATTGGTTGTACATCCGTGTATTGGTCGATGGTGACTATTCTGCCGGAGGGAAGGGAACACTGCCTAGCGGTAAATGGTAAGTAGCAAGGCCGACGACCGGAGTTTCAATACGAGTCTCACTGGAAAAGGCAATGACCTCCCACTCTCTTGTTCACCCACTGAATCCGACCTCGCGGGGCCTGACACCGCTGCAGAGCACCACCATCACCCCGGACCGAAGGCTCGAAGACTGATTGAGTAGACTGATCTTCTCATTGCATGGCAATACCCGAACACGAACCTCTTCTTCTTCATCACTATGAGGACCCGTTTGGCAAGCTCCGTCGACGCACGAACCACGTACCAAGACCCATCTTTGATTGGCACGACGATACCCTGCGGTGAAGGCCCCGGGTGACAGGAAGGTGTGCTCTAGTGCGTGTGTCCGTCCGTCCGAGAGCAAGCAAGCCTCCCAAGGCGAGGCCATTGTGCGCTTGCACTTTCGTCTTTGCTTGGCACAGCGGGTGACATACTACGATGTGAAGTGTGCTTCTCTGATGCCTAGACCAGGCCCTCGTCTGTACCCATGCCCTATCTTGTTGACGCAGCGGTCGTCAAGCTTTCGCATCCAGTTTACATATAGCGAAGCCGGGATCCAGCGATCTCCTTTAGTGAATCGATCTAACGAACGTGTGTGGGGGGGGGAGCTGGTGCGTCTGTGAAAAGGCTCTCGATAGAACCTCTTCTCTTCCATTGTCGAATTTCCCACTCGAACATCGCCGTGACTGGCCCTTCATTTCCACACATCATGGAATATTATTGTTTGAAGGTCTGACATTGATTGAATGATTTTGATTTCATGTTCAGCAGGCCCAGATCGCCTTACTGTACTATGCGCAAACTATGCGGTCCGCTTACCAGGTGCTGCAAGTCGCGATGGCTTCTCTAAAGATATGGATTTTCGTCGTCTCAGCCTCCATTCGAGTAACCCTTGGCGATCTCGCTCTTTCGCCACCCCTCGGCGCCGACTTCTCCCAATGGTCCAAGTACGCTGTAGTCGCGATCAGCCTCAGCCAACCGGGTTCGAGAAAACACCCCCTGGACACACATTCTTGGTCCTTATCATACGAGGTTCCGGCACCCAGTCCTTGACGACAGCTCTTTCGCCGCTCGAGTACAGGTATATACTCCCCTAGTTGGTTCCCTCCATTGCTTGAGATCAAGTGCTTGCGTTCTCTCTAACTCCTCGGTGCCTGGCCGCGATCTCTTGGATTATTCTATCCTACTTTGATATGCCTTTTGGAGGTCATTCATTCGCTTGCAGTACATTCGACTTGCTTGGCGATGTGGATATTTGAACGAGAATGGCGAAGCGCCATGAATTATCAAGATATGCGACTGTCACAATCTTTCAATTGATACAGTGGCGCAGTTCTTTGGCTGTCAATGTTATACCAAGCATTCGAGCAGTTGCCGACCCGGCGTTCAAGTTGTAGGTGCCAGGTTATCGGTGTTTAAAGTGCTATTTACTCGGACTTCAGGTTGAACGATAGGCTCAAAGATGTAGAGCTTCTCATAAAGAGTGTCTTTATTTACCTCCGAGGACCAGCTCAATCAAAAGTTATAAGCAGGGCCAGAGTCCCGAGATTCTACCGTAATATTGAATGAAAGGTATACAGTACTACCGACAACGTCTAAAATTACTGGTGCTTCTTTCCATTGATCATGACAAGCTCCGGCGTCTTTTGGGTGTGTTTCAGACTCAGAGGTAAGCTCTTGACTCCGTATGTATTGAAAGCACGACTGATAGCCGCCGTCCTGTTGAAGGTAGTGGGTTTGAGTGGAAATGACCCTTATGCGTCATAAAATGGGCAGGTTATCATGTGAAGTTCGAAATGTCTCTGGTTCTCATCATCAAAGCTCTGTGAAACGGTCTGCATTCATGCACTTCCGTCGATGCTCAGTATAGAACTCCTCTCACCAGACTTGGGATTCTCGATCCCCTCTCTTCTTTCTGCCACGGCTCGCTGTCTGTGATATACCGGTCTTATTTTAGCTTATCATGGCTGGAGGGTTTCGTGGGATACTTCTTCATTCTACATCTCCTATTACGTCTGCGTGTCTCTTGGTGAGGTTTGGCTCGTCGGTTCTCAATCTCAGCTAATACCGGTGTTAATATTTGTAGACCAATACACTCAGACTAGACCAACTCTCTTCCCCCGATGAACTTCGGATCGACGTTGAAGCTCGTCCGAGACTCTACTCAGCTTCGGATAGTCAGTCCAATGGTAAAAACTCACGTCGATTTAGCATGGCTTCGCTGACTTGGCGTAAAACACATGCATTCGTACTCATTTGTGATCATAGCTGAGGGCTATATCAAGAGACCAATGGGCATCTTGAGGTCTTTACGTGTACTTCCGAAACGTTGGCTTTCTTATGTACTCTGACCATTATTGCCTTCTCCGGTCAAGTTCTCAAGGCTGAAATAGACGACCTGGTATTGTCTCTCTTACTAATTTCCGGAGTGTTTCTGTGCTGTTTCGTTTCGTGTCGTTTGACTCAACGCACCTTTACAATGACATCGCCTCGGAGCACATCAAACATTATCTTGCACTCTCTATTTTGTTGTTCTGGCGCTTATGTGTGATCTCTGTATGTTCAAAACACTAGCTCGTCCCGCTAAGTAACATGAAGCCCGGCTGGACCAGGGGCAGTTCAGATATTGATGATGGGTACTTACAGGCGCGCCTCGGTGCCTGTAAATCATACGCGGTGTTTTACCCCTAAGACCTTTGGCTGGAACTTGGATGGCCATGGATACATTAGATGCTTTATCCATCGCCATGCTGTGTGTTTGAGGTGTATCGATAACATTCAAGTTGAATGATAGATGAAAGAGAAGGTGTTGCATGGGCTAAGTCTGGGAGGCGGCCATTCAGGACAACTGCCAAATATTGTTAAGGTACATGTGGAGAAGGAAGATTCGAGATAATCTTATTTAATCATCTATCGTTGTCCTCGACCTGCCCTGAAGTCGACTCGGTTGGCAAGAATCATGAACAATTCGAGTCTTTTCGCTACTCCACGTCTACATACCGTTCAAAATAACTTCTTTTCATTGAATCCGACGCATGACGATGAGGCAACTTGAAAGCGGTGTCCGTTCTTCTGTCAACGGATTTGTCATTGCTGGATGACGAGGCATGGTAGAGACTTTTGAGAGGCTACAGCATTCGGACTTTTGGCCATGCAGTGCTAGGTGGCGCCGCTGTTCGCTGCCGCATGTAGTTACCGACGTCAGACCGTGCGCCGGGCGAAAGTCGGTCCGGCGTCGGACGATATGTGATGACATCATTGTTTCGTCGCAACGTCCCAGCCTAGCGACCGGCCAAATAGCATTATGGACGATGACCGCGATACATCTGTATAGGATTCGCGAAAGAGCAGCCGGACAACATTATTGGGATACAAACGTCGTGTCGGTCGATGAGGAGAACGGTCTTTTACAAAATAATCACCGTCAAGTGATGTGATCATTGCTGCCTCGGTAATCGTGACTTTGACATTGACTACCATGTCGTTACCCCAGAATGCCCTCGACCATTCCTTCAACTTACCAAAGCGACTCAGACCGCCAAATCTTACCTTTACCAATGAAAGAAAACCTGTTTCCTCGATACAGATCCAAGCCGACTCTCCCACTGACCTCTCAGACGAGGAGGACGACGACATTCTCAAACTCGACTCGGGCGATTCTTCCCCTTCAACCTCTCCCATGGCACCCATGCTCAGTTTCTCCTCATCAGACGAGGATGCTACCTCCGACGATATCAACCAGGGATTTGCAGCTCTCGAACAATTGCGAAAGAGCGTTCAGAAGAACCTCCGTCTACGGCCTATTCGTTCGCATGCTTCTCTCAATAGCGCCAAGATGTGCTCTTCATTCGGATCCTTCTCGCCTCATCCCGTAAGGGAAGAGGTCGCCAGTCCGGCATCCAGTACGGCTTCTTCGTACTTCACACCAACATCAGATGCACGGGACTCACCGTTAAGTGCTCGCTGGGTTGGCTCAAGTGCCTCTGATTCGTCGTCTCTACCCCGGTCGCCATCTCCGCAACAACGTCAGAGTCGTTCTGTCGACCCTGGCTGTCTATATGAGCGGCTGACAGCCCCAACCCGGCCCCTTCTAGTCGACACTCGGCCGCCCGCCGTACACCTGTCTTTCCATATCAAGCATAGTATCAACGTTGCGATTCCGTCGCTCATTCTGAAACGATGTCGCAAACCTGGTGGAGGGTTCCAGTCCTTGGATTCGCTGCGTCAGTTTATTACCACAGAAGAAGGGAAGGCGGCGTGGGACGAGTTGATGCGGCCCGGAGGGTCTTGGGACGGGGATGTAGTTGTGTACGACGACGAGATGGACGAGAAAGATAGAGAGAACATGGCTATCACAGCTTGGGCACTGCTTTCTGTGATACAGCCACTGCTAAGCTATGGTAACGTTGATTATCTCATTGGCGGCATTTCATCCGCAGGTCATCACCCTGATCTTGAAACGCTTATCGTCTCAGGTGGCGGCTTGGACTTCGGGGACGAACCGGCTAATACAGGGTCGAAAGGCGGAGGTTTGTTTCAGCTTGTTACAAACAAACCTTTTCATCCAAAGTCTTCGCTCGAGATTGAGCAAAATTCTTCTTCTTCTTTCATGTCGTCCACCGTTACAGCTCCGCCACGTTCTCCACTACCTCTGATGCCCATGACATCCAATTACAAGACGTCCAATGTGAACGTCATGGACGCCTCCCCTTCACCGCCGCCTTCACAAGTTACTTTTCGACGACCACCTCCACCTCGACGGCCTAGTGTGCCCAACCTTCGTCGTCTTGACACAAAATCTGCTGAAAGGCTCAATTTGTCCTTGCCCAAGCTGCATGTGCGCACCGTGCCCATAAAGTCTGCTACTCTTTCCGTCCCGCCAACTTCTCTATACCCTCCATCGCCCTCACATCTAAATCTTGCTCATTCGAATCATACCCCACCTGCCTCAGCCCACTGGGTGACGTCTCCCGCATCGCCTCTGTCGTCAGCTGAAATTTTTTCGGCATATTTCACTCCACCGCATACGCCAGGCACACCAAAAGGGTTCTACGTGCCCCCGTCACCACACACGGCACGCCCGGAGGACCAGCCACCCACCACTGAAGAACCGTTCCCGCCGTTCACCGTGTCGACAATATTACCCAATTTTTTGTACTTGGGACCGGAGCTGACATCGCCAGAGCATGTAAAGGAGCTAAGGGATCTCGGAGTGCAGAGGATTCTGAACATCGCAGCAGAGTGCGATGCTGACGATCACGGACTACGTTTGAAGAACGAGTTTGACAGATATTTCAAAATCCCGATGAGGGATACCGTTGAGGAGGAGAATATCGCCCAGGGTGTTAGGGAGGTTTGTGAAATTTTGGGTGAGTGCCGTACGCTTTTCTGATCGACGTGTCGGTGGCGTTAACGTGGTAGCGATAGATGACGCCAGACTTCATTCGTCGCCAACGTACGTGCACTGCAAAGCTGGCAAGTCGCGGTCAGTAACTGCCGTCATGGCATACCTAATACATGCAAACCACTGGACACTATCGCGAGCGTACTCGTTTGTGCTCGAGAGGCGGAAAGGGATCTCTCCCAACATTGGATTCGTCTCTGAACTGATGTCGTTTGAGGAAGAAGAGTTGGGAGGCAAGTCGGTGGGTGTGCAACCGCCTTCGACCAATGGGGATGGGATAGACGGGGACGGGGGCGGCGGGAGCGGACACATGAATTACGCGGTGGCTGCTGGGAACCGACGGGGCGGACACGTGAGGGAGAGTTTGCCACCTGCGTTGCTGGGTGGGGAGCCCGGGCCGTTGAGCGCAGGCGGGATGGAGATGCGAGTAATGGGTGATTCTGGGCAGGAAGTGGAGATCAAGGACGCGACGGGCCGGTATCGACATGCGAGACGAGCGCCGGTGGATGAGACTACGCTTCAGCCAATGCGAAGGGTCAGCAAGGCAGGCTTGGAGAGTTCAGTCAGCGTTTCATAGCATGATTTATCACTAATTATCTATTGTGGTACCATTTTTTCTTCTTACTTTCTTGGGTTGTTTTATTATGGATTTTATCTTTTTATCATGAGGTCAAGCTTGGGACTACAGTTTTTCCTTGCTTTTGCTTTCGTGTTTGTATCCAAAATTATAATGTATACGCCCAAAATGTGGAACTGTGATATTCCCATATGTTGACGTCATCTTGATGACAAGCGATCTGGCTCCGAAATCGCGCTCCGCCTTCTACCACCATGACTGATCTCTGCCTTGCTTGTTCTTCTTCTCTACCACCTCAGAAGCTCTCAGGATCCAAATTATTTATTACAGAATGCTGCCAACGACCCATATGTCCGAATTGCATTGCTCTGAATCCTCGGCTGAGCAGGTACAATCCTTGCCTTGCATGTCTCGGCGGTGTAGGCGTTATCGGTGCACGTATGGGCCGCAACAAACTTGAACTTGCAACTACGAATTTGGATGGAGCTGTCAGAGACGAAGATATGTTCGTCGTTGGTGACGATGATGAGGACGACGAAATGCCTCCGCCAGCGTATACCAAATCTTCTGGCTCGGAGGCTGCCCCACTTGAAAGCGATATTGATAAACCTTCCTCTGCTGAGATATCCTCTACTTCGGGCCCTCCGAAGTATTATATCAAGCGTACAGACACCCTTCAAGGAATTGCTCTGCGCTTTGGTGTCGATGTATGTGTACATTCTGTTTCCATAAAAGTTAAAGAGACAATCTACTTACTGTTTATAGGGCCGTGAGCTCTGCCGGTTGAACAACCTCCCACCCAGTACGCTCTCCATAACACCCCACCTTCTACATACCCGCGAATTCCTCCTCCTACCTCCGTCTTCCCACCCGAAGCTCAAACCATCCGATTCTGAGCCCACGGGACGCCGCGAAATAGAGCGTGCTGAAAAACGATTGCAGGTACTGACGAAAGAAGTCGATTGGAGGGTGGCGAAGGCTTACGTTGCTCTCGCAGATGAAGTAGATTTAGATGATTCTAAATTGAAGCAGCCTGCGACCAGTGTGGAAGCGCGCGCTATTGAGCGGTACCTTGATGATGAAGAGTGGGAGTGTGGAGAGGGTGGTCCGGCTGTTATACAGAGGTTTCCCTACTCGGATTTTGGGACAAAGTCTGAATCTAAACGAAGCTGGTGGTGATGCGATGTTTATTCGTTGGACGTTCTTCTTAATGACATGTAGCTTATACAGAATGGACTTCACAAGAGACGTTGACTGCGGTTTTAACCACCGTTGTAGTCTTCTAGTCTGTCTAAGTTTTGGGTTAGTCATGGTTGTGAGTTCGCATTCAACTACAAGATTCATAGCACATACCCCTGGACACCAAACATTCTTGCCTACCTGTTTGCATCCAACTTCTACATCTATGCCGAGTCAGACACGCATGTCAGTAATCACAAAGCGACTGCTTACCTGGGGATTCAGGTATACTTCTGCCGTCTGCACACACCAAAACAGTGGCAGCCAACAAAATTGAGACGAGGTGACTAAGTTTGAAGTTTATGGTTGGTTGTTGCAGCTTGAGCAAGTCGGGGGGCTTTTATACTCTGGATTGCTCGGATCACAACTAAAGAAGTAGAGTGCGGGCAGGTCATGCAGTATCGTTGCGCTCGGTTTTTACTATGCTAATCCCTTGTTCGACGAGATACGTGTTCATCGGATGTGGATCCCTTTCAGATTTTGAGAGAAAGGAGAATTCTTGGACTCACATGACATTCTTCACCTTGAGGTCTGCTATTCAATACCTTCGGAACGACAAATTTTCCGCTTCTCTATAGTGTGCAACGATGTACAGCATGTCTATGAATGAGGAGCCGCACGTCAGTGTCAATTGAGCACCCAGAAATACCGTAGGTCTCATAAGGCGCCATAAGCAACCTTGCCATCTATCACTGTGGCAGTCACTTTAGCTTCCAATATCTCTCCAACCGGGATTGACATGATGTCTCGATCCAAAACCACGAAATCTGCCTTCTTACCGGGTACCAGGGAGCCCAAGTCGGTTTCAGCAAAAGACGCATAAGCCGCGTCCAGCGTCATGCCTTTCAAGGCTTGCGCGCGCGTCAGTTTCTGTTCAGGGTACCTGCAGTATCGTGGATTTCAGTATCGTTAGGTGAGAGCGAGGCGAAGAGCGTACCATCCGTCGGGACCGTGAGGAGATGTCCCATCTACAGAGAGTCGGGATACGGCAGCGTAGAAACCTAGCAGTGGATTTACGCCTTCGACCGGAAAGTCGGACCCGAGAGGGAGGACGTTTCCGGGAGAGGCTCTGTGATAGTCGGGTATAGGATAGGCGAGGTAGAGGTAGACTGAAACTCACTTCAGTAGAGACTGATAGGCATATGCACCCTTCATCCTATCAGGACCCTGCAGCATTATTTTGAGGTTTTTGAGAAAACAGATAATGGGGATAAGTATACCAAGCGTTTCTCTGCGTACCACATATCGCTTGTCCTATAATCCCTGTTTGAGAGATGGACTTAGACATAAAGAATAAAACTCACGCATGGGTCGGCTGGACGCTAGGGATGACTAGGCAATCCGTTGTTCGGGGGCGATTATGCATGTAACAGGACTCAGACACGCACCACCGAGTCTGCCGACTCTCTCGATATCGTTGAGGGTCAGAATTTGAGAGTGTTCAATTCGAGGTCTCCATTTCGTTATATCTGCTTTTCGGGACCCGTTTCGTTCCAAAATGACATCTTCTAAGACGTCTAAGACAACGTTGTTGGCCTTGTCGCCAATGCAGTGAATATTCTTCAAATGTGATAAGCAGAAAGAAGGGAAAAAGAAAAAGAAAGAGTACGAACCACTTGCCAGTCATCTCGATGAAATTGATGAACAAGCTTCGATAGTGTCTCTTGTTGTATCCGCATGATACCGCTGGTTTCTGGTTTGTCGGAGTAGGGTGCCAGAAGGGCAGCGCCCCAAGAGCCCAAAGCTCCTTCAAGCAAGGATAAATGCCTTGCCACAACACGGATGGTGAGTTCGCACCATCAGTAAAGAGCTTCACGCTCCTCAGGTTCAGTCTGCCATCCTTCCCATAATTTATCAGTCTAGGAAGCTGAGGGCCCCAGTATTCATCCGAAGACACGCTTCCCATGAGATAAAGTCGAATCTAATGAAATGTGAAATAATCTCGGCTTCTTAAATGATGCTTCACTTACCGGAAGAGTTCCCGTTTCGGCTTGCCTCGAATTTATGTCAAAAACGCCACCTCAAGTGAGGTAGGGACTTACTTCATCAGGAATTCGATGACTTCGGGCTCAGCAGCTGCGTCGTGAACAGACGTTAAACCATACTGCAACGCCATCTTCATCGTGATATCGAAGAAATTAGACAGTTCGGCTTCACTAAATTTGGGATGGGGGACAATTGACATTGCGTTGTCCAAAAACACGCCTAACAGGAGTCAGAATGGTGCGGTATCTTGTTGCAAGTGCGTACCAGTGGGCCGTCCTTCGGAATCGCGAACGATGATTCCGCCCTCTACTTCTGACGGCATATCGTCACCGATAAGCTCGAGGACGCGGGTAGAAACCCATGTGGCATGAACGTCGACTCTATACAAGGCAATAGGTCTACCTGAGAGGAGTGGGTCTTTGGATAGGTCTTCCTGGAAGTATCAAGTTTCGGAATGGTCATTTGGAAGCTAAGAAAGAGGTTCTTACTGCAGTGGGAAATTCCCCGCCAGGCCATTTCGTTTGATCCCATCCCATCCCTTGGATCCAACGTGTTGGATCACGTTCTACGTCAGGATGGGACAGAATGTACGTCTTGATAAGATCTATGACATCTGTTATTTTGATAAATAAATCTCGTTAACGCCACCTTGACAAAACGTGCTCACCGGAGACAGACTTGGCTTTCTCTAACTCTAGCTGCATCTTGAAGCCATTCTGGATGACATGCGCGTGCGAATCTGTCGATGGAACTCATGGCCTGGGAAGCATTATACTGTATGGAAGAGACCGTACCTGCAAGTCCTGGAACGACAACAGAGGTTGGTGGTATAGTAATGACTTCAAGGGACCATTGGAGAAACCCGGGAATCCAAGTCGGGATATAAGGTACAAGAGTAAGTGGTATCAGTGTGTTTGTATTGGTCAAGTCAGCTAAACAAGTACCATTTAACATAGCACCGTACGACCTTTCAATCACTCACAGAAGTTTCCGGTCTCTGTTATCTGTGAACCGACGACAGATATGCATTCCACCCTTGGATAAGCCTCGTCAACTGTATATATACTTCTGGTAGGTGAACAGACGACCAAACGACGTGTATATGGGTAATTCCAAGCAAAGAAAGCGACGCCAAGGATGCCAAAAAGCCAGAACCCGTTCGACCTTGCGTTTGCTATCTTTGCGTCCGCCATTGCGGTTCCGATCGAAAGTCGTCATCCACACGTGATCTCGCGGAATTCGAGACTTCTGCCGATCCCTGATCTTGACGAGCAACCCCCATGGAGCCCCCAGTTGCCGATTCCACATCCATCCAAGGCGCCCACAAAAAGGCCCTTCACGGAAAAAAATCGATAGCAAAGTATCCAAAGGTTGTCGATTCACCAGCATACGATGCGTGCGTACAGCCATTATACCTGAAGTATCTGATTAAGGCTCAAATCCAGAAATTCAGGTCTGAAGAAGACAATGATCCGTTGACGGATGACGGCGCTTCAGCTATATCTCTACCGACACCCTCTCGCTTTCCAAATTCTGCAAAATTAAACAGTACCTCCAAGGGGTCAGTTGCTCGTGCCAAGCACCATTTGGCTTCCAGCTTCCTATCCGACTCGGACGGCGTCGATTCCCCAACCTACGATGGCGACATAGAATCCAGTACAACAGCAGGTCCAGATATCGTTTCCTCGTCAAAGACATCCCATCATCACCACGCCTCGTCTACTTCTACCCTGAATACTCCAATTACCCCTGCTTTTCCACATCCTGCGGACCTTCATGCTGGAACTACAGATCCAGCATTGGTGTCACGAACGCACAGGGCTGATATCGCTTCGCCAGTCTTCATAACTAGTCCCTCCATACCTTTGCAGGTCCCGGAAGAGCCCCCAGTACCCGCAGCATCCCAGGAAGCTTTCAATCCAGCGGCCTTGACAGGGGAAGACATCCAGGCTTTCGTCCAAAAGGCAGTCGATGGTGAGACGTGGCGAAAGTATAAAATCAATAAACCTCCCGTCGATAGACCTGTCCGCATCTATGCCGATGGTCTGTCAGCTTCTTTCTATCTATGTCTCATCCTGACAGCGTGAACACAGGTGTCTATGATCTTTTTCACTTTGGGTGCGTCCAAATTGTCTGTTCTTATAGCACTGTTGATATTAAGGAAGGGTGTCATCAGCCATGCGCTCCAACTCCGCCAGGCTAAACTAGCTTTCCCATCCGTCTATTTACTCGTAGGAGTTTGCTCTGACGAACTCGTCAAGGCTCACAAAGCTCGCAGTATCATGGTACACGCCGAACGGTGAGAATGACACGTTTGATCAGTTTTCATTTCCCTCAAACGTGCGTCGGCTGTAGCATAGAAGCAGCAAGACACTGTCGATGGGTTGATGAAGTCGTACCCGAGGCACCCTGGATCATCGATCAAGAATTTTTAGACAAGTATCAAATCGATTACATTGCCCACGATGAAGACCCATACGTCGCTGAAGGACATGAAGACGTATATTCCTTTGTGAAGAGCCAGGGTAGGTCTCACGACTTATCAATATGCTTTTGATTGACAACATGGCTCCAGGCAAGTTTATTCCTACCCGAAGGACCCCCGGAGTGTCGACCTCAGAACTTTTGGAGCGAATCGTCTCGGGATACCGAAGACGAGACTTTGATGCGAAACTGGTGAAGATGGGCCACGCAGAACTGTGTGCAGAAGGTAGTGATTACGATGAGATGAGCAGCAAAAGTGCTAGTCGATCCATGAGCCCAACTTAGAGGTGCTTCGGATTGGCGTGTAGGTTATTCGATTGTCTCTGAATGTTCGAGCACTACTATACATCTGTCTAAATAGGTCAGACAAATACAGGCTGACAACCTTCCTTCGCTATTGCGAGTAATCAATTCCAAGAATCAAAGCCGTATCCTCGCCCGTTTTTAAGGACAAGAATTCAGGACGTTAGGGTTTCCGTCCACCCATCCAACTCTCGATTCTTCTATGCGGTTGTTCATGTTTGGTTTCCAACTGAGCTATATTCGACGAAACCATCAATCTAACGGGCTAGATGAGGTCTGATTTGGCGGCTCGCTGGCTTTAGCGTTCTCATCAATTCATGTTCTGCTCTCGTGGTCGAGGAAAGTGATCACGATTCCCCGAAACCTAGCGGTTTGGACGGACCGGAATGTTCTCGTGACAAAACATCAGAGTCAATCGCACGAACAAAATTGAACTACAAAAATGAGATGACGTTGCATATCTCTGACACGAGCCTCCTTTGTAATGACGAAGACGGTGTTGAACGATCAGAAGCCAGGTTTACTTGGTACACCTTCAACTGTGCTCTCCTCGCTGCTATCGGGTCACTACTACTTATAGACTCCGGCATCATATCGACGACCATCTCACACGACACCTTCGGAGACTACTTTGCACGATACACAGGCGCGTCTCCCCTCCAACTCGCTAATAAATTTTGGCTGAGCATCCCAAGATGACATCTCCGGCGCCGTGGTGTCGATCTTTGGCGCTGGGAGTTTCTTTGGTGTCATTCTCGCTGAGTGGTCTGCTGATAAGTGGTCGCAAGAGGACAATCCCGTTCGGCCGGCGTCGCACTTAGGAGTAGGGACCGAGACTTTGCTATCAGATAGAGATGCTCGACGGATCCCTCATGTGAGAACAATCCAAGGTCACATTGATTTTATCGCTAATCCATAGCTCACAAGGTTCGACCGAACGCTATGTATTATAAGGGAGACAACTATAATTAGAAACCACCAGGAAATATATACTCCCTGACCTCGGCGGGTAAAAAATTGGCTGCCTCTGTTGCTGTCGTAGGTAGACCCTCCTCCAACCATAACTGCCGATACTTATCCACGGCCTTATGCCAACTGGCATCGACATCTTCGCTTGACAGAGATTCCCCGCCTTCCTCGATTTGCTGTTGATGTTCCTCATATACCCTGGTGAAGAAGTCCACGAAGATGTGACACAGCATACTATGTCCGACAGCAGGACGGGCGTTGCGCGGTATCGCTTTGTCGATGAAAAATTGCGGTGGCAGACCTTCGGGATCGTAAGGAAGGGCACCGATATACGTGGACGGAATTGTGACTATCAATGATAATAGGTGAAGGCGAAACAAACAGTGCGAGCAGATCTGGCAAGAAACTCACTGATCTTAGTCCAGAAAAACGCATCATCGGCAGCAGAGGTAAGAAGATCGCAGCCAATGCCGCCTTCGGGCATTCTACCCTCCTCATCATCCCATTGCCCTTCGAAGTGACATTCATGATATTCGATGTCGTGCAAGTCCACAAAACGGTATTCGACCTTGCCATCGACCTCGCGCTCGACAATGTTATGAGGAGAGAGATCGTTGGGATGGGCCTGACATTCCATGTGCATTTTGCCGAGCTGCTGGAACACGTAGAATCTGATGCAGATTATAAATCAAAGTAGCGGGCATCCAGTGTCTTGGAGGTACTCACAGTGAATCATCATCAAGGTCCCTGAGACGGTCAACCTTGAGGTGTTCACCACAATCCTCCAGTACAATGCATGTCACCATTCTCCTCGTGTTCCGTATATATCTAGCTTCTGTTTCCGTCCTGAAGCAGCCGTAGAATTTAGGAATAACCGCGCCCTGCAGAACGGAAAGGGTGTCGTAGTTGCGTGCCTCGTTCTCCAGGTCGTTCATCGGCTCTGTTGGATATCGAGCTCGTGGCTCGCGTGTTTATTGGTAATCAGTCACGTGTACGTACCGGTAAATTTTCGTAGCTACGCTTTCCTCTTCTTTACTCGATTGACTACGTACTCACTGCTCATGTACTGCGTCAATCCCGTATTCGTGCCCTGATCCCTCGTGTGCTTCCATACCCGCTAGGATTATTTCTACAGGCTCGCCTTTCCAGAGCACGAATTTGAGCACAAAGTTTCCTTGGTCTTGAGATACTGCACGGTAAATGGTGGTACATTCATCGATCTGTATGATGTCGGTGGCCGTCAGATGCTGAGTTAGCCCGGTTTTTGCAGAGCCTGATAACTCTGGAACTTGTTTGAAAACGAAGTGGTCTGTCGCCTGACAATCCACAGAGTATACAAAATTTGGAGGACAGATCTGAGAGTTAATTTCAATTGGAATGTGAAGGGTGAATATCGCGGACATGATTGGGTTCAAAAATTGAAAAAATAGATGGTGGTGGTACGGGTGAACGAGACTGAGACAACGATGTCCTTCATGCTTGTAATCTTGAAAAAATATTTCAACAAGAGCACTTAATACCACAAGACTATCAGTTAATGTTTAAGGACTGTAAGAAGTCTCGCTCAATCTCTGGCACCACTTCTGTGATCTCCCCGTCTCTGGGAACAACTTCCCATTGCGTAGGTGGATTGCCGATAAACAGGCATATATCCTCAGGTAGGTGCGCACCGTGCTCCACATTGAAACGTTCTCGAACTAGTCTCTCTTCTATGAGAACCAGTTAGGAGACGTTGGATAGAAGTGATTGCATAGTATCTTACCATCAGTCATAGCTTCCAGTTGGGCATTCATCCCTCGCGCGATGTTTTCGGCTGCCTCCGAGTACACTCTTCGTCGTTCGATTTCAAGGATAAGCTTTCCGAACGCTGTTCGATACAATACAAATCTTTCATGCAGATTTTCAATAGTGAAAAGTTGCTGGTGGAGTTCCGACAACTTCTCTTCACATTCGGCCTCGACGGAATCCTGCGTTTCGAGCATTTCTGTCATGATATCTCCTAGTTCGTCAAGATCATCTAGAATATCGTGAAGATTATCGAGTTGGACCTGTGAAGACGACTTGAAGCCGACAAAAGTGTCACTGGAGACATTAACATTGATGAGTATGCACGTCCAAGAAGATATGAGCTTACTAGACAGTCTTGACGGAAGCTATGTAATGCTCCAGATCAGCCATGATAGCAGGCAGTTCTTCCGTGTCACGATTCATCTCTATAGAAGACGTTAACAGAGGCGTCACGCTATGGAACGCAACACACCCTGCAGGTCCCCATCACTAAACGCCTCCCCAGCCTCGCTGTCCTTCAAGGCCCTCGCCATTTGATCGTAATGTCCGGTAAGACTCACCAAGAGCGCCGCCATGGCGTGGATAGTTTCATCTTGCGAATTTAGATGACTCTCAATCGCAGTCGGAGGAACCTCATCAGGTAGCGAGTTTCGTATACTCGTTATCGTACTTGTTAGCACCTCAGGAAATTCATCTGTCTTTCCTAAGATATCCTGGACACAATGAGAGGGGAAAGGCACGGAACATAGATGGTACGTACGTCTAACACAGTTCGTTCATTCTCCAGTGTATCCATGATTTCATCAATAGCCCGGTCGTCCACGAAATCACGCAAAGTCTTCCACGACGTCCTATCTGCTAGCGGCTTATTAGGGATCCTGACGGTAGCAGATGGACTACGCTGGGGCGACGGAGGCTTCTCCTCCTCTGAATGTTGACTACCGAATATTGACGATCCTCTAGACATTTCGTAAAGTTCTGGCGGTACACGCTGAGATCCCAAGGATTCCAGAACGCTGTCAAGAGCATTAGAGCGTTTGATGCGTGATTGGTCCCATTCCTAACTCAAAATTAGTGTCTGACTAATGGAAGACACGACTGACCACACACCTGCACTTCCTTGCTCAGCCTTAAACGTCTTTCCTCTATACTCTTCGCTACGCTCGCTGCCAGCTAGATAGATTCCACAGCCGTTAAGCCATAATTCCACTGCAATATGAGTCGATAGTAACACCTTGAGTTGCTCTACCACAGCGTCAGTTATCCATTTAATTTTGGCATCCAGGGCAAAGATGTCCACAGCACATTGCGCCGTGGCATTTGAGAGATCGTTTGCACCATGACAGAGCTGTTCACCATGCTGCAAAGCCTTTTTAGATTGTAGAACCAGGGAAACCAAGTGCGGCTGTTCGACGGTGGACATGAGTCCGGAGCCAAGGCGTGGACGGCAAATGCCGACACCGCTTTCTTTTGTACTTGCGATCTATAATTTGCCGAAACGTTCAATTTGTCCAGGCTCTGTACCTCCCTTTCACTTTCATATCTATTAAGAAGGTCAAGCTAAGCCTCAAATTCAAGGCCTTTCATTGAATAAAGCTGTCACTATGTCTACCCCAGGCATTACTCGTTTGGCAAACGTTTCTGCTTCGTTTCGAATTGGTACCTCCATACATCGACATGCTAGCCCTGTTGCCTGGTAAACATGACCCGTCACATCACACTGAAATATCCGGTCAGTGGATCATCTTGAAACCGTGACTTGGGAACCTGGCCTCGAGGCAGTAATCCCCCTGAGGTGAATTCCCGAGCTGGTGAGCCAAGGGTGACTATTCCGGGCGTTTTAATTTATTTGCATTCAGGTCCAGGTCCCTTCTGATGGACGCGTTTTTGGATAGCGGCCCCACAGACACCCAAGTTCAAACTTACGTTCTAGCGCCGATTCGTTAAAGGTTAGGCTTTAGCCCTGCACAAGGTCTTCTTTATGACGCTGTCAATTGACACGGAGATTTATCTACATAATACCTCAATGGGGAACCTACAAAAATCTCTAGGAAATCTGGATGTACGAATGCATGGCGAGTCGGAGGGACACCCCTCTATAGTGTATAGCGAATGTTGGTAGGTATCTGAACAAAACTGCTACAGTAACAAAGCAAAGAAACATTACGATACAAGACATGAAGCAATACAATAAATAATACAAACAGGTCTAGTCGGAGCCGCCGCCTGCGAGCACCAATATTATCCTGCATGCAACGTCCATGAAAACGTAAGGAGAGACAACGACGTCATCTTCCTTCACCAGCCTGCTTCCAGACCCTGGGGCTGTAACAGGTTCCATGTCAAACTTCCCTGCACCAGGCTCGGTCGATGCTCTGTACGTCTTTTTGTGGTGAAAATCGACCAGGAAATTGATGGAGTCGACCATATACAGCTGTAGATTCATTAGGACCTAGATTTACCATTAGTGTCATCCTCAAGGGAAATACGTTTGATGTTCTTACCACGACATTGTGCGCCCTTGCTCTAGTCTCAATGAAGTAGATTCCAGCAGCCGCCTTTTGGTCCACTGTACCTCCACTGTCCAGATCTTTCACCCTCTCAATACCCACACCGCCCTTTCCAGGCATCGTTCTGACCCCAGCTAGTCCACCCAAACTCTGTTTCTCCTTCCACTCCATTCCCAGCTCCTTCAAGACCTTGTAAATCTCCAGCATGATTTCCATCGGAGGACTCCGGCTTCGTATACCAAAGTGCCATTTGGTCCTGTGATGCCTTTTCTCTCTCCCTGCAGAACGCTTTGCAGAAGCATAAGTAGCGAGGTGATGTTCACTGGGAGGCAATGAAGAGTCTAGAACTGCAAAGTTGGCGGAAGCCTCTACGTCAGAATCGGTTGGAGAGAATCCAAGATCAGAGTCATCAGAATAAGAGTCGTCTTCATCGTCAGATACAGGAGTAGCGCTGAAGGCTTCATCGAATGGATTGTCTTCCAAATCGTTTCCATTCGCTGATAGTGAGTTTGGTGTCAAGACGTTTCGAGGCTACCGTAGAAAGTTAGTTACGGTAAATAGTCGCTATCGTAACATCATGCTCACGTCCAAAACGGCCTCTTGTGCTTCGCGATCTTGTTCTGCAAAAAGAGCGACTGGGGAACCAGATTAAGAGGAGGATATCGCGAGACTTCAGGAAACATACGATCTTTGCCAAGCTGTTGCTTATCCTTCAGCAACATGTATGCAACCTTGACAGCATTGCCTTGGACGCCGTCATCCCTTCGTAAACATTCCCATATAGCATTCTTGGTCACGCCTTCCATTCGAGCAGCCAGGTCGGCCACAATGCCTTCATCAATCCTACCCAACCCTTCGACAATTTCAAAATCCATTGGTTTCGCCGGCGATGAGACCAGTGAGGTCAACGTACCAAGTACAGGCCCTGGTGGAGGTGGTAATGGAGCCAAGTACCGAGGAAGGTCCGTTGTGAAGAATGGGTGCTGAGTGATTTCGTGCACGGTTATCCGTTTCACGGGATCGACGGCGAGCATAGAATTGATGAGGCGTCTAGCGTTGTCGGAAAGGTACGGTGGCATGTAGTATTGACCTTCTAGCAGGATAATCGTAATCAGTCCAGATAGACTGAAACCTGTCGAAACTCACGGATGATTTTATTGAAGAGAACGCCAACGTCTTCATCTTCAAAGGGTAATCTCCCACACAACATAACATAAAGAATCACACCACAACTCCATACATCGATCTCAGGACCGGCATACACACCTCCACGGATGACCTCGGCTGTTCATTAGAATATCAGCTTCCTGGATATGACAAAAGATGAATACTACGAACGTGCTGCATAGTTCGGACTTCCACAACTGGTACTGAGAAAGTCGCCGTCCCTGATCTCGCTCGACAAGCCAAAGTCAGCGATTTTTACATTGAGATTGTCGTCTAACAGCACGTTTTCGGGCTTGAGGTCCCTGTGGACGATCTTTAGCCTGTGGGAATATTCGATGCCGGAAATGATTTGCTGGAAGAAGAGGCGTGCCCGAGGCTCCTGCATCCGGCCGTACTTCACGATGTAATTGAAAAGCTCGCCCTTGGCGTATTCTAAAACAAAAATGATGTCTGTGGGAGTAGAAATAACTTCGTATCTGGACCGAAAGAAGGTTAGGCTGCAAGGAAGAGAAACCTGGAACATACGCACAGCTTGATGATATGTGGATGTCTAAGCGCCCTCATGTACTCGAACTCTCGCCGGACGCGAGGTTTCGTTCGTTCCCGTTGGACGGCTGCCTTTGATATGTACTTCATCGCCACTTCGTGTCCGGTGATCGTATGTGTAGCCTCTTGAACAAAAAATCAGTACGGCAGGCATCACGAGCATGATGAGCGCTGGACGCACTTTTGACGATGCCAAACGTCCCCTCCGCGATGTCCTCCGTGACAACGTATTCTCCCAATTTTGAGGCTGGGTATATCGTTGAAGAGGAAGAGGACATGATGGGTCAAGAGGAAGGATTTGCTTCCGCCTGGCGAAGCGAGATACGGTGGGAGAAAAGGAACTGAATTGAACAAATATTTGGGTAGAATTGTTATTTGAATGCATCTTATCTTATCAGCTACGATTACGTCATTTACTACATCATTCATCAATTCAGTTTGTCAATCGGCTCTGACATCACAATCGTCTCTCAATGAAACTTTCAATTACCCCGGCAGCCGTCAAAGGATACACTTTGAGCTGGACTTCGCCGTTGACGACAAATGTATTGGGCTGGACAAAGATTTTTCGGGGCTAGGTAATGCTACCATCAGAACGAGTAAGGAGAATGAATGGAAGAATACTGACAAGCTTCTTCTTCAAAACGATGTCTCGGATCTTGCCCTCCCATCCAGAGATTGGTTCGGTCAGCGTTGTGTAGAAATCTCGGGAGCCGGCGCCGTCTGCGGTACTTTTCCGGACTTGGAGTTCGATCAGCAATTGACCAACAACCTCCTTTCCTTTGGACAACGTTTTCTCCCGGTCAACCTAATGGAACCAATTAGTCAAAGGTTCTTGACACTAAATCGCAAGACATACCCGAACGTATAAGTTTTCGAGTTCGCCGTTGGCATCCTGGATCAATTCAAGTCTCGCAATCCCAGCTCGAATCAGGTACTGGGTTATGCCCATTCTAAAGTTTCACGGCGTCGGAACACTTGCTATTACGTGACGCCGGTTCACTTACCTGGCCTGCATATGTGCCTGTCCGTGCTTCTTGGTGGCTGGATCATAAAACTCTAGTGCCCGCAGACCAGCGCGGGCCATAAGCAAGAACGTGATGTACTGGATATCTTCAATGTCTTGCTTGTCGACGTACTGAAAGCAGCACTCAAAAATAGTAACAAAGATATAATCTCCAAACACTCACATTAAAAATTTTAAGAATATCGAGGTTGCTGACCACTGGAAGGCCAAAGGTGAGAGATGCATAAAGAAGTGCAGATGCACTCACAGTAAAGCGCTACGGTCTCCGCCCGACATTCTTCCATTGACGACGACACTTCGCCTAAAACAGAATCCGGCGTTTGCCCCGGCTTATACCATGAAGTTCTAAATAAACCAGTCAATTGAGATGATAGGTGCACAAGATGGTAGACGCACATCGGCTTTCCAGTCAGAAGGTTTATGACCTAAACAAGGAATCTCAGAATGCGCAAAGTATCATGACTAGCTGAAGACCTTTTCGGGATCGAAGTTCAGTTTCCCATCAACACCTTCTTGGAAAAGCTTGCCGGAGCCATGACCCAAAAGTTCGTGGTTGGCCACCTGAAGTTCAAACGCGCGACTATCCCAAGCGTTATATAGTTCTACGTCATCAGGATGGATGAAAGTTAACTCCTCGTCTGTTCATCTTGTCAGCTGAGCCGTTATGTTGTAGGTGAAAAACGAACTTGGTGCCTTGGCTGCCAAAATATTCTGTTAACAAATTTATCTATGACTGCGCCACTGATGATCATGAGGGGAGGATATACCGCTAGCGAAACATTCTTAAACCCTGTGCTTTCCCGGACCTCATAATAGTTCTAAATGGCCGGAGTAAGTCCTGTCCGTGTTGTTAGAAGTGCCGACATACTGGTATCTATCATAATATCGGTCAGGCCAGGCACTATAAATCGGGGCAACGACATACATTGATTCCGGCAGGAATACCTGAAGGCAGGTGATTTACGAGGAATCATTCAATGGGTAAGTCTCTCACCTCCTGTTGCAAATGATACGACTTCCAACGCAGTAAAGTCCGGCTTCCTGAAGACGTCAACCTCGAAGTCCGTTCCCCACGGAAGACTCTTGATCAACTCAGGAGCACCGTTAACCAATGCTTCGTACTTCGCACTCAGCTGCTTGTTGACGATGGCAGTGAAACCTATACAGCCGTAAGCACAAGTTCTGGAAGAGCCTGTTTAGTGCACTTACCCTCCCATTCCGCGCGTCCGCCATATGGGTCGACATAGGTTTCGACGAACTGAAGTCGAGTTGAGAACCATAGAACACTTCCAAGGGAGAGATATTACCCCGATGTAGGACTCTACAACCGGTCCAATATCTTTCACCCATTCTGTTGACGCAGCTTTGTGTTCCGGAATTGATCCTGAGTTGAACCTATACAAGTGTTGTTCATTCGCGTCGCCCATTGCCCTAGTCCATCACTCACGACTTGACATAGCCTTCAATCATCGCTGATTGATGATCGTTCGCGGTATACTGTTTGGCCTCCTGAAGGGCGGCGACAACCTTCGTTAGAGATGACGCGTAGTCGCCATACTCAATCGTCAATTTGGCCGGAGTTGAGTCGATTTGGAAGTCATGCACGGAGGGTGGACTGGTTTTAGCAGAGGCAACTAAGAGCGTGTAATCACCCGCTCCATTCTTCTTCACGCTTTGGGAAAGTCAGTAGAAGACGGGTGTTACAAGACGGTGCACATGCCGAGTATTGAGGATATCAACGCCTAGCTTCTCAGCGACACTTTGGATAGCATCGACCTCAGCATCTCCAACAGGTTCACCAAGATAGTAATTTGATACGTGACCGTCCTTCCTTTTGCCAATGAATAGCGCTGGCTCAGGAGAAAGCGCATATATGTGTTGTTTCAACTAAGAAAGCGTCATTTCCAACAGCATAGAGGCATATTGATGAAGTACCTTGGTGAATAGAGCCGAGGCCTGGTCTGCGTTGCTAGAGGCTTTGACCACTGACTCAAACTTTTCTGCGTCGACGCGGGGAATGATCTTCGTAAATCCGAACGTCTTGTAGTTGACAAGATTGCTCAATACCTAATAAGACGCATGAGCAGCACACCTTGAACAAGAATCATCGATTTACCTGGACCGTGTACTGTATCAAGGCCTCCCAATCGTCCTCTGAAAGGCCTGACGACGTCTTAAGGGCATTCAGGTCGGCGAGCTTTCCATTTACGCTGAACGTAAGGATCAGCAGATCATATAGATCTGGAAACCCGAAAAATGAAATCTCATACATCGGAAGACGGCAGATCACATACCTGTCGCCTGCGGGGTCCACTGAGCCTGGATGATTCTTGCGCCCGCCCAAGAAGCTTCGGTCACGTAATGCGTGTAGAGCTTTTCCTTAGAGCTTTACATGGTGAGCACAAATGGCGCATATACTCGCTGGCGCCCTTACCTGAGCTGATCAAATGACTTTCTAATGTCCATACCACACAAAGGAGCAGACTTATCTGCCAGGAATCGCTCCCGGTGGACAGTTGTGGTGGCCATTTCTCTGCGGTAGGTATTCAGGTGACGAGTTCTGGTATACAATGAGAGATGATGAACGCGTGCGTACAAGCTCCGAATGCCATTCTGGAGCATTGACCTACCTCGAGAAAGGAAGAGATGTGACTGGCTGGCGATAAGATTCAAGATAAGATTAGGGAATTTCACGTGACCTGACAACGTCAAATTGAATTCTCGCGTCACGACGAGCCACCATCAACCGAATTATGTAACCCAAGTAGCATCCAAAAAGTTGCTTTCGCCCCTGAGCCTGATCTCAGGCTACTCTGCCTGAACAATTATGGTCGAAGGTGTGTCTAGTGTTATCTTGCTTATCTTGCAAGGGGCGATACCTTCAAGTCATTTAGTAGACTCCAACCCAAGTAACAGGGATATGTCACCTCTAACGGATGTTGATACGGAATCATATCCTAGCGAGGAGGATACAGACGATGAATTACGAACATTCTCAAGCGAAGAAGGCGACGAGAATGAGTACATGATCAAGGTTTGTGGACCTAAGTTATCTTCGTTTTGGAGAGACTTATTCCCTTGCAGACGGAAAAACCAAATAAAACGCATCATTCAGCAGAAAAGATATCGCAGCAGCGACGTAACCGTAGACTTGATGTTCAAATTTCTGAAGACAATTGTTTAGCAAGCGCAATATTTCATGAGGTGTCAGCCTCTGGATCAAATGTGCCTATCGGTAATAGCGATATCGGTCGACATCCTTCAGGGAAGTCTAAAGTACGTACGTGAGGCGGAAGTTGATCATGGAAGTTGTCTGCTTACGGATAGCATCCTCCCATTTTAGACTGAAGAGCGCATACCGTGTAATGCTGGAGGAAGCCTTCCATCCTCTGGCGTGCCTCAGAGGAAAAAAATCCGCGATATTAAACTTTACCTGCCAAAGGAACAATGCCATGTGCGTCTTTTGGTCGTCACATTAATATAATACCCATTTCTGATTCTCTTCACCATGCTTAGAAATTATGGGTAAAGCACAGAGAGCGACTTGGATACCGAGGACAAACCATGACGGAATCAATGTCCTCTTACAGGACCAACGTCCTCACCCCTTTGCTAAAAGCACTTCTGGATGAACCGGATGATGTCATTTTCAGCGCCCGAGCTATGCCTTCCGAGGAATATGAGCAACTCCTGTTTCTTGAATATCCGTGGCTAGAACAGCGCATCCATACGCAGTCCACCTTTCCGAGTCTCTGGTCACTCAGAGCGCCCATTTTTGACACTGCAGTGAGTCAACATCTGACATAGGATACTTATAACAAATCGTTTCTTGTACAGTGCTCCAAATGCAGGAAAGATAGCATCCGATGCGAAGCAAGGGCAATTGGTGCTTGCATTGACGATCCCGCAGGGCGCACGAAGTATTACGGCCTCTCTTGCAAATACTGTCTTGCTTCAAATAAGAGGGGCTGTGATGCGTGGATGCATTGTTGGGATGTCCCGTATCCGCTCTGGTCGCCGAGGAGCAACCATGATTCTGGTCTGAAACGCACGGAGGGGCAATTGGTGGTCAAAGAAGACATGAAGGGTAAACAAAGTCCTGAGAAGCAGGAATGTACGATCGCTGCAACGTCACCAATGTCGAGTACTATGCATAGCAATCCGCCATTGTTTCTGGGCTTGAGGGCGTGCGCTGTACGTTTATCTTCGTGATTCTTTCCCCGAGTATTTATCTCATGGTTTCGGATTAGGAAATATGGCAGCAAAATCAGCACCGACTCGGATACCGAGAAAGACTCGTATCTGAATCGTTAGACGACTACATAAGCAACGTTCTTGCACCGCTGCGCGACGCCATTCTCATAGAACCTGATGACATTGTGTTCAGTGCGCGAGCGATGAGCTACTATGCGTATAAACGCCTTCTTCTGCTAGAATATCCTTGGCTCGAAGTGACTGAAGCCAAGTACCCTATCGGTGACAGAGCTCCATCACTGAAGCATTGGTCGCTGAAAGCACCAGTTTTTGACAATGCTGTGAGTTAACCGCTCGTATTCCTTCACGTCGTCCTTCTGACGCTCTTCAGTGTGCCCGGTGCCGCCGGGATAACATTCGGTGTGAAGCAAGAGCGATTGGCGTTCCCGTTCATGATCCGCAAGGTTACAAAAAGTATACTGGTCTCAGCCTCAGTTGCAAATACTGTGCCGCTACCCGGGCGACTCCATGTGGCGCGTGGATGCGTTGTTGGGGAGACTCCAATCCATGGGTAGCGACGGAGGATGTGATGAACACTGACTTGAAGCATGAAAAGGTCAGAATGAGAGTTAAGTCCACGCAGGAGGCGCAATCGAAACCGGTCCAAAAGCAAACTGTTCAGAAGGTGCAGGTGGATATCGCACCGCAGATGAACAAAGTGTCGCGTGTATCGCGACAAGAGCACATCTTAGAACTGGCACGGAAAATGGATAAGGCGGAGTGGGAAAAGGAACGGGAGCTGGTTCGCAATAGTGCCATTGCGCGTTCATCCATGCTTCTTGCAGACGCTGGGTTGCAAGTTGGACTTCACCAAGAATTGCAACTGGTACCGAGCATATCGTCAGAGAAACAACATTTTCTGGGTGAAAATGTTGGCCGGACACAATGGATAGATCGGAGTGCCGTTGATGTGCAAATGCAAGAACTCCCCGTCAATCCCACCTTTAGTTTGTCCATGCCAGACGTAGATAAAATTGTGCGCGTCGACGAAGACTCTGGTCACAAGTTTCCCGCTGCTAAAGGATTTGACTCATTCTCCACGTCGCATCCATCGAATCAAAGCTTGAGCGCGGATCTGATATTTTCCGACCCACAGCCCTCAGAGCTTGTTCGCGATACCAGGGATAGCCCTGCTTACGGCGATAATATGCACCACTCGAACGATTCATATGATCATACAGGCTTGGGAAAGCGAACCTTCGAAACTGCATTCAGTGCGGATACCATACATGAATCTGACGCTGACGCGCAAAGCTTATCCTATCCGTTACCGACTGCTGAGTTATTGCGTGCGAAGACATCCATTGAACACGAGAATATAGAGGAAGACCTGTCACTACGTCCATTCGAATCTGAGGAAACTCCAGAAAGCACCTCTGGAGATCCCCTCAATACGTCACTCGCAAAGCTCAAGGAAACTTTTATTGATGTCGTTCGACAGTTACAAGCCGATAAGGCTGACCTGGTGGCAGAACTGGAGGCTTCTAAGATGTATTCCAAGAGATTGGAGGAGTCGGAGGCACGTTGTAGACAGGAGAACTTTCAGTTGAATGCAGAGAAGCGGCAGTTAGAGGAATCTCTGAAGCAATCATTGTTGAAAGGTGCCGAGGCCGATGAGAGACTGAGGTTCGTGCATTGGATTGTGGAAGAGACACGGAGAAACCGGCAGGTTCCAAACGCTTGAAGGTGGATGCACGTTGATTTAGGAACTGTATATCATTGAATCTAATCTCTCTGTTAATGATTGATTTTTTGCGAGATAGAATTAAGGAACATTAGATCAAACAGCAATATTTGAATAAGGATAGGATTTAATGTTTAGTTGCGGTGACCTTTAATGGAAGCTGGCCAGCTTCCCCGTTGACAAATGGTTGCAAGGAAGGTGATATGAACCGCTGTATATGGGCACCCGTGTCGTGGAATTCGAATGATCTTATCAAAAGTGCAAGAATGACCTTAACTTCAAGAATTCCTAGCCATACGAAGCCCCCAGTCAGTGATCTCAATGTGCCATGTATGGTACAAGATGTCTTACCCAAACGCCATCCAATGCAAAGTCTAGGTCCTTCGCAAAAAGTAGCAAGGTTGCTCCAAGGCCCATGGGGAAGGTTTTCAGCGGGTGGAGTTCCGCCCGGGGTCAGCCATCGTTCGGGTTTGAATTCGTGAGCATCAGGCCCCCAGACATCAGGGTTCACATTCATCACGGTGAAAGGAAGAACAAACACCTGATAAAGCAGTTAGACCTATCTCCGTGACTGCTAGGCAACCAAGTACAAACCTGACCAGCCTTGACAGGAAGTGCCGTTATGACTTCACCATTCGAAAGTTTGATAGGATTTCTGAGAGGGATTACGTCGTCATGGGTAGCTACGCGTTCTGTCCGGGGAGCTGCAGGGTTTAGACGAAGACTGACGAAGCGTAGGACGTTAGTTCCGTTCTGACAGCGACTACTGAAATCATACCCTTCTCGTGCAACCGCGTCTAGATAAGGAAGCTTCTGGATGTTCTCATAGTCGAATTCGCCCTCGAATTTTTCGAGTTCTTCACGAAGTTTCGCTTGCTTATCCGGGTTTCTAGCCAAGTCTAAAAGAGTGAAGTGGACAACCGAGGAGGAAGTCTCATGTCCGACCATCCTATATCAGTCCATCAGTCAACCGCATGAGAACCGGTCTGGAGGAACTCACAAGAAAGTGGAAATCTGAGGATGTCGAAGATAGTCAGCACGAGTCGCAACGCCACAAAGCATAAAAATAGATGAACTTCACATTTTCCAACAGCTGACTATCGGTGAGGTATTCGCCTGACCCCTTCTTATTTTTGGCCCATGATTCTCGAACCAAAAGGGAAAACATATCTTTGCCTTCGAGATGATTAGGGTTCTCAACGTGCTCCTTCAACAGATTACTTGAAAGTCTAAGAGTAATCGCCTTGATGGTGCCATCGTTTTTCAAAGCCGGTATCGGGAGCTTCGGAATCCACGGGAACATACTGATCAAGATAGGGAGAAGGAAGCTAGGGAATTTTCGACCATTAACCACATCTTGCTGCCAGGACCTTCGAATTGCCCGCGCATCTTCGTTGTCATAGCCAAAATCGTGCCCAAAGCCGACACGACCAACGACCTCTAAGCTGTATATTCAGAGTCTGAGTTGTAGCGTTCAAAAAGTGTAGAACAGTGAAACGTACGTGCAAGGGGATATATAATCATTTACGTTTAGAACGGCAACTCCACCTTGAGCGTCAACATCACGCTGAAACTTCTGTACCACCTGGAACACGTCAGCATATAGCGAATGACGCTACATTGACCTTCGCATACCTTCCCAGCGCACTCAAATACGTCGTCTGCCATGCCCTTCACAGCACTGAGGCTAACCACCAATGTTAATTCTCCCACATGAGATTAAGCAATCCAACATACGTGAATGCCGGGGCAACAAGTTTGCGTTGATGCCTGTGCTCGTCATCTTCGGCCCACACGAGTCCCCGTCCAATAAAAGATTTGACAATGGGCCGGAAGGCCGGCGCCTTCACTGTGAAAACACGTTTTGTTCACATTCAATCATAGAAAAGAAGCGCTGGCAAGTGACTAACCATACTGTTTAAAGGTGGTGAGTGGATCTGATCGTTTTTTTTGCGAACACCTAACTCACCGAATAGGCGTTTTGAAAGATGTGCGCGACTGCGACATTGTCTACCACGAGGAGCTACCAATGATCCTGTGTCAATACCGGAACCGAATGATGCCAATTCAAAAAGTTTTACTGACCGCATCACGTTGAAACAACGCAGCCTTGAATCTGTAGACCTGGCCACATGTTTTTGCCCAGCGAAGATACCATTCGCAGACTTCGCCTTTGAAAATGTTTAGTTCGTGACCCCAAATCCAACTAGAGTCTTCGGCGGGCTGCATTCATGTGAATGCGAAGTCGAAGAAATATTGAAAGAGTGTCCTCACAGCGATAGGAAGCTTATTGACGATCGAGCGCCTTGAAGATAAGTACCGTGAAACGAATGAGACGCAGATGACCAAGCATAAGGAGTACAGCAGCAGCGTGGTAGATGAGTAGTTTGCGATCTCCATCGCGGAGAGGACTTTAGAAACCTCTGAAAGTTACGAACGCATCCTATATATGTTGGAAGCTGCGATTAACTGATCAGCCAGAATTCTAGACGAGGGCCCCGTCCAAGGTCGGTGTAATCTCTTTCCCATCGGACCTTCAGCCTGGTGAAGTTTGCGCGATGATTGGTGCAGGAAATTAATTTTGTCCTTGATTCAGGGTAATCAGGAAGATTTGTATCCGCATGTCAACAAGACCCAAGTAATGATTCGAGAATTCTGATATTGAGATTGCGGTCGGGTTGAAAAAAAAAAACACAAGCCAGCAGAGATGCAGTCAAATCCACAGCAGCCTCACGCTAGAAGCAGAGCGTGACGGTAGCAAGAGCAATAAGTGGACGACAAAGATAATTCAACGCCCGCCGGTGTACCCAGAGTAAAGACACCCGCCGCGAGTTGCCTCTCGACGGTGGTATGATACAAAGAAATCAGGGCATGAACGCACTCGTGATGACCCGGAGCAGTTCCCGTCGGAACCGCCGCCCGGACCCGATCATCTCTCTCTCATACTGCCGCGAGCCTGGAGTGTCACTTCTTTCGCTTCTTCACATATCCTCCGTGTCCGAGTCTGTTTTAATTGAATGTAAATGACGATTGCAACCGCCACGGCAACATCTCATCAAACTAAACTCTGCTTCAGCTTTTGGTTGGATAGTATCCGAGTCTCTTAGTTGCTAAAATTACTTCGGTCGCGAACCGTTTCGCGTGCAAAGGTATAGAGTTGATGTGCAATTAGACGCATGGTCTCGACTCTTGAATATTGCAGACTGGAAACTCAGCCTATTACAACAAGTCCTCCTCCCTGTGCTCGCAAGTTTCATGCGACACGATTTTACAATTTTACGACACTTGTCAACCCTACCCTTCGTATTGTAGGCATCGCTTATCTGTGCTTCTAATTGACCCTATGCTTCTTGCTATATTCCCGCCGAGGGTAGCGGTCAAGATCTCTCTTTTTTGACGATAGACCACTATATTTGTCCTTTTTGCAGTCCCTCAATCTTTCTTTGCCCTGTCCATGCTTACGAATTACGTGAATCTAGGCATGTATCCTATATTGCGTTATTGCGAAGTCCCTGCACAGATGTCTCGTCGATGGCATCAACAACAGGATAAGCAGTTCAGCCTGCATCTTACTGATGGCGATGCGCTAGAGATTGAAGCGTCTACGGGTCGGCCATGATCTCACCGGGTCCAGGGGTCTCTGTGGGTATGTGTTATCCCCGCGAGAACTGGAAACGGCTGAAAAGAGTATTCCGACATTTAAAGGCCATCATTGCACTCCTGCTTCGCCGATTAACCTGGGAATGTACAATTTATAGCTTCGGAAACACGCGCCTCTCATCAAGTTCGCTTCCTTTATAGAGGACTTCATCGATTATGACCGTCTCCACCCAAGACTTGGACCCGTACCCTCTCCCTGCTTGTCGTCATGTCTTCTGCCTCGTTGAACATTGCCTCGGTACTTGGCACAATAGAGATTGGTGTTATTCTGAATACGTTCCTATTGGGTGTGGTGACCATCCGTATGCTCTTTCGCAATTCAGATAAATCTTTCTCTGATAATCTTTTACAGAGATGTTCAGTTATTATAGCGCGCGTTTCAACGATCCTGTGGGCAGTTTCTATTTTTCATCCCAATTAAAGGCTCACGGATTTTTCAGTGGCGAATCCAGTTCGTTTGATCCCGCAGCAACCTTTGAAAAGTTATTGAACGCTGATACTGCCTTCAGTATACTCCTATGGTGGGTTTATACCCTTGACGTTGCCTACTCCATGATAGCCGTGGAGGTATGTGATGTTCTGACTTAAATCCCACTCCATAAGAACAATTTGACAGATGTTGTGGGTGTATACTGTATCTGGCTTTGGGAACTTCACGGTCCTAGCCTCAGGCCGGTGGGAGTACTTTGTGCTACCAGTCTTTATTTCAGCGTAAGAAAAGGCGTGTTGCGGTCATCTTATTTTTCTAACATTTGATTCCATTAAGCGCGTCTGTGCCCGTCCAGGTATTTTCCCTATCGCCTGTCCACCTATCTGTCGATGTCTCACTCTTCTTTCAGTTCTTCCTGGCTTACCGAGTGAAAAAACTGCTTCCTTCCAATCTTTCCCTACCAGCATTTATCGGCATTGCCTTGATGTCTACATGCCAGGGCGCCATTGCACTATACATGACCGTCGCAGCTTTTACAACTGTCTTTGATGCTGCCGGGTGAGATTCCTATTCATTTAGTAAGTTAAAATTTGTGCTGAACATGAGCTGCCATCGTCTGCAGCCTCGCGTCATTCACGAAAATTGGGCAGTCATACACTGCTATCAGTCTCTGTGCAGATGTTCTCATAACGTAAGTACTTCTCTGCTGGTGAAGGGTCATCATCTCACGATCTCTCTGCTAGCGGATCGCTGACAGTGACTCTCCTATCGAAGAGAACTGGTTTCAAGAGTATGCTTCCCTCATCTGCTTCTCATCTATGTCTTGACCATGTCTAGCCACCGACAACATCGTACTTCGGATTATCCTGACGTCCATCGAGACCGCCATTCCAGTGACTATCTTTGGAGTGAGCTTAGCCCATTTCGAAGGTGGCCTTGAATACTCACGACCTTTCTGTAGATCGGTCATCTGGTCGCAGTGGTATGCTTCATCGGCTGATATATTAGCTGCCTGTCTCATATTTCCTCAAGAACACAGGATCAACCTCTGGCATTGCTGAACTTTTCGTTATCCCTGTTGGTACGTTGGCGATCAAGTCTTTTAGCTGAATATGTCTCGATCATCTTTTTGTATAGCTCGCCTCTACACGTAAGTCAAAACAATGCTATCCCCGGTGTTGCTTTTCACAAGTACTATGATATAGCAATACCCTGTTGGTGGTAGGTTGCATTCCCTTCCCGAATTTATCAGTAAAAGACTAAAGTTCACTTTCAGACGCTGAATTCGAGAGCGCAAGTTCGTGCCCAACTCAGCAGCAACTCTCACAATTCCGGCAACAACGTCAACCTTATCAACAGTACCTTTAATCACGCGCGAGGCGTATGTTTATTCCACCCGCGGCTTTTCATTTGTCTCACTGCTGAATCAGGCTCAGGTTCGGATCCAAGTGGAGGAGGGTATCGTTATGAAAGACTTTCAGTTGTCCAAAGGCGAAGTTCCCGGCGTTGGCGGTAGTCATGGCAGTCACGGTGATGTTAAAATCGATGCTATTTAGCGCCGGCGTGCTACGCTGCGGACATCCGTCAGAAAACGGGTGCATCCTGTACATATATGTCATTAGGACTACCCTGAGATTTAGCTCAGGAACACTTATAATTTATGGTGCATGTGTAGAACACGTACACCAATAAGTAGGGGAGTGTTCAATGTCTTTGACCTTTTATTGTTCGGGAGTGCGTTTGCCATATGGTATCACGGTTGCGACCGAAACCCCTGCTGAACGTCGTCACCGACATGGCTGTCGCTTATACGAGGGACAGAGATATAAGATATATGAACGAAAATCAGAAGGATTGTTTAGCGCCCACATGAAATGTGGATCCAATTACCTGGAGGTTGGCCCCATCTTCCGTCATGTATGACTTAATCGAGTGGTATTGCGGATATGCCGAATGTTCGTAGTCTTGGGTTAGATCAATCACAAGGCAAGTTGACAACAAGGAAGAGTGATGGAACCAACTACCGGTCTGATTTTTGCGTACGCGGCCACCGGTGAACTGTAAGGAGCAATCTTGTGGTTCCTTCCTTGCTACCTGTCGTTTGCCCTTTCTACTCGGACACAGTGATTCCATACCAGCGTTTCCCCCAGATCAGGAATCTCATGTTACCCCCTTTGTCCATCTCAGGGATTCGACAGGTCCCAGGTCAGAGAGTCATTAATATGGCGCAGATAACCTGAGTCGCTGGCGATAGTATGGCCAGGATCTGAGAAGCTCATACCACTTACGGTGGGAAGTAAACGTAATTTGGATGGTAGTGCTAGGCACGGCCGCTTCTCGTTGTGTAGCGACAAGGCTATCGGCAGCTTGATCAGTACGCAGTTTATGATATTGAATATATTCAGATAGTCTAGTATGTTAAGTACATAAGGTCCGTGAAAAAACAAAAAATGACATATCGAAAAGGCTCATTTTCCTGGTACCACGAAATCCCGCGACAAATCGATTTCTCCCTTCAAATGCGTATTGGTGAGGCGGATTTGTCGCTGGCGTGGTGCCCCTCCTTTCTTCCCCTTTTTCTTGCTTGGTGCCTTGACCGGGGCAGCCTGACTTGCCGTCACTTGGAGTCCCTCTGTGCCTCGGCGATGAGAAGTAAAATAAGGGCAGGAAAAAGAAAAAAACTTGCCAGTCGCTAGCTGTCTTGTCAGATCCACATCATCAGGCACCTTCAACTCGTGCCATAGATCCATGAACTCTACCCTCCCATCGATTAGCATAGTCTCCGCAGTATATTGCTTGCAGACTGAAAAGGAAAACGTAGGGTCTGTCCACGGTCCAGTTCCAGCAAAGCGGAGACGCTCTGAACCCTTAATCATGTAAGAACTGAATCTAGGTTTATCTGATAGATTCAGCTCCCACATAATTGAACATACGAGGCCAGACCAATACAGGTTCAGCAGCCCATACAGGTCCGCATGCGCACCTGGCTCGAATGCGTCGAAACTGGACCGCAGACAGACTACCTCCAACCCGACTATGTGAACAACGCATTTTTAGAGTCGAGGAATTCGCGACATTGTTTACAGCCCTGGGCGCTGCTAGATCGCGACTGTTTCACGTTGGTCAAAATGCAAGAAAAAGTGCACAGGAACACGCCAAGTTCGCAAACTCGTAGCGCCGACGTATGCGTCCCCAGATGCCTACATGTTCTGTGTAAGCCTTGGTGCATTTCGCCTGACCCGAAACAGAAGCGATTAAGGTGTGCCCGAACTTCAACATATGTCACCATGACCAACCACCCGAGCTCGGCATGTTCCCCCAGAAAGAAAAAAAGAGAAGGACGATGAACTCACCTTTCTCGACTTGCATGCCGCCGCTTTCCTCGTCTGGTTTTATCTCATTCCAGAAAACCATCTTCAGCTGGCCGTCTTTAGCTGTTCGGATCACTAGCACCTCTCCGTCTTTTTCCAGTTCTTCGATAGCAGCTGGCGCTTCCTTCCATGCTTCTTTCAAGTCACGGACTGCTATACCTCCACCTTTCCGTGTGCGTCGTTGTATTTCGGTGAGTAGGGAAGCTTTGTTGCGAAAGTTGAATTCATGCTGTTTGGGGAGAGTTGTCAATTACACGGCCCACAAAAGCTGCTGACGGACCTTGTAGCTGTACAGGTCGGTCTTTGGGTCCCAGAGAACACGATCATGAGATTTGAATTTTTCCAGAAGAACGCTATCCGTATCAAGCGGTGTATTTGTAAGGATTGCCAGGTCTTGCAGCCGCATTGGATTTGGCGTCGACTAAGGCGAGCTCAATAGTTGAATAACAGCACAGGTTAGCGACATACTTTAAGGTGGTTGACAGCATAGACTAATTGGGTATTGACATGTACACCTGTGCCCGTATCTGCAGGCTGGGAGTAAACGATATCTGAAGGATAATCATTGGACAAAGTGAAGATATGAAAATGAAGTCGGCGCACTTGATTTGGGCCTCTTCTTCTTTGGAGAGGGCTGAGCCGAAGGCTGAGAGTCGAGCGGTGGTGGTTGAGAGTGCCATGAGGTATAATCCTGTCTTTTTAGTGTAGATTTGAAGGCGGCTGTATCTTTGGCGAGCTTGGACATGAAGGTAGGAGTCAAGGAGTGCCAGTCCGAGTCGGTCCCCGGTTGGCGATTACATAACCACGGTATCCACGTGGGCTCGCGTAACATTTGGACGCCGCCGAACGCTTTGCGTCGCTGACTGACTCCCAGTCGCGCTGGACAGCATTGCGGCGTCCAGTTCTTTTACTTTTCCTCCTTATTTCTCTTCGTTATGGCTTTCTTTTCTCGCCCGCAGTCGTCGTCGGCTATCAAGATCGTGAATCCTAACACCCAGGATGAACTGAGACCTCAGTCACGGAAGGGTCAGTCCTGTTCATGTGGTACCGGACTCCCGCCGACCTGTTTATCCTAGATTCGGTGCAACGACAATGTAGGAATATTATGATTTATGGGTAGGCGTCGCTGCTATTATCCTATTGTTGTTCTTATCCTATGCAGCTCTTGTAAATACCAAGACAAAGGATGCACGTATTACCATCCACCTGTGAGTGGCCTACCTGCTTTATTAGCTGGATTATCGACTTTTGATAGGCGCCGGACACGCCCAAGCCTACGTACGTACCCTTTCTCTATATCTTCCTCCGGCAGTTCACCTCTCAATCTAGTCCTCGGTCGGAGTCTCCTGCTATTGGTTCACTGACTGCACAGGCCGTCAATGCTCCCGTCTTCGTACCCAAGGCTGCCGTCGCATCTGTTCCGGTTCCCCAGACTACGTCGCCGCCGCCGCTATCTGCTTCGCGCCAGTCGTCTGTTGCATCGTGAGTCATTTCTCCGTCTATCGCGCACGTCTGACTCTTCCTAAGGCCATCTCCCCCATCCCCCGCACTGCAGACCGATTATCAGGATTTTCAACCTCAGGATGCATACGATAATTACCCGTATAGCGGAGACCTATCCATTGACAGTCTGACGAATCAGATGTCAGATGTACGATGCACATCTCTCCTACTGTACTCGTACTGATTCCCATTCCAGCTTGACTCTCAGTTCTATGATGTTGGTGGAGTTGATGCTTCCTACTATTCTGGTCCTCCTGACCTTTACATACGTGAACCCGTACGTGGGTCTCCTTCCCAGAGTAGGGTTTTCGCTGATTAGGCTGTGCAGTTGAATTATCACCTCTATACGAACACTATTCCTCCTGCATTCATTTCTACCCATTCCGATAGTCATTTCGTTCCCTCATCTTCTGATCTCAGACAAGTACTTCAGACCCGAAGCGAAACTATACGCGGTGCTCCTGCGCCTGGTCTGAACTTGCCAGAGGACCTGCAAGGTTATCACACTCTTGTTCCTCTTGAATCTAGTGCTGCCAATGAACGCCGCAAGTTTGGGAGCTGGTATTCCACTGTATACCGTGCTATCAACTCTGCAGACGGCGCACCTTATACCTTACGAAGAGTGGAGAGTGCGTGCTTTATACCAGATGGCAGACTTCATTTTTATCGATACTCATAGATTATCGCTTGATGCATCAATCCGCTTTCACTGCCATTGAGGCCTGGTCGCGCATTCGACATCCGAACATTGTTCTTGTTCGTGAGGCGTTCACAACACGCGCTTTCGGTGATAGCTCTCTTGTCGTAGCTTATGCCTATCACGCTGGTGCCAAAACCCTTTACGACGCTCACTTTAAACCACAACCCCCGACCGTCCAACCGTCCTTTATGCATAATCGTTCTCATATTCAACTTCAACCAACAGCGATCCCAGAGCGCACAATTTGGTCATATATCATCCAGATCGCTTCTGCAATCAAAAAAGTCCATGAAGCAGGACTCGCAGTACGAATGATCGATGTTTCCAAAATATTGGTCACAGGCAAGAATCGGTAATGACAGCCTTCATTTATCGACTCTGCCACTTCTTATATTTTTTTCAGCATTCGGATAAGCTCTTGCGGAATTGTAGATGTTCTGACCTACGACGCTCAGCAGGACATACATCTGTTGCAACTTGAAGATCTGTCAATGTTTGGTCGACTTATCATCGCTCTCTGTTGTACAAACGCTTCAGCTGCCTCTGGGAGTAATTTTCAGAAAAGTCTGGAGATGATGGCACAGACATACAGTCCTGAGATTAAGAACGTGGCCTTGTTCTTGATCAGCAAGAATAATCCTCATCGAGTGCGTGTCTTCTCGTTTGAACCGGTCTTGTCTCTGATTCTGTTTTAGAACATTGTTACTTTCTTTGATATCATCCATAGCAAAGTCGTTGCTGAGATGGACGATGCCCTGGAGCAAGTGCCATTTAAAACGCTACCTGTTTCGTTACTTATCCGTTTCCAGCGCGACGGATCGACTTGAGAACGAACTTATGGGTGAGCTGGAAAATGCGAGACTCGTGCGGTTGCTCTGCAAGTTTGGTTTTATCAACGAACGACCCGAGTAAGTCTCGTTCTGAAAGTGATGATGGTGCTCGTCTCAATATTGGCAGGTTCGCTCGCGACCCTCGTTGGTCTGAAACTGGCGATCGTTACATTATCAAACTCTTCCGCGACTATGTATTCCACCAGCTTGATGAGAACGGCAATCCTGTCACTAATCTCTCACATGTCTTGACTTGCCTGAACAAGGTAGTTGATGCCGTCTCGTTTCCTTCATGTTTTCGATGCTCACGAAACCTTTTGTATAGTTGGACGCTGGATCGGAAGAGAAACTCATGCTGATTGCTCCAGATGAACAGAGTTGCTTGGTCGTGAGTTATAAGGAGATCAAATCGTGCGTCGAGGCGGCTTTCAGGTATGTGTCGTTGAGATATATCTTGTACCCGGCTGACCTGGGTTGTAGCGATCTTGCTAGGGCTGGAAGCAGCGGCTACAGAGTGTGATACCTGATGGAGGTGTGGAACATTATCGGAATAAAATAGGTAGAATTTGAAAAAGACTCGGAAAATAACAAAAAAATGCTTGCCTTGCTTCACATGATATCTACTGGAGAGGTAGGGAAGACTCTTCAGCGTGAATTGGGATCTATAGCATTTCTGAGAGGCCTCAAAGGGTTTCTATTGAGCAAGCAGTAATAGTGTAACTGTACCATGGTCAATACGGCCGACGCCGCCGGTCAATCAAGGAAAGTGTTCAGCCGACTCAGAATTTGAAATCTTGCATCATATCACTGTACTACCTGCTGCCATCGCAATGGACGACGACTGGGATGAAGAAGTGACTTCGGATTTACATGCAGGTGAAGCCGAATGGACCAAAATGTCTTCGGAATTCACAAATGTACGAAAACTTTCTACTGAATTTGTTGTGACTGTCTGATTAAATGCAGACCGGGTACCGTGAGGGCATCACAGCAGGCAAAGAGGCCGCATTGCAAGAGGGCTTTGATGCTGGATTCGTCCAGGTTGGTGTGCCTATAGGACACGAACTGGGACACCTCCGTGGCATCGCATCCGTCCTTGCTACGTTTCTCTCTTCTATGTCGGACCGGGACCGGGACGAGGCTCGGAGTATCTCCTCAGCATTGTCGAGCATACGGTTTTCCGATATCGCGCCTAGAGACCTCGAGGCGGAAGAACATGCCCGCGAGCATCTCGAGGACGGTGTACCCGAACCGGAGGAGATCGACGAGAAGAGGAAGATCGAGGATCTTGAGGATATGTTGAATAGGTTGTCGGCTGGAAAGAGTATCAAGGCTGATGAGACGCGGCCTACTCTGGAGGATCTCCAGCAGCTGAAGGAACGTTTGAAGAATCTGATGGAAAGATTGAACCTGGAGGTGGATAGAAGTTGAACGGGGGCTTTTATGCTATTGGAAGATATAAAGGATTGGGATGGCGCTGTAAGTCTATTCTAACATTATCGGTACTTTTTCATCAACTAATAATCTAACAGGTATGTGCGCAAACCAAAGTGTTATATCGTGCCCAGCGCAAATGCGCTGTATATTGGTCCATTTTCGTGCCGAAGTATGTCCCTATTTTGTTCCTCTCTGCTCGCGTCTCAATATCGGTTGTTTTACAGCCTGGAATCTGTGCTTGGTCAAGCTTTTGTGGGATCTGGACGATCCTGTTATCTTCAAGGGTACCGAGGATGTGGTGATGCAGATGTAAACGAGGGATGAAGGTATATCAAGTGTAATTTGCAGATTTTGATCTAGGTTACATTTTGAAAGTACGGACTAGACAGTGACGGTGAGCGCTGAGCGTTGAAATTCCAGGTATCATGGAGGATGCTTCAGCATCCTCGGGCCGACTCTCACCGCCCCCCTGGGCGGCGCGCGTAGGCTTTGAGAGACAGGCCCGAGGGATTGTGTCTCCGAGATTCCTTTAGCTTCAATAGGTGCCGTACAATGTTGGGACCTCCCGTAACTTGCGAGACCGGACTTGTTCTGTGGTCTCTGATACAATTCTCTGCATGTCCGTCTGAGAAAGTTAACGAGATAGCACCTTGGCTCCACACCCGCCTCCCGCGAGAAGGTTGTATTCTTTCTCTGCCCGTGTGGGACCGTCAAAACGGCTGTTAGTTCGTCGCTTAGATTGCTATTTTCCTTCCTTCTTTCGTCCAGGTACCAATACAATGCATTAACTCCTGCCGCTATTTCCCATTATGTACTAGGTTTGGCTCGAGTCCTAGATTGTACACTCGATTCGAGTTGTGAAACAGAACGTCTTGAACAATCTTCACTGCCTGATTTTCGGTCAAGTCTCCGCTAGTGACCAATTCGGAGAGGACCTATGTTTTATGAGCAGTGGAGACTCGATGAATATGGGCTGATGACTGTTTACCTCACTCAGAGCGGTTCTAGCCTGAAGTGTACCAAGATAATAAGTTTCTGGAAACCAGTGTCCGTCGGCTGGAATGATGACTCAGGAAACACGGCTGCGAAAACTGCGAGATGACATTACTAGACCATAAAATCTTGTTCGTCGGTGTTATTTCGAGCATCTGCCGAACCACGGCCTTCTGCCCATGTGCCGAAACCATGGGGAAAATCTGGATAAATTTCCGTATATATAACTACAAAGACGGTCTAGAATGAGAGAAGACGCACCTCCCCGAAATCCAGAAACACGTTAGCGTACACCAAAGTCAGATATCCTGCCTCGCGTGTGTATGGATACGAGGAGTGAAGTAGGATGAATGAGGTTTTGGGGTAGGCTTTGATGATACGTTGCATATGGGAGGGTGAGGAGAACGCTAGTGTTATGTCGTTGTCCCCAAGGCCGGTGTGGAACTGTACTGCGAAACGGTAAGCATGAGGAGATGTCGACGTTTCTAATTTACCTGGAATGTTATATTCTCCAGCAATTTGAAGAGCAACGCGAACGATATGGTCATTGAGGGCCTTATAGGCCAGCCTGATCTTCTCATCTCTTAAGCACCTCTTGTATGCCATAACATAATCATCGTAAGTGTCATTCTCTAAATCCCGGGTGGCGATATTTAAACCGGTACGATAGCATGCAATCGACTTGAATGCAACGACGTCTTCACTAGCGGCGCTCTCAGAGAACGACTTTTGAAGTTGTTTCGTGAACCCGTCCAGAGTCATGGGAACGGACGCGGACTCTTTTACCATGCGCTCAAGAATAGCCTGTGTTTGCAATGGATATTAATGCAGATACGCTCTAAGAGTGTTGAGAGTACTTCAGCTTCAGTTTCGATCCTGACGATACGCTTGACGGAGCAGTTGAATTGACGATGCCATGTCCAATCCTCAGCCATTTCGGCGACACCTCCGAGGCCATCATCGAGCAAAAGACATTGGATTCCGGTCGGCCTCATGAGTAGGTTACACAGATCACCATAGTCCATCTCGTTTCTCCTTTTCTTTATGTCGTCCCATGAAGGTTCATCTAAGCCAAAGATTTGTCCTAATTGAGAGGTTGCACGAAAACAAGATAAAGAGTGGACCGAGTCCTTTATAGCATCGCCTTCTGCTTCAGTAAACAGAGCTTCGAGCGGGAAAGAGGCTTTATTCTCTGCGGTAAGGAGGGGATGGGCGTGGTTATCAATGACAGGGTAAGAGTCTGCAGTTTCGACGAGTGTTTTGAAGGTGGACTTCATGATGGTAATTGACAAGGTGTAATTTCAAAATTTGAGTGAGATAAGAGCACGTGGATGCGACTTCTCTACTGCAACGGCCACATTGCACAAGCAATGCATTCAACGGGAATGACGAGTCAGCTACAAAATGAATGAGGTAAGTGGAGATTTCAATTTTAATGAACTATACCTGCGGTGGAAGCTGAAGCGCTAAATACATTACTAGAAAACTGGCGTAAATAACCCCATATGAGGTTTTTTGCGGTCGCTGCCAACTGCCAACTCTATGGCGGTGTCGGAATTATTCCAGGACTGGGAGACGGCAGTCTGAGCGTCCGTCCTTATACCCTTTTGATGCTACTGCAGGCCTCCATTCCCTCGGGTCTTCCATGTTCGTTTATCCGTGGCTTGTCGCAGAGATGTGACGGTTACCTATTGTCAATACCGTGAAATACAAGCGGGAGAGGACTTTCTGACCCCCCACGTCTTGGGCAGCCTGAACATATTTTTTCAGGCGATACTGTAAGACCTGTGCTTGGTTCAGCTGCGCATAGAAGAACGGCTGCCTCCTTAATTTCTCCAGCTAACCGCACCACTTGCCCCAAGGAGCCTTGATTTTGCTTGCTACCCGATCATGCCCTTGCCACTCAGGGCCTGATTCTGATCACGGTTCGCGGGATGTGCTGTAGTTAAAAAACGTTACTCAGCCGTCTCCTCCCAGCTCTGCGGATACACAATGCTGTCGGTTCATTCCGGCGGGGAATCGTCGGTACGCTGTGTCGGTATTTCCCATACATCCGTCGAGACGCTGACGATAGGTATTTGTAGCCTCGCTTGGCTTTGAACTGACCCGGTGGATGTTGTACTATTTTTCACTTCGATTCCAAGGGATGCAAGCTGGAATCGGATAGTTTAAAGTTCAAGATACCCTACATTTGCGCTGTCTGTATGATTACTTAGTCCAAGAACAAAGAATTATTTGAGATGTCAAACATGTGTCCAATCCGTCTCAGCCGATAGAGTGCCGGCGTTGCCATATTTGGGAAGGCACTATAGAGCTGATATAACGGTTCGAAAGTTCCCTTGAGGCACTTGAAGAGGGATCACTGACCATCTCTCCGCACGAGGCCCTTTCGTCTGCTGGCAGGACTCCCTTCGAATATTTCGAACGCCCGAATGGCATATACCCAGACACTGAGCCCTCAGTCGATGCACCAGCAGTACCGTGACGTTCACACGTCGGGTTCACCAATACACCACCCACGGCAGCCGTCGAAACAGCGATTCGTTGCAGAGCTATCGCAATGCCTGTTCGACTTTGTCATCCAGCTGCTCCCTACCGCAGAAGAAATGGCCGTAAAGGAGGATGTGCGCAAGCTGCTGGAGAGACTCATTCGCACGATCGAGCCGGACAGTAGACTCTTATCCTTTGGGAGCACTGCAAACGGATTCAGCCTTCGGAATTCTGGTGAGCTTACTGATTCATCTCATCAGGACCAAGTTCATCACTATACCCCACAGACATGGACCTTTGCTGTCTCATCGATTCCGACGAACGTTTGGCCGCTTCCGACCTTGTAACCATGCTAGGCGACCTTCTTGAGCGTGGTGAGTCCCTCTGGCCAGTATTTCGGCGTGGAGATTCTCATATTTGCTTCCAAGAAACCAAATTCCACGTCAAGCCTCTACCCCATGCTCGAATACCAATCGTTAAACTCACCCTCGATCCATCACCAGGTTTACCCTTGGGAATTGCTTGTGACATAGGTTTCGAGAACAGGCTGGCGTTGGAAAATACACGACTACTCATGTGCTACGCCATGATAGACCCAACGCGTGTCCGAACACTGGTATTATTTCGTGAGTCTCGTACCATTTCTCTCGTCGACCGCTAACCGACGCGGTTCTCAAGTCAAAGTGTGGAGTAAACGCCGGTATGCCGATGGACCACCTTTCTTAATAAGCTATTGGCTCATGCGATCTCCAGGAAAATAAACTCTCCCTACAAGGGTACCTTGTCATCCTATGGATACGTTCTCCTTGTAATCTACTTCCTCGTCCACGTCAAAAACCCCCCAGTATTACCAAATCTTCAGCAAATGCCCCCTCTACGTCCAATTTCGAAGGTGCGAGCGCTGCTAGCGCGCGATTATACGCTTGGCTGATGTCCTTTGCAGGAAGATACTCATCTAGGAGACTACAATACTTGGTTCTTCGATGATATTGACCTGTTACGGCAACGTTGGCGTTCCGAAAATATGGAGACTGTTGCAGAACTGTGAGCCCCATTAGATTATCCGTGATCACTTCTTCAACCATAATTACAGGTTAATTGATTTCTTCCGGTACTATTCTCGCGACTTCTTGTACAATACGGGCGTGGCTTCCATTCGGGCCGGACTTATAAAAAAGGACAGCAAGGGATGGCAAAACGATGTATGTCAGGTTTTCATGTCGGCGACATTCGCTTACAATTCCTAAGCTCTCTGCCGGGCGTTTCAACGATGCACGAGAACGAAATCGATTTTGTATTGAGGTATACCTTCCAGGTCCTGTTAAGCTTTCATAGCTGATAAAGAGAACAGGATCCTTTCGAAACCGATTTTAACGTGGCTAGATGTGTCACCAAGGATGGCTTATATACAGTGAGCAGTCTGTACATCTTCTTCCAATCGATCGCTTATCGCTTATCAAGATCCGCGGTGAATTCATGCGAGCATCAAGAGTCCTTGCCGCACGCCCAGAACGTGCTATTCTGGCTCTCGCCGAGCTTTGTGAGGAGCGCAAAGATGAAGACTTAGTTTCAGCGCCAGCCCCTCGATTATCGAACCTTCCTCCGCAGACTCCATATAGTGTTGGAAGTCAGTCCATGCGACCGAAAGGCGGTTCTGATCGGTTTTCCCCGCCAACGCATTTCTCGGAGCCGAGTGGTCGATCTCCGCCAGTTGTAATCCGACCTCCTCCAGAGCATATGGCACCCAAACGAGGGAAATGGACCAGCCCTCCTCCACCGGAGGCGCCATCTGCGGATCACACCCTTTTCGAAAACCAACTCGAAAACGGGCTTTCGTTGGCGACCGCGTCTACAGAAGCGCGCGAACGGGAGGAGGCACAGAATGACTCTTCCAGTGAAGTCCTCACCGATGAAGATCGCTCTGACGCTACCGAGTCTGACGATGTTCGATCGGTTCGCTCTTACACTGAAGGATCGATCTCCAATCATGGTGTCCGTCGATCGCCTTGGATGCCGCCGTCGAGACTGGGTCCTGTCCATCTCGACTCTGGTGCCGATGCCTCATCCAAACTTATAGCAGGCGCACGGGGACGGTTTCACCGTCTGGAGCGCTTGAGTGAATCTTCACCCACATCTTCGAAAGTCACGCTTGATAACTTTTCTGCCGGACCCAAGACTGATCCTTCTAAACGGTCTTCGTCCGCACGACCACTGAGAGGCTCTCTCTGGTCATCTGCGGCCTTAACCTCTCCAATTCCATCCTCTCCTGACTCTCCAGTTGACCGACATCTTTCAGATTCCACTACTGTGTATTATCAAACCGGCACGACCAGATCGCCTCGTCCAAATGTTCTATACCCCCCTCTCGGATCACATTCGCCTTTGCTTTCGCAATACCAGCAGCATAATCAATATTACATGGCATCTATTCCGCATGATATTTATTCTTCCAGCCTCCCGCCTTTGTTATCATCTGTACATTCGTCAAGCGGCATTGCTATTCCTTACGAGGATGAAAGGACTCATGGCAAGTCCTCAGGAGGTCTGGATACCCCAACTCCATCGACCGCAAATACCAAATCGCATGCACATTCGCATTCGACTTCGACTATCACTGCGTCCACGCCGCCTTCTCACATTTCTACGTTTCCCCACACTACTGTAGTCCATAGTTCTCCCACCATTTCTTCTAAAACCGCCTCCTCACGACCACCCCCGCAATCCCTCAAGACACTTTCTCCGAGGATCAATACTGATGGCGAAGATGTTTGCTCGAACTCGAACGGCAGCTCGCCGACTTCCTCTTCGACCGGATATGATGCGTCAGGATCGCGGTCGCCGTCACCGCAAGATCCATCTACACCGTTATCACCACCACTAACCGCCCCATCAATACCGGACTGTGTTTCACCGACACATTCGCACCTGATATCTGACGGTGCAAGCTTAGCCGCTAAATTATCTGACCTGCAAGGGGACCACACTGATAATACTGACACCGATAAGCCTGTTGTCGAGAAACGATAGCATCCATTCATTCCATCGCCATTTCGCTACCATCCTGTTGCTCTCAGCAGCCAGTCTTTCCTTTGTGGTGCGAAAACAAGCCAACCAACATCCTTGAATATATACGGTATATTTCTGACGCCGTCCCCATCCATGATCCATTATGGCCAGTGCTATGTCTGCCACCTTTTCCTTTTCTTATTCCTGCTACCCTATTCCGTGCACCATGCAGTATTACTAGTAGAATTTCGTAGCCTCAGGCATGCTCTGCTTTTTGATATTTGGATTTCTCATGTAACCATAAGACACGGTTGATATACTCGAAATACTATCGTACATTGGAGGCGTAGACTTATCGTGAGTACAAAAGAAAGAGATACGCAAGGCTTCTACTCTGGTGCGAGGAAAGGGTTGGCGATTTCGTCAGAACCGTCAACAGGGCTGAGAAGGGTTATTGTCGGTCCGCGCAGGACGACCAATCCCAGAGAGCGCTTGTGTACTTCCGGCTCTGTACGACAAAATTAGCATACAGAAAAAGGGAACATGAATGTAGGGATATTACCTAGAATTTCTTCCTCGACTTCATCAAGCACGAGGTTCAGTAGTTGGTCATAGCCCTTGAGAATACCGGTGACTATCGAACTATGAGGGGGAGGTATAGGCTTATCGCAACAACGAAAATTACCTTCTCGACCACCAGTAAATTTGACTCTAATTCTCTCGTTGACGTACTTTGAAAGATCTAGGATAGCCTCGCGTTTTGGCTTGTCCATCAACAGGGAGCTCGTCGGTGGGCCCCGCCCTCTGGCGCTATTACCGGCACCGCGACCTCTCGGTGCCATGCCACGGCCCTAAGATCTGAGTTGACAACACAAGCAGCAAATCTGCCACAGAAAACTTACTCGGTCTGCCATTGAGACGCGCGCTTGAAAAAAGCTGTGCCACCCAACAGCACCACAATGAGCACGACGTGAGAGACAATAGGACCAAGACATACCGTTAACAAAGGTGGTCCAAGAGTAATAGAAGAAAAGAATACGCAGAGAACAAAGACGCTGTGGCTGTAAGCTGCAGGAGAAAATTCAAGTCCAGCTCGGTGGCAGCCACCCTTCTCTGTCCTTTTCCACCATCACCGCGCTCATCTTCCTTTCCTTTTAACCCTTTCTCTCGACGTCTTTGGCGCCATTGCTCCCTTGTATTTCTGCCTTTTCTGCTTTGCCAGCTGCTTGATACATTTCGGGAACCGTTATCGTATCCTCCAGTCATGAACGCAACCGACCTCCTTGCCAATACCTTGTCCGCAGGTCCGTCCTCATCCTTTTGCGCGTCTCGTCTTTTTCTCAGTATTATCCGTGCTCTTTTCTCTCCCATAAAGACTCGAATACGCGTCAAGATGCCACGCAACAGCTCGAGAATGCCTCGCGGGAAAACTACGCACGTCCTCATTTCCCTGTCCTCACTGATCAGCTCTTCTTACCTTTTCCTCCTTTTTTTTCTTCGCGATGTAGCCTCAATATATGCTCATGCTTTCCGCTGTCCTTTTGGAGGACTCGACGCCCCTGCATGTTCGTAATGCTGCCGGCCTTGCTCTGAAAAATGCGTTGACGGCACGGGTACGTGGCTTGTCTTTGATATCTCCCATTTTCGAGCTCGGGTTCTCATTTTCTTATCTTTGACAGGAATCATCGCGGCAAACTGAGTATTCAAACCGATGGTTGAGCCTTGACCCCGACACGAAGGCCAAGATCAAGCAAGATGCCTTAATGACCCTGGCCTCACCCAACCTCAAAGCCGGCCAGTTCGCATCTCAAGTTGTCGCTGCCATCGCTGCCGTAGAACTACCACAGGATCAATGGAAGGACCTCATCGAGATACTTCTGGGTTTCGTTAACAATCAGCCCAACACCAACCTGAAAATTGCCACCCTTCAGACTATCGGGTTTATCTGCGAAACAATAGTATGTGGTTGTTGATAGGCCTTCGACATTACATTGACCATTTGTCCAGAAACCCGAAATTCTCAGCTTGCGTGCGAACGAGATCCTGACTGCCGTTATCCATGGAGCACGAAAGGAGGAGCCATCAACTGATGTGCAGCTTGCGGCCATCCACGCTCTCTACAATTCTCTTGAGTTTGTCCGGGATAACTTTGAGAGAGACGTGAGTCTGTGATGCTTCAGCAGAAAGACTTTTGCTAACGGCTTTGTAGGGGGAAAGAAACTACATAATGCAGGTCGTCTGTGAAGCCACTCAAAGTTCTTCTGTTTCTGTCCAAGTTGGAGCTTTTGAGTGCCTGGTGAGGATTATGAGTTTATATTACGAAAAAATGGGCTTCTACATGGAGCAAGCCCTGTTCGGTGTACGTATTTCTCTTCACGTCTCTTTGATGGCTGGCTGATAACACCTGTAGCTGACTGTTGTTGGCATGAAACATTCGGATGAGCGAGTTGCATTGCAAGCCGTTGAGTTCTGGTCTACTGTGTGTGAAGAGGAAGTAGAACTCGCTCTTGAAGCCCAAGAGGTGCGTGCAGTTCTATCTGCTCATTAATCACGACTGATTAGAAAATAGGCCATAGATTATGGCGAGCAGCCTGAGCGAGAATCAAGGCACTTTGCAAAAATTGCTCTGCCCGAAATCGTTCCCGTTCTTTTGATGCTACTAACCAAGCAAGAAGAAGATGCGGATGAAGATGAGTGGAATGTCTCCATGGCGGCGGGAACGTGTATGTCTTTGCTTGCCGGAGCAGTCCAAGATGCGATTGTCACGGCTGTACTACCGTTCATCGAAGGCAACATCACATCTGAAGATTGGCATCGCAGGGAGGCCGCTGTGATGGCCTTTGGTTCTGTTCTCGAGGGCCCTGATCCATCTGTTCTCACACCACTCGCCGAGCAGGCCCTTCCGACCCTTATCAGCATGATGGCAGACGCCAACACACATGTAAAGGACACGACGGCGTGGACCCTGGGTCGCATTTGCGATCTTCTCATTGTCGTGATCAAGCCAGACATGCAGCTTCACCCGCTGATCTCGGCTTTGGTTTCAGGCCTTCAAGACAGTCCGCGTATTGTCACCAACTGCGCTTGGGCTTTAATGAATCTAGCGGATCAACTTGCGGTGTACTACGAGGACGATGCGGAGCCGGCGCAATCAGGACCTTTATCGCCTTACTATGAAGGCGTTGTACAAGCACTATTGCGCGTGACAGAAAGGTGGGCATCCATCACTGATATAAGACTTCGACTGACGACATTGTCTAGTGCTTCTAATGAAGCCAACTATCGTACCGCGGCGTATGAGGCGATGACATCGTATCTTACACACGCCACTCCCGATGCTATCACTGTCGTTCAAAATACGGTTGTGACGATATTGCAAAGAATGGAACATCTTCTTAGTCTTCACGTATTTTTTAGCCCATTTGCGCCGTCTTCTTGCGCTAAATTTTTGTGCAGAACCAAATCGTTGGTGTGGACGACAGCAATAACTGGAACGAGCTCCAGAGCAACCTGTGCTCCGTTGCCATTGTACGTACATATTTCATCTTACGTAGCATTCGCCGGTTTAATTTCCTTTCAGTGCGTCATTCGCAAGCTGAACAACGGGATACAGCCCCTGGCGGACCGCATTATGACCCTCATTCTGCAGCTAATACAAGCCGCCGGAAAGACTTCAACAGTCTTGGAGGATGCCTTCCTTGTTGTGGGGGCTCTTGCTTCTGGTAAGTAAATTGACGTTGCACATCTATCGCCCCTTGACACACCCACTAGCTCTCGAAACTGCTTTCGCGCCGTACATCGGCGCCTTCCTTCCTTATCTCTATCCTGCACTCAAAGCCCATGAAGATACACAGTTATGCACCGTTGCTGTTGGTATCATCGGTGATATTTCACGCGCATTGGGAGACCAAAGCGCTCAGTATGCTAACCCATTCATGACTGTGCTACTCGAGAACCTTCAAAGCGACGTTCTCAACCGTAATGTCAAGATCACGATCTTGTCTTGCTTCGGCGATATTGCGCTCGCCATTGGTGGGGGCTTTGAGCCGTATCTCGATACGACAATGAATGTTTTGAAGCAGGCTGGTGCTGTGGAAATCAATCCGGTGAGTCTCTGGATGCTGTGTTGTATATGGCATTCTAAGGCGACTATTTTCTAGCTCGACTATGATCTATTAGATTATGTTGGACAATTGCGCGAAGGGATTCTGGAGGCCTACACTGGCATCGTCACGGGTCTCAAGAATACGCCCAAGGGTAATGTTGATTATCTCAGTCAGGACTGTTATACTCACGCTACTCTTAGTTCATATTCTTCTTCCGCACGCCCCCGCAATCCTCGAATTGATATATCGGTGCTTATCTGACGAGGACCGGACGGAACCTGTTATCAAGTTGTCATATGGCCTTCTCGGTGATCTTGCGGACTCTTTCCCGGGTGGGCAGTTAAAGCCACTGCTCTTGCAATCCTGGGTGGCCAGTGAGCTGCGAACTAGGCAGCGGATGAGCCCGGAGACCAAGAAAACTATGCGTTGGGCGCGAGAGGTAGGTCTCCTGTTTTTGCCTTATCGCTCCTCCTTTGAACTTTTTTCATAGATGGTGAAGATCGCAACGCAATAGATGGTGGCTCCTACTTCTTTTGTTTCTTTTTTATTTTGATTCTGTCATTCCCTCCACGGTCCATTCCGTACTGCATGCAATCTACATCTCTCATTTTTCTACACGACGTACATCAGCCATCTCAAGGAGGCACATTTATGATCATTGCATGCATAGAAGGCAACTTTTGAGCCCACCAGTTACTCGTCGTTTCTCTTGTTGTGTTTTTCTGTTTTCTTTTTTGGTTCACGCTTGTTTTTTACACTTAGCAAATGATTGCCTGTATCCTTTACCATCCCCGCTTTCTACGAGTTTTAATTTTTACCCTCCATTGCCGACAGAATGTGCTTTAATCTTAGCATCAGAATCTTTTCCCCTTCTAAATTCCTCTTCCTCTACTTTACTCTGAAACTTTGGGCTTCGACCTGCGTTGCCGTTGATCTCATTAGGTACGCAGGCGCTCCGTTCCCTTACTTTTCTGTCTGGCTTCGGGGAATTTGGAACTAGATGCATCTCTAGTCATCGCTTGTTTCACTCAAAAGATGATACTTATGACGTACGACCTAGTAGCACGATCGTTGTTGATGATAAGTTAACGTTTATGTATATACCATACCATATCAATGATGTAGCCCGGACCCGTTTACTAGGGGATGCATCATCTTCGTGGCCAGGGTAGCCGTTGACGAAAACTCTCGCAATTGGAATCCGAAGGGATGGAGCAGAGCAGAGAAACGCGTGTTATGGCCTTCACAAACGAATATATTCTATTCTGGACAGCCAAGGAGTTACCAAAGGTTGAAATCATAACTACTATCTGGAAAGGAATCCAGGTGTAACAATTTTCCCATTAGATACATGGCGTTACATGTCCTGGACACATCAAAGACTACAGGCCTCCAAGAGAAGTTGTAAGAACCTTCCTTTGTGTAAGTACAGGTCAAAATAAAAAGGGCTGGTATGTAATCATTGTAGGACATCCGTACCACTGCAGCAGGGGCCAGACAGAAATATCTTGTGATCTCCAGATCGATACAAGCGTCGCGTCGACGGTCGTCACATAGAGTTGGGAGCTAGTCTCAGCTAGACCAGACAAAGACAGACTTGTTTATCATCGAACCAAGTACTAGAGAAAGCATTCAACTGAGAATTTAATCTGCATCGAAGGCCGTGGCTTTTATTGCTTAACTCGAGCATTCCTTGAGAATGTGAGATGTACGCTGAAGCAGGTAGTGAGTTGAGCGGATCGTGGGAGAGCACGGAAAGTCGGACCGGCTCTTACGGCCCGATCGTCCGGCAGTTGTTCCCGTACATGGTCTCATGGTACAGATGCTGCTTTCTCTTATAAACTGTGTGTTCGGTTAGGAGGTAAAAGGTTAACCTATCCTGCGATGCCTCTCAATATCCCTCTTCGCAAGAAATTATCGGCTGGCGAACCAGCGGCGGGCGCCTGGTTGACTCTTCCTAGGTGAGTTCTATTTCTCCGGAATGTCAGCGTCACTTGGTGCCGACTGCGTATTCACAGCACAGCCATTGCACGCACCATAGCCAGTACAAAGAACGTGTCCTGGGTCCTGATTGATGGAGGTATGTATCTTCCTACCATCTAAAGATATCGACTCAAGTCTGTAATAATACAGAACACGGGCTGATCAATGGTAAGAGTTCGTCATATTGGTGAAACGGATCTTGATAACAGATTTCAGAGGGCCATTTCTACGATCTCGCAAACGTTATCGCAGCCAGCGGCGCGTCGCCTCTGGTCCGCGTTCCAGCTGAAGAGGCTTGGTTGATTAAGGTGTGTGCTTGATTTTACTCATTGCTGGGGTTGATGATTTGATTGATTTATCAGCGTGCGCTTGATTCTGGTGCTCATGGGTTAATGGTTCCCATGGCAAATAGTGTTGTACGTGTTTCTTCGAAAGGAAAGGACCCATTAATTGAATACCTCTCAGGAAATAGTTCGCAAGGTGGTTCAAGCAACCAAGTATCCTCCTCATGGCATTCGTGGTATGTCCGGGACATTTTATTTGACACTACTCCCCGTTAATCCTCGCTTTATCCGCAGGTTATGGTATTCGATTTTCTCTGACTTAACAAAGAGAAATGGCTGAACTGCGTGCAAAGGACCCATGTTTACACACGCAACCGGCCAACTAGGTGGATCTTACAAGGAAAGCGCGAATGAGGAACTTCTTATTGCTGTCCAGATTGAACATCCCAATGCCGTGAAGGAGGTTGAAGACATCGTCAAAGAAGATATCGACATTGCGTTTGTAGGTACAGCCACCATCCCACTGGGTGTATGTTACTCAATTGAGAGCAGATTGGTCCGTTTGACTTGGCTGTGTCCATGGGTGTCGAATTTGGTGGTGTGGAACATGAAGCTGCCATCTCAAAGATCCTTGATGCGTGCAAGACGGCGGGGAAAGCCGCTGCTATTTTCTGTGAGCCTCCTCATTTTCTAATACTTAGGGACTTGAAAACGATCTTCCCGTATAGGCTTAACCGGAGAGCAGGCCGCGAAACGTTTCACACAAGGCTTCGACATGGTCAGCGTCACGACTGATATAGACACGCTCACAGACGGATTTGCTGCTGCATTGCATGCTGCCACAGAACGGAACAAAGCCTTCGCAATGACTGGTTCTGGATATAGCTTATAGAGGAGGTACTTGGACTCAACTCAATTTACTAGTGACAAGAAAGCGGCATGGCCCGTGTGTCATAATAGCTGGAAATGATATTCGCCTTCGTTTATGAGTAACAACCAGGCTTCCGGACCGAGAACGCTAATAAATAAATAGCCGTCAATGTTAGCACGCTATCATTTCGCTTTCTCAACGGATCCGATACGACGTCCGGTTCTCCAGCGTTTTTCCAGGCTATCTGGTGCGACCAAAAATATCCCTACCTGCAGGACGCGTCCCGATGTAGCTACGGTCTTCCTTCAACAGGGCGTGATCTCTGTCCTGATAACGGATTTTAAAGGTGTGGCAAAGCCCGTTCTTAACCCCGCGTGATGTCTCGTAGACTCCACGACTTAAACCCCTCGAATTTATCATCCAGACACCGTGCGTCATCTCACAAGTAGCATCTCCAATCAAAGATCACATCGCCTGGTAAAACAAAACCCTTGGTGTATGGCAATATTTCATGAAGCCGTTCTCATTAAATAATAGTTGGGTAGGAGGATTTCGTTCTCCTTTCTTACTGATGAAAGACGTAATAGCCGAAACCGAGGGTTCATATTTTCTGAACACATCTCTGAAATCGCATGACAGAATGATTCCGAACGGTATTCACCAACTGCGCAAGGTGCTTATCAGTTTGTAAACCATCGCGATGAATCCTCAAGGCGGAATGAAGGTCTCCTCAGTTTTGCTCATTTAAAAAGGCTTGTTGACCAACCACCCTATGACCATCTTCGAGGTTTGGAGGGAGAAATTTTAGCCAATATTGATACCGTCACAGTCGACGTTGGCAACAAGTGTTGCAGTCCCAGGGTCGGGACCCCTAGAGTGCTCTAGTCGACACCTCCGTGAGCTCATCGTCGAGTACCTGCAGTCTTAATCTACATGCTCCGCAGGAGACCCTTTTTTATCCTCTTGCAGATCCTATTTTTCAGGTGAGATTACGACTCGAGAGCTTCACATTTATTGTGAGGTAGTGCCGTTTATCCGTTTCCTCAAATCAGCCTATATTATACATCTCATCGTTAGACCCCCCGGAAACTTGACGATAGATCCTGCCGTGGCTCGATACGGGCAATTGGACCACTGATGCCTGGAACAAGCTCTTGCTTTTCTGTCTGCCATCGGGAACTTAATAGCGCAATTATAATAGACTTCGGGCAACTGTCGGCACAAATGGGATTTATATGTTTCTTCTAGTCGGCATCCCGGCAAGCTTTCCACTCTTCAATGCCGAATGTCTTCGGGTATCAATATGTTATAAATTGAATCTAAAACCTAAAATTTGGACATACTTGGTCCTCAAATGGTGCACTTTGTCACGGTAACCCAACAACAATACTTGATATGACTTTCTGACTTTTGCGGACCCCGACCCCCTTATGAACCGCGCGCTCCAAAAAGTTAACCTGTCCTGAAAAGCCTCTCACCATTCTCCTCTGCAAGAAAATCTGGACTGACACATCAGCGGCAGGTGCCTGGTTGACAATTCCTAGGTGCGTTCTATCTCTCCGGAAGTGTCAGTGTAACTTGGTGCCGACTGCGTATTCACAGCACGGCTATCGCACGCAACATAGCCAGTACAAAGAATGTATCCTGGGTCCTGATCGATGGAGGTATGTATCTCCCCACCATCCGAAGATATCGACTCAAGTCTGTAATGATACAGAACAAGGGCTGATCAATGGTAAGAGTTCGTCATATTGGTGAAACGGATCTCGATTCCAGAGGGCCATTTCTACGATTTTGCAAATGTTATCGCAGCTAGCGGGGTGTCGCCTCTGGTCCATGTTCCAGCTGAAGAGGTTTGGTTGATCAAGGTGTGTGCTTGATTTAGCTCGGTACTGGAATTGGTTCGATTAATACACCAGTGTGCGCTTGATTCTGGTGCTCACTGTGGGTCAATGGTTCCCATGGCAAATAGCACTGCGTGTTTCTTCAAAGTGAATGGGATCCATGATTTAATACCTCAGGGCATCGTTTGGAAAGTGGTTCAAGCAACCAAGTATCCTCTTCCTGGTTTTCGCGATATATATCTTTCGCCTTTGATTCAACACTATAACCCGCCAATGGTCGCTTTATCTGCGGATACCCAATTTTCCCTCTTTATACTCGACAAAGAGAAATAGCTGAACCACTCAATCAGGCCCATGTTCACAAACGCAACCTGCCAACTAGGTGAATCCTAAAAGGAATGTGCAGTTTTCTTGGAGCACCCCACGCAGTGAAAGAAATTGAAGACATCATCAAAGAGAATATTGATATCGCATATGTAGGTAAGGCCACCATCTCAGGAGTATATTACTGAGCGAGAAGTAGATTGGTCCATTTGACTTGATTGTGTCTAAAGGCATTAAATTTGGTCGCGTAGACGGTAGTATCTCCGAGATCCTTGCGCAAAAAGGTGGAGAAAGCCTCTGCTATCCTCTGCATGTCTCTATTTCTTCTGGCATGGACTCGAGAGACACTTCCCCATCCACAGAGAGTATGAGGTCATTACGAGCAGCGATATAATGGAAGCCGAGAGCACTGGCGACATGACCATAACCGATGAGCAAGAAGAGCATGCCGACCCAGCCAGAGTCAGCTATCAGTGCAAAGCGCGTTATTGAAGAGAACTTCGTTGAGGACAAGGAGAAGAAAAACCAGCAGGTGCAAGACTGGTAAACTTCCCACTGAAGTATCCCTGGGCCACCGACCGACCCAATGTCCCGGTATCTCTAGCCGGAAGCGCCTTGGTCTGGATTCTTAAGCAGACGCATCTGCCCTCGCTCAACTAGCGGTCAAAAACCTACAGGGAGACGAGCAGAGCTTACATCTAGTGCTTAAGCACTCGTGTCGTTGCTGTAGGAAAGGATCTGACACCGTTCAGACTCATGGTCGAACTCGGATTCCGGGCTTCAGGCTCCGGCCCCATCCTCCAGATATGGCCGATGGCTGGTGAGCGTACAATAGCTCTTCACCTCCACAATCTCACACCGCCCAAAATGCCAATTTCCCGGCATCTCCCTACATCGACCGTCAATGAGATTGTCCGCGACTTGGGCATAACTCTTCCCCCATACGGCCCAGCCTTGTTGGCTGAGAAAATGTTGTGGGATCTGGAGTACAACAACGTCTACGAGGACATCTGGCGCGGACAGCAGCTTCCGTTCATCAAGGAATCTGTTAAGCGGGATGACCCACTGAACCGCGTCAATGTCCGAGTCCCAGAAAAGACCTGGGTTTTCAGTGACATGCCTTCTGTCATGGAGGAGATCTTGAGGATAGTGAAGGTCCGCCCCTTCATTCGAAGGGAATATGAGGTTGCTCTGTCCGATATCTTGGGGGCCATGGAAACAGGTAGTATGGCCATACCCGTTCGAGTTGAGAAGGGTGAAGAGAGTAAGGCGGAGAAGGAAGAGCGAGACGAAGAAGAGGAAGATGGCGGGGGGCCGAGCGGAGGAGTGGAGGGGGAGGTGGAGGAAGGGCAAGATGGAGAAGGGCCAGAGGGGGAGAAGGAAGAGCAAGATGATGAAGAGCGTGATGAAGAAGGGCACATGGACGAAGCTGACGCCTCACTGGAACAGTATGTTAATCCATTTCATGGGAAGGAGGACTTGGAGTCACGGCTGGCGGGTTTCATGATCCTCGGTCACCCTGGCATAGGTAAGGAACCCCACGATGTTCTTGGACCAGTGTTAATGTTGACGGATGGTACTACAGGGAAAACTATTTTTCTCTACTACATCCTTCTTTTACGCTTACAAGCAAAGCAACCAACGATATTGGTCACACGACCTAATTCGGTCACCCTCTTCCTCGAGCAGGGCGTGTTTTCTGTGGCGATCGAGCATTTCACCATTATCTCCAAACTTATCCCGGCCTCTGCATGGTGTCTAGTGGACTCTAGTGACGAGTTAAAAGCCCCCCCCCCCTTTTCTATCATCCAGTCTTCATTCTTCATTGTCCAAGTGACATCTGCAAGATATAGTCGCATTGCCTGGAGGAAGAGGACAATGGATGTTCACCAATACTACATGAAGCCGTTTACGTTATCTGAACTCATAGTCGGGTATGAGAATTTCATTCCGTTTTTCTTACTCATTAAAAACGGGATATATAGACGGAATCGAAAACTCAGACCCTCTGACTCTATTACTGAATCCATGTTGCAAGCTTATTACAAGGATTATACACCATCCGCACGGACGGCATATCAGTATGCCAACCATCCCGGCCATTATTATACAATGGTCAAGGAAATCGTCCGTCAAATGAGTTTTGATTGCCTGAAAAAGCTTGTTGACGGTTTCAGTGACGTGGATATTTTGGATGAGAACACATCCCACAACATTGTTACCATCACAGTCGCCGTTGGAGGTGAACGGAGCGAACCCAGAGTGGAGATCCCTAGTCGTCACCTTGGCACACTTCTCGTTAAACACCTTATGGTGTCTGCTGTCCGCTCTGCAGCATCATTGTATTATATGTTTACACAGATCCCATTCCTCCGGTCAGCAGGGGGGTATGTTCTCGATATTGCTATGCATGAAGTTCTCCTCCATCGCTCCCATTGGCGGGTCAAAGTACTCACCGCGAAGCCACCGACTGGACAACGAAGAAACTGGCACTGGACGCTAGATGCAGGTGCTTCCTCTGGTACACTTTGTTTTCCGCGGAGCGGTGGTGTGGATTTCATGGATAGGGATGCAACTGAGGAAGAACAAGCGGAGATATCAGGGCTCACACTGAGATACCTCCCAAAGCGAGGGGATGCGGCCCGTGAATTGGTCGATGCCAGTCCATCATACTATTTCCGTCCCTTGGACCCCAACGAGGCGACCTTCGACGCTGTGATATTCCTAAAGGAAAAGAAAAGGGCCGTGGTGTTTCAAGCAACCGTCAGCAAGAAGCACACAGCAAGTGCTCGAGGCTTCGAATATCTCAAGGGTGTGGGGGTTGAGGAGTTGTGGTACATTACAGTCGTGCCTCCTGGTACGAGTACCACTATCCCGGTGGCAAAGAAATGGAAGGAAAAGACAACGAAGGTGTTACAGCTGGAAATATCCGACCGTGATATTGCTGAATTGGGGTTGGATAAACCTAAATCTAGTGAGCAGTCTGGGTCGGGTTCGGGTCAGAAAACGCTGACCTGACCCGTATAAACCCGGTATCTGTGACATCACCGGGGGTAACTGCCGGGTCACCCGACCCGGAATAGGTAGATTATATTTTTGGTCGACTCCGCTAATACAAGCTCAGGTAAACAATTTAAAGTGTAGCAGTAGTATGGTTACATAATGTCTGGAACCATTCCGAACTTGTTTTTCTCATTTTTAGACGAACTGTCGCGAGAGGGCCGAGTGCTTCCATTTCTTTGCTGTGGAAAGATGTGTCCGATTCCGAGTTTTATATGTAAATACAGGTATACGAATGCGAGTTGGTGTCAAACTGACCGAAAAACATTAACTCATGAAAAGAAGACTAAATCTCCAGTATCCATTCTAATTATACCTTAGTGCTCAGGATGCCTGCCGTACTTGCAGCGGCCTACATCGGCTAAGTATCCTACTCTTTTGATTTTATGCGACCGCATGCTTATTCACCAATTAGACACATCGAGCGCTCCGGTAAAAATGAATCTTTACTACATATGAATCAAAAAAGGCACACTGCCTCTACTGCCTCTACTCGAAGCACTGAGGCCCAGTTCAAGCCACGCCAAGATCTTCCATAGCCAGCAGCTCCTGCAACTTGAAGCCGAGCTAGCAGCATTCCAAGGTGGTAGCTCCAACAGTTGCGGGGTGTGCAGGTGAAGGTTGCAGCTGTTCGGTCATGAGTTGACTGAGATAATAGCTAGGGACGTCGACTTTGGGAACGCTTCGCTGTCCCCCAGCTTCGGCTGTGATAGTAAGTATATGATATAAGATTTGTTCACCACAAGAGTTGACATCAGTAAGGAGCTCCCCAACCAACATTTTCAGACGATCAATAGTCAATCGACCAACGAGACATCGCACGAATGTTGCATATTTCTCGAGGTTGCCTGCATGTTGATAGGCAAAGCGAGCTGAGGGCGTATATCGATGGTAATATTCTTGTAGTGACTTTTCTGAAAGGGTTTGACTGACGTCGAGACTTCGATTTCGCCTAACATGCTAGCTCAGAAACGTAAAAAGGGGGACGAAGTTCTCATACCCTATTATGAGCTCTGATAGGGAGAACGGTTTCATGATGTACTTGTGGACACCTAAAACCTTGTTCTGCCATTCAAGGTGTTTTCTTTTCGGTGCTGTTGCTTGCAAGACAAAAAAGGGCGTGTTATAGATCGCCGCAGGAACAGTTTTCAGACTCTCGCTGGTGTCCACGAGACACCACGCAGTGGCGGGAATGACTTGTATCACGTCCTCAAAATCTGCCATGGATATGGAAAAAACACCACGCCGTAGGAATACCGTGACCTTCTCGGGATGAGTGACCAAGATTGTCGGCTTGGACGCTTGCAATCGCAAGAGAAGGACGTAATAGAGGAAAATCGACTTTCCTAAATTCGAGAGTCAGTCAAGTTCAAATCAGAGTGGGGGATACTACTTTACCGATTCCAGGATGGCCCGTGATGATGAAACCTTTGACTTTCGGTGCCGACTCTTTGTACTCCAGAAATGGGTTGGGATACTTCGCTGGGACTTCGTCGCTGGGGCAGTCAATAGTCATGATTTCATCTCCAACATCGGAAGATGTTCTGGTGTCTTGCAGGTGCTGCTTTTTCTTTTCTCTGTCATCCACATCTGGCCCTTCCTCACGAAAGCGTTTTGCACGGAGGTCTACCGATGTCCTGTCGGCGTGTTCTTCTTCGCCAAAACCTTCTTCCGACTGATCTTCGTCACCTACAGTTATATTCTCATTACCCGACCTTACGGCCTGAATAATGTTGGAGAGTGCCCGTGTGTACTCCTTGCGGATAAAGGGGCGAGTCCGTAATCGCTGAAAAATACGTTCGCGGGTATTTAGAGAGGGACGGAAAGCCCAAGTTATTTTCGGGACTTTTACGTTGATACGATTGTCTTCGTCTCGCAGAACCTCTTCCTCGACGAACAATTGCTTGCAGCCCCAAATCTCCGGGTATAGGTATTGATAGGCTAGACTCCGGTGCATGATTGAAGCGAGCCAGTCCAGACTTTCTCCATATTGCCCAAAATCATTATCGAAGGCGGCTGCTTGCACAGAGAGGAAGTGATTTGAATACGACATTGAGCAAAGATAGTACTTGAACGGGTGGGCCGCTCAACGGCACGGGTACGAGTCCGATGTCCAATTGCGGCTAATTCCGAAGCTTGTGAGAAAGTTGTTTATAAACGATAGCGGAGTTTCAATTATGCTCTTTCTGCTTTTTCGATGTTGTGTTACTGGGTGAACAAAAAAGTAGTCGCTCTAATGTTATAATCTATCTTTGTCTTTTTATATGTTCGTCCAACTCTGTGCTTTTGTATGGTAGTTCTCAGTCTCATGATGTTTGATTGAAGTTAGCAGTATTGATTGAAGTGTTTTGTATCCTTGTGCCCCTTGTGTGGAGCTCTTGGATGATTTTTTGCGAGTGAGAAGCACAAGAATTTTTATCTGTGTATTCTGTGCATATATGTTTGAGAACATGGATCTGACATATGTGTATACTGGTTGCAATTCGTTCGTCCAGGAAATTCAAGTTTAGTAAGTGCAAATGGCATTTGAACTCCATGAGGACAGATCTCGGACACAGGAATGGGTTAATATCTGTGTATTGGATTCAGCTTGGGTTTCCCAGGGCAAATAGTAACTCTATAAGTTCTTTATGGGTAGTAGACGATACACCACAAAAAGTGAGAAAAGTTTACCAAGAATTCTAAGTGGTTGTATCGTATATAAACCAATCTTATTATAGGTGTAGCTTATATAACTGTATGACCTGGCCAGATTATTATTTTGATTAATATATGTTTACAAGCCTAGGAGGAGCCGGTCATAAGTCAATGTAAGCTTAGCTAAATCATACATAGGCTTGCTTCTGTTAGCAACCCTTTCTAAGCAGATCACATATTGGTTGTACTATTCATTGATCTTGGCACTTCAAAAGTAATGGAAATTTACTGTCCATGAGGCTGGCCCTGTATAAGAGTACTCCCAGCAGGGGATGTGGTTCATGCTCACCTGAATGGTTGTTTTTCAAGCCAGAATGTGACCAGGCAGTCAGAAACTCAGTAAAGAGTGAACGAGCATGGACTTCAAAAAAGTTTGAAGGCTAATTCCAACTTAAATGGTAGGTCAGAGTCACAAGATATGACAGCCATGTCATCACTGAGCACACCGCCTCTTTCCTCTTACCATCATTGCCAAGTGACCATGCCTACACTATCATCATGCGAGCAGAATGCTACTCAACAGTACCGAAGGACTCTCATATCAAGATGAAGAATTATACGTGTGAGTGAGCAATAAGGTAACAAAGTCTAATACTACGACTATGATAATACTGAGCTCTCAAGGGTAGCAATAACGAAGGACTGACACCGAGAGGAACGACTTCGACAGTGATAAAGGAAAGAAAGGAGAGTTTTGTGGGTAGAGGCGACAAAAGAAGAGTTGAAGTGGCAACATGAAGAGGTAAATGTTCAGTATTTAGTGCATATATGCTGACTTCTTCTCCATCCAGTGGTGCTACCAGGCTGCATGCCGCTGACACCGTATGCCCGGTCAGTTCAGCCCTCTCCAAAACTCAGCTCTCTAATGAATTTCTTCAGGAACACTTGCCATCTCAAGGATATCCCAATCATGCACAGCGGCGGCACCCCAACGACGCTTTCCATATGGATATCACCCATCATACTTGTTGAGATTCAGCTCTCTCTAGTGGTCGATCATCTAAGTGCCTTCTTTTTCATGACTTTACACTGGGTCTTACTTATCTATGTTTTTGTATGGCATTCATGTCTTATGTTCCTTGTAATACATTGTGTTTGCTGTGCCATCTATCGATTTTGTAGTAAGCAGTCGTAACATGTTCGCAAACTGTCTTAAGCCTTCTTAACTCTTAGGTAGGTATACATCCACCACTTGACCTGGGGAAAGACTAGAAAGATGTTGAAATACCAAATGCGCCATGCTTCCAACGGCCACCCCTCCTTTTCGTAGTATATTTTCTAAATTTAGCATTAGTATATAAAGTAGGATACCTTGTAATCGAGCCCCTCATGCATTTGTGAGGGTTCCCTGCTAATCCTGGAGTCCTGCTTATCTGAGCTGAACAGCATACTCCAACACAAATGCATGGCATAACCCTTCAAGTTCTTGCTCTACTCACTCACCGCCGCCACCTGCTGCTTTACTGATAGCCCAATGTCGAGACTGTTGTGGCCTCTGAGACCTATGAGACCATCAGCCTAGCTATGAGAATGCTAAGGCTTACTGTTGACCCCCCTCATTTCATGAGACTCATTCCATCCATCCCCCTTCGCCATGTCTTCTGACGACTCTTCCATTCACTTTCCTAAGCTCAATGACTCAAACTATGCGACCTGGAGCATCATGATGGAAGCTGAGCTCATTCGGAAGGGCTTGTGGACTGGCATTATCAAGATCCTAGTTGATGAAGATGGGAAGACTGCTGATAAGGTTGAGAAAGAGTACCTGACGAAGAAGACCAAGTGGGCAGCCTCGAAGATGGCTGAAGCTCATGCAGAGATGATTTTGCAAGTTGATGGTGGTCAGCTGCTGCACATGATTGCGAGAGACCCGATGGAGGTTTGGGAGATGCTGAGGAGTGTCCACTGAGCCAGAGGATTTATGACTTTGCTGGCATTACACAGGAAGTTCTTGACGACGAAGAAATGGAGCAATCAGTTGATTCAGTCTTGGGTTGGAGAGATTCGTGGGCAGGCATTTGCCATGCAGATGTTGGGGATTGAAGTGAGTGATCAGGACGTGATCTTGGCACTTACTCTGGGCCTTCCTTCCTCTTATAACACCGTCATCATTCATTTCGATGCCACTCCCCCCAACCAGCTCACTATCGACCATGTTATCACCTGACTGCTGAATGATGAGACTCGCCAGTCTATAAACTGCCACCGTTCCACCCAGAATGCCACAGCCACTGATGAGGCCCTTTTTGTTACTCAACGTCGTTCCCGCCCTAATGCATCTGAGATCATTTGCTTTTTCTGTGACCAGAAGGGTCATTACAAGGATGCTTGTCCTGAGAAGAAGCTGTGGGAATCCCACAAGCAGGAGGTTGCTGGAATGGTTGAAGGTGCTGATTCAGATGAAGAAAGTTTGCTGCTTGAAGAAGACTGATTTTTCATGCACCCTTTTTTGATTTATTTTGATATCACCCGAGTTTTCTATGCTTCCCTTATATCCCTTTTAGACTGCTTAGCTTATGGGGGTGTCGTTCTTTCCACTGTTGCATGCCGATTTGTGGGGGTGTGTTGAAATACCAAATGCGCCACGCTTCCAACAGCCACCCCTCCTTTCCATAGTATATTTTCTAAATTTAGCATTAGTATATAAAGTAGGATACCTTGTAATCAAGCCCCTCGCATGTTTGCGAGGGTTCCCTGCTAATCCTGGAGTCCCGCTTATCTGAGCTGAACAGCGTACTCCAACAAAAGATTTGCATTTGATTGCATGGTTTATATGTAGTTATATTCTGGTATGTATTCCACTTATAATAAAATTGAGTTACATCACATATCTTTTTAATCCAAGTCAATGTTTAGATGGTTTATAAAGATTTCCTTCGATAAGAAAGCTATACGATGAATCATTTCTCATTACTACATGTTCGTAAATATTTTGCCTTTTCTGTGGTGTAGTAGATTTATAGTGCAAGTGATGTCCCATCTGGTTGGTCATCACGGTGGGTAACACTATAATATTGCATCTTTAATACACTTTCACTGAAGCATTTTTATTGTAGTACATCAACGAGATGTGTATGTGCTTATGCTTACTCTCTGGCTTCTTTCTTCTATGCTGGCTCTCACATGTTGCAGCCTTTAAATGCTGAATCAAATATGCTGATATTAATATTGTACTAAATGTAGTCTGTCAGGTATCAGTATTTCTCTGCATTCCATCAAATGATGAGTAACAAGGCTCTACAGTGGATTATTTGACAGTAAAATTTTGTTAGAGAGTCGAGTTAGAATTGTCAGACTTTTGTCAAATGAAGTTAGTGGCAATAATGTGTTATATATAATGTACATATACTTGACTTTCCATGATAGATATCATATTTTCTCTTAGAATCTATGGATCTGGTCTTTCTTGTGTTGACAGTGCTTGTGATGGCTATCATGTGGTACATGTGTCAGTGGCTGGGATTGCTTTGAACTGTAGTCAGTTTGTTTTTTTTTTGTATGTAAGGTTTGTGGTACTTGTTATTCATGAATCACTGCAGTTTATCGCAAGTTGGCAACCATCTGCTCTGCAAGATATGACAAGATTATGTCTGATTTTATTGAGTTCGTTATCCTCTATGCTGATAAAACTCACTCACCCGGAGTTAGAATACATCCTGTTGGAATGTCAAGTGTCACACATTGTTGACAACCAACTAATAATCGACTTAGATTGTACTAGGATCCCCACTCGCACTTCGGTGGTAGATACTCTAGCAAGTCAAAGGCGACGTCAAAGCGGACTGCGGGCATGTAGACACGAAGAATGGAGTTCGAGTTGGGTAGATTAAACCTTAGCCGAAGCTGGGGTTTAGGCCAGCTGAGGCTCTACTTAAATACAAGTGGATACGCTATTAATAGTACTGTGAGAAATGATCTGTAGGGATCGTATATGAGTAATCAAGCTGAGTAAAATGAAGAAAAATGAATAAACCATAACATTACCCCCTTCTTAAGACTCATTCGTCCCGAACGAGCTCTGAGAATCATCTGAGGCATCGTCCTCCGTTTCTGTACTGGTGACATACATCATACTGTCATCGTCTTGGTCTTCACTCTCGCTGGAGTCCCAGTTTTCGTGAATGCGTTGTAGGTTTTCCAAATCCATGTCCTCTTCTTCTATGATGGGCACTCCCTCAGCTTTGTCCGTGGTCACTTTGGGCCATTTGCCTTCGATAAACTCTTTTTCTAATTCTGGTTTAAACGTTCGTTGCCAGTATTCCGCAGCTTCCAAGGGGCTGGGAAATTTGTCGACGATCTGATCAATTTCCTCCGAATGGGCCACAGCCGAGCACTGCGAGGAGGGGACTGTAATGATGTCGGTTATGCAAGGGGTGTCGGGATCATGATACTGAATCGGTAGATTGCGGGGTATTTTGTTGTCGATCCCGACCGTCTTCCCTTTGTCATTGAC